AGTGTTAAAGATCTGAAATGGATACAATGTTGGCATTTTTTCATTGAATCCATTATGAAGTTAACAAAGGCTAATTTATTTTTCCTTGTTAATTTCATAATGGGTTTAATGAAATAAGGAACGTAATAAAGGGGGAGATCTGTCAGGAGGTATGCCTCTGGGAGAACTTTCTATGATAAAGTAATTTGGTGTTAGAAACGTGAAGAAAACACAGGAGTGGGTGAAGAGAAGATACTGAATGCAGTCAGAAGTGTTTTGGAATCGAATGAGTTTGTTCGTGTTGTGGCAAAGGCTAGCAAAATACCACATGTTACTATACAGAAAGCTAAGAAAAATATGAATAATTAGACAGCATTTTTAGCGGATTTTTTCCCATTCTATATCATGTTTGTTCTTACTAATAGGTGTAAACAAAGCACTCACAACCGTCTCGGCCGTTTTACCAACAATGTATTCATGAAGATACGTGTATTTCAACTGAAAATGAGCTATGCAAAACTACAGAAGATCGTTATTGATTCTCAAGAAAGTGATATGGTTCATTACATTGAGGAAGCGAGCAGCATTTACTTTGGCCTTGAATCTGATGGTGTCAGGCTTATGAAGTTGCAAAAATGAACAATATAGATCCCAACATCGTGGGCAGAAAATGAAAAAGCTGATAATTCAATGCACGCCGTGCAAATAATAGTCACATGAAACATGCACGAATAGTGATCCATTCTACGTATGACTCTGATAAATCTGCAAAAAAAAACTACTTTAAAATATCTCCTTCTCTTTCTGCAGCTATGATATACAGAATAGGATTAATTATTTTAAAACACAAGGATAAAGACGTGTCTCTATGATATACATATTGGTTGTCGTGGTTTTACATTTGCCAGAATATACAATTCCAACTTACCCCATGTTCTGTTTCAATATACCCCAGGTATGGGGTAAATTGAAATAAACGGCATTCCAAAAAAATTTTTTTTCTGAAAATACTGTTCATAAAACAATAAAACATAATACATAATGACGTCCAATTAATTGCCATATCTGATGACATGGGCCGGATGGCTGAAGGGTGAAAGTGGCAGCTTACTTGTGGTGAAGGATGGGGTCCCACAAATCTAGACGATATATAACGAAAGTTTCCTAAATATTTTAGAGGTTAAAGGTTAATAAATAAGTATTTAGTTTTGGTTCGTGGGAGACTATAACAATACCTTTCACAAACCTTGCCATCATTTTAATTTTTCGAGAAAGATGTGATGAATACATGATACAATGTTTCCCCGATCATCCCTTTACTAATAATAATAAATTATTATTTAATGTTCTGCAGTGAATAGCTCTTAGATTACAAGTTTTTACAAAGTCTTTGCCAGTGTTTCTTAACCTTTTTAGTGATCGGCATCCTTTTAAAAGTTGTATTTAAGAGGGTAATCGTGAGGGTCCAGGGTAACGTCGTAGCGTTTTCCAGTTTGCCGTGGGCTCTGAGAGTACAAGATATTGGTCTTAGAAATTCATTGGTGCGTTGGTTCATTCCACAAAAAACAATTTCATCTATTCTCTTAATTATTTACTAATTTCTTAATAATCGTAAAAATGCTAAAATTGTTAAAAATGTATTACAGTTTCAGGCTTTTAGATTACTATTAGACAGATTAGAACATGAGTTAATGCCAGAATTTTTTTACAGGCATTTTTCTTTCCTGGTGTGTTGTAGGATCGATTATATATTGGATTAATGGAATATGGTTAAGCAATCTACTACGGGAAATGCCTTTCTAAAGAAAACTGGGTCCTATTTATATGTTAGACAGGTGAAGGAAACACAGAAAACTCAATGCTGCCAGCCTACTGAGAAGGTGATGATACATAATCAACTACCAGTGTTTAGTGGTTTTATCTACAGCACTTGGCAACTGATGGACCATAACATGAATGCATCTATATGATCCATTTCACTTGTTACATTTCATCTACATCATCAAATTAATAAAATCATTATGATTTTGAATTTTTTAGGCTATATAATAGTTTCATTCAAATTTATTGGATCTTTTCCAATCATAACCATCAGAATACAATGTATGTTTCCACATTGTAAGATATAAGAATATAAGATTGCATCTAAAAATAGTTGCCTGGATATATACAGAAACTTCTACATTGTTTATCAATCTGCTGATGCAAGACACCAATACACTATAGTTTATACGGTTAGATTCTTCACAGTTATAAACTCAATCCTATTATCCTTGGTTGAAGAATAGTATCTGGACAGGAATACACTTAAAAAATAATCATAAAAATTTTCTATGCATGGCTGAAATTAAACTTCTGAAACATTAAAAATATCTTTATAGAATTCTGAATCAATAGTATCAAATTTGTCCAACACATTTATCTCATTTTACTATAATCATAATGTTAAATGTTTGCAGTTAAGAATTGGCATCTAAAGTAAATGTAAATACAATGCTTCTCAAACATATTTACTCTATTAACATGAAATAAAAAAGTATGTTTTGTCTTTGTACAGGGTGCTCAAATAACTAAAGCATCTCATTTTGATTACGAGTTTTTACTTGGACATAAAATTGTTTTCATATGTGAAGCAAAAGGAGATCCACAACCAAGAATTAACTGGTTTAAGGATGACATCGAACTCTATGCACATCCTTTTATAAAGGTAAATTACGTATTATTTAAACATATTCTAAGAATAATAAATACATATCATTTTTAATCAAGTTTTTATATATACAATATAGGTTAGATTAAAATATTTTTATCTTAGAATCTAAAACAACCCCTTAATTAAAGGTGCAACTTGACTCTCTGTCATCTGGGGTTAACAAAGATCCCAGCACCCTGTCTTGTTCCAGAGTTGTGGAATGTATGATGACATGTGATGAATCAGTCTGAACCATCACCAGTCTATCTCCAGTTTTACACACCCTTTCCTCTCAGTGCTCCCTCACCTAGCATCAGTAAATTATTAAATTATCCAAATAATATTCCTAAATATATTCCTAAATAATTCAAATAATTACATCTCTCCCCTAAGTACCTGGTAAGGGCAACCCTCTAAGCTAGTACTTGGAGCATATGTCCTGTATATTCTCCTAATTGCATCCCTGATAGAAACTAAGAAAAATATCAGAAATATTCATTCCTTACATAAATGAAAAGGTTGTTTATACTTTTAAATTTGGAAAGAGAAGTTGAAAAAGAATATTTTCTTCCATTCTTATCGAAAATGAGAAGTGCACATTTTATTTTTTTAAGCAACTGTAGCAACAAGAAGGATAAATTTTCAACATAATTACTGTTGTGTCAAATGGAACAAATATTTTATTTCCATAATTAAATCTTAAAATTTAACTTCCATGTTTTTGAATCTGCAAGAATTTAATATTTGCTCTACTTTTAGATTGTAACATATGGACCAGATTTACTTTATATTTGCTCTTATCCTAAGTTAAAAATATAAGTAACACTTCCTCTCTACTAAATAATAATAAATGTAAAATCAGGATGTCCCAATCTTACATGTAAATCTGTTCTTAGTTAACACATCTATGTTGCCCAAATAATATAAATTAAGATAAACTTTACTTGATGAAAAGTATCTGCTCCTATAAAGCAGTTAAATGTAATAAATTAATCAATTAAACTGCTTTATAAGGAGTTATGTTGAACATAATTTAATTATTGACATATAATATATTGCAGATTACAGAATGGCAGCTGAAAAACAAACACATCAAAAGCAAATTACAGATAACACCAGCTCGTCAGATGGATTCGGGGATGTACGAATGTCAAGCCAATAATAAATACTCGATCGACAGTAGAAGTTTTAAAGCAGATTTCAGTACAATTAGTAAATAAATTCGATTTAACGAAATTAACTTCTGGTATGTAATTGGAAGAACAGAGAATATGAATGTTCCTTCATATTTTTTAAAAAGAAATCTGTATTAAATAGCTATTAATATCATGTGCATTTTAAATTATGAAAGTAATTTTTGAATTCTATGTGTAAAAAGATATATTAATACATCAAACATAATGTTTCAATTATATATTACTGCACATCTTAAAGTATTAAAGTATTATAAAGTATCTTTTATAAATATTATTTTTACATTATATTGATATATAATTAAAAATATTGGTAGGATTTGAATATCAAATTAATAAACTTCTGAATTTAATGAATCAATCAGATCCTTGTAGAATTTTATTATTTTTTTTTATTTTTCTCGTAATATTTTTGATTTGCACATATTGGATTTTTATAGCTGATATTATTGATACATCATGGGAAAATTTTCCAATGATTTAACTAAAGCAGAAGTTTTATGAATTAAATCTTACGAAAAATAAAATCTGTTTTCAATATCCATCTTCTATACCCACAACATGTTTACAAATGATTGACAATATTCGACTAAATAATAATGTTACAAATCTGCTTTCACTGGAGTCGCACATCAAAAATTAATTCTGACTACTCCAACATTTCTCGTCCATCATCAGAGCCTAATTACAAAAAGCAAACACACCAAATTTCTTATCAAACAGTACTTCATATAGGAACATCTCCCTTTAAATTTATGCATTTCTTCTTCTACATGATGCTTCCCTTTCATATTCCAAATTAGTTTAAATTACATTCTCCTTGTAGGAAATCAACTACTTTTATATTTCTCTTGCTTATCCTTCCTTACTAGTCATTTCCATGCTGACAACCAAGTATTTAGTTGGAATTTATATATTAAGGAGTGTATTGATACATTAAATAAGTAAACACTGTAGACGCATATAGAATTTCTAACATAATAAACATTTTCTACATTATAAATCAATTTTATTTTAATGAAGTTACACTATTACATTTCACTTGGTTATAATTTTAGAGAGGTTAACATGTTGATAAAGGAAGCTAATCTGTTATTTCAGTAACAATTTATCTTCTCGATTAGTTTTAAAAGTCAGTATTGATTGGAAATAAAGATATAAGATATAGCTAATGACAAAATCTTAGTTACAGTTATAGAGAGATATTGGTTTGTCAAGAAAGCTGCTCTAACAGGAATCCTATTAAAACTGCTTTGAGAGGTGGTGTAAATCGGAGTAGAAACAAATAGATTAACAAAGAAACATTCTATGCATTTATTTTTATTTATTTTAAATGGCTAAAGAGGCCAAATACATGCCTCTCTGTGACTACAAGTGTTCAGTAATTTTATCCACTGAGCTACTTGTGGTGGGTGTGATTCTATTAACTATTCAATGCAACGACAATTTTACTGTTAACTCCATTTACATGATGTAATAAATTAATTTAACAAGCGTGCCCATCAATGACAGAGCGCATAAAACTACTAAATGCTAAAAGTGGGTCCCGTGCTTCATCAACGTGCAGTTTTCTGGGTGCTCTTCTCGTGTCTAACACCTAAAATAGAAGCCAGTTTTTTTTCCATGGAAAGTCATCCAAGGAGGAAACTCTTAGCAAATCGCCCAAGTGTCGAGTTACCTATCCCATCAAACCAGAACATTTAACACCGCGTAACATGCAGAGAAGACCTTCAACTTTTATTTATTTTTTTTTTATTTTAAAGACACACGAAAATGTGCACACACTAGCGCTATATTATAATTAAGCTTACAGCCTACAAGTGCGTTATTATATTCATTTATACAGATCAATAACATTAATTCTAAACGGTGTTAAAGCTAACTTATCAATAGCTTCTATGAAGAACAGGAAGAGCCACGTTTAAGGCCAATTTCTAGCGTAAATAAAAGAAATATTGCTCTATTTTTTTCTAACAACAAACTAATTATTTATTTTCAAGGCTCTAAATGGCCTTTGTTTAAGTTTTATACCCGATTTAGGTCACGTAACGTGTGGCCTAATAATCATTTAAGAGAAAGAATTTTGTCTCTAACAATAACAATTTTAAAGCTTCCACATTGATTTAACGATTACCTACAAAATTTTTATTAAAATATCAAGGAAATGTTTAATTAACATTAAACCTAAATTCTTAAGAACAATTAAAGAAATACATTAAGAATTTTATCACAAAAATTTCACACTAATCCTGTACATTTGCATGTTGTGGTGCATCGTATATTAACAATTTGCGTATTTTTTTTAAATTAAATTAGATAATATTTACAGCAGTTTTGTCCGTAAAATCCATTTTACTAGGAAATTGGGTAGATTTAATGTTATTAAATCAATAATAACGGTCTGCAGCTTTGCTCGAAATGAATTACACGAGTAGATCAATAGGAACGGGATCGGGAGGAGGTGTAAGCAATTCTTCTCTACCTCTTAAGTAAATGCTGCATGCATCTAGACGTTCAGGTAAGTTTATAATACGATTTCTCTTCAAATCTCAAAGGATATTTTAAAATTATTAAACGAAATTCGTGCATCACTAAAGCTTAAAAACTATATGTGGATGGGTTAAGTTACCCAAATCAAACGTCGAATCTATACTCATCCTTTGAAGACCGGTGTCTATCGATTATTTCTGTTAACAGCACTCCAGAAATTTCTGCAGCTCACCGTTCTAACTAAATTAAGAATCTTCTACACCAGATTATAGTTTAATTGGCATTCAGATCGAAGGAATTGATTACTTTAATCATTTTTTCCCTTATTTCTTACGGGTTTAATTAAGTATATAATGACCCGCTACACGGTGTCGATTTTGCTGGGTGCGATATTCGTGATGGATCTAGCTATCACCGGTGATGCAGCGAGAGCTAGAAGAATATGCAGGATTAGGAGACCGAATAGAAAGGGTTCTCCTATAACCATTTTCGATACGCATCCATGTTGGAAGGAATACTATGACAATTCTAATGTAAGTTTCCGTATCTTTATTTTAATCATGTGTTCGATAATGCTATGTACTTCACTAGTTGCAAGGTGCTATTAAGTAATCAATAAGAAACTAAAACACACATCAGGACAGATGTAAGATTCGTGGGTTTATAATGGCAATCACGTAGATTTCCTCACGACGAATTAATTATGTAGAAAAAATAGCTTTTGGCTAACATAAATAATAAATTTCTAAAATATAACGTAAATTCAGAAGCATTAAATGGGCCTTCTGATATATTTTAATAATAGAAAAACGTCATTGAATCTATTTATCATCCAAATCGTAGTGTTAAAGATCTGAAATGGATACAATGTTGGCATTTTTTCATTGAATCCATTATGAAGTTAACAAAGGCTAATTTATTTTTCCTTGTTAATTTTATAATGGGATTAATGAAATAAGGAACGTAATAAAGGGGGGAGATCTGCCAGGAGGTATGCCTCCTGGGAGAACTTTCTATGATAAAGTAATTTGGTGTTAGAAACGTGAAGAAAATACAGGAGTGGGTGAAGAAAAGATGCTGAATGCAGTCAGAAGTGTTTTGGAATCGAATGAGTTTGTTCGTGTTGTGGCAAAGGCTAGCAAAATACCACATGTTACTATACAGAAAGCTAAGAAAAATATGAATAATTAGACAGCATTTTTAGCGGATTTTTTCCCATTCTATATCATGTTTGTTCTTACTAATAGGTGTAAACAAAGCACTCACAACCGTCTCGGCCGTTTTACCAACAATGTATTCATGAAGATACGTGTATTTCAACTGAAAATGAGCTATGCAAAACTACAGAAGATCGTTATTGATTCTCAAGAAAGTGATATGGTTCATTACATTGAGGAAGCGAGCAGCATTTACTTTGGCCTTGAATCTGATGGTGTCAGGCTTATGAAGTTGCAAAAATGAACAATATAGATCCCAACATCGTGGGCAGAAAATGAAAAAGCTGATAATTCAATGCACGCCGTGCAAATAATAGTCACATGAAACATGCACGAATAGTGATCCATTCTACGTATGACTCTGATAAATCTGCAAAAAAAAACTACTTTAAAATATCTCCTTCTCTTTCTGCAGCTATGATATACAGAATAGGATTAATTATTTTAAAACACAAGGATAAAGACGTGTCTCTATGATATACATATTGGTTGTCGTGGTTTTACATTTGCCAGAATATACAATTCCAACTTACCCCATGTTCTGTTTCAATATACCCCAGGTATGGGGTAAATTGAAATAAACGGCATTCCAAAAAAATTTTTTTTCTGAAAATACTGTTCATAAAACAATAAAACATAATACATAATGACGTCCAATTAATTGCCATATCTGATGACATGGGCCGGATGGCTGAAGGGTGAAAGTGGCAGCTTACTTGTGGTGAAGGATGGGGCCCCACAAATCTAGACGATATATAACGAAAGTTTCCTAAATATTTTAGAGGTTAAAGGTTAATAAATAAGTATTTAGTTTTGGTTCGTGGGAGACTATAACAATACCTTTCACAAACCTTGCCATCATTTTAATTTTTCGAGAAAGATGTGATGAATACATGATACAATGTTTCCCCGATCATCCCTTTACTAATAATAATAAATTATTATTTAATGTTCTGCAGTGAATAGCTCTTAGATTACAAGTTTTTACAAAGTCTTTGCCAGTGTTGCTTAACCTTTTTAGTGATCGGCATCCTTTTAAAAGTTGTATTTAAGAGGGTAATCGTGAGGGTCCAGGGTAACGTCGTAGCGTTTTCCAGTTTGCCGTGGGCTCTGAGAGTACAAGATATTGGTCTTAGAAATTCATTGGTGCGTTGGTTCATTCCACAAAAAACAATTTCATCTATTCTCTTAATTATTTACTAATTTCTTAATAATCGTAAAAATGCTAAAATTGTTAAAAATGTATTACAGTTTCAGGCTTTTAGATTACTATTAGACAGATTAGAACATGAGTTAATGCCAGAATTTTTTTACAGGCATTTTTCTTTCCTGGTGTGTTGTAGGATCGATTATATATTGGATTAATGGAATATGGTTAAGCAATCTACTACGGGAAATGCCTTTCTAAAGAAAACTGAATCCTATTTATATGTTAGACAGGTGAAGGAAACACAGAAAACTCAATGCTGCCAGCCTACTGAGAAGGTGATGATACATAATCCACTACCAGTGTTTAGTGGTTTTATCTACAGCACTTGGCAACTGATGGACCATAACATGAATGCATCTATATGATCCATTTCACTTGTTACATTTCATCTACATCATCAAATTAATAAAATCATTATGATTTTGAATTTTTTAGGCTATATAATAGTTTCATTCAAATTTATTGGATCTTTTCCAATCATAACCATCAGAATACAATGTATGTTTCCACATTGTAAGATATAAGAATATAAGATTGCATCTAAAAATAGTTGCCTGGATATATACAGAAACTTCTACATTGTTTATCAATCTGCTGATGCAAGACACCAATACACTATAGTTTATACGGTTAGATTCTTCACAGTTATAAACTCAATCCTATTATCCTTGGTTGAAGAATAGTATCTGGACAGGAATACACTTAAAAAATAATCATAAAAATTTTCTATGCATGGCTGAAATTAAACTTCTGAAACATTAAAAATATCTTTATAGAATTCTGAATCAATAGTATCAAATTTGTCCAACACATTTATCTCATTTTACTATAATCATAATGTTAAATGTTTGCAGTTAAGAATTGGCATCTAAACTAAATGTAAATACAATGCTTCTCAAACATATTTACTCTATTAACATGAAATAAAAAAGTATGTTTTGTCTTTGTACAGGGTGCTCAAATAACTAAAGCATCTCATTTTGATTACGAGTTTTTACTTGGACATAAAATTGTTTTCATATGTGAAGCAAAAGGAGATCCACAACCAAGAATTAACTGGTTTAAGGATGACATCGAACTCTATGCACATCCTTTTATAAAGGTAAATTATGTATTATTTAAACATATTCTAAGAATAATAGATAAACATCATAAGTTTTTATATATACAATATAGGTTAGATTAAAATATTTTTATCTTAGGAATCTAAAACAACCCCTTAATTAAAGGAGCAACTATACTCTGTCATCTGGGGTTAACTAAGATCCCAGTGCCATGTCTTGTTCCAGAGTTGTGGAATGTTTGATGACATGTGATGAATCAGTCTGAACCATCACTAGTCTATCTCCAGTTTTACACACCCTTTCCTCTCAGTGCTCCCTTACCTAGCATCAGTAAATTATCCAAATAATATTCCTAAATATATTCCTAAATAATTCAAATAATTACATCTCTCTCCTAAGTACTAGGTAAGGGCAACCCTCTAAGCTGGTACTTGAGACATATGTCCTGTATATTCTCCTAATTGCATTCCTGAAAGAAACTAAGAAAAATATCAGAAATATTCATTCCTTACATAAATGAAAAGGTTCTTTATACTTATAAATTTGGAAAGAGGAGTTAAAAAAGAATATTTTTCTTTCATTCTTATCGAAAATGAGAAGCGCACATTTTATTTTTTAAGCAACTGTAGAGACAAGAAGGATAAATTTTCAACATAATTACTGTTGTGTCAAATGGAACAAATATTTTATTTCCATAATTAAATATTAAAATTTAACTTCCATGTTTTTGAATCTGCAGGAATTTAATATTTGCTCTACTTTTAGATTGTAACACATGGACCAGATTTATTTTATATTTGCTCTTATCCTAAGTTAAAAATATAAGTAACACTTCCTGTCTACTAAATAATAATAAATGTAAAATCAGGATGCCCCAATCTATAGCTTTAGCTTACATGTAAATCTGTTCTTAGTTAACACATCTATGTTGCCCAAATAATATAAATTAAGATAAACTTTACTTGATGAAAAGTATCTGCTCCTGTGTAAAGCAGTTAAATATAATAAATTAATCAATTAAACTGCTTTATAAGGAGTTATGTTGAATATAATTTAATTATTGACATATAATATATTGCAGATTACGGAATGGCAGCTGAAACACAAACACATCAAAAGCAAATTACAGATAACACCAGCTCGACAGATGGATTCGGGGATGTACGAATGTCAAGCCAATAATAAATACTCGATCGACAGTAGAAGTTTTAAAGCAGATTTCAGTACAATTAGTAAATAAATTCGATTTAACGAAATTAACTTCTGGTATGTAATTGGAAAAACAGAGAATATGAATGTTCCTTCACATTTTTTTAAAAAGAAATCTGTATTAAATAGCTATTAATATCATGTGCATTTTAAATTATGAAAGTAATTTTTGAATTCTATGTGTAAAAAGATATATTAATACATCAAACATAATGTTTCAATTAAATATTACTGCACATCTTAAAGTATTATAAAGTATCTTTTATAAATATTATTTTTACATTATATTGATATATAACTAAAATATTGGTATGATTTAAATATCAAATTAATAAACTTCTGAATTTAATGAATCAATCAGATCCTTGTAGAATTTTATTATTTTTTTTATATTTTTCTTGTAATATTTTTGATTTGCACACATTGGATTTTTATAGCTGATATTATTGATACATCATGGGAAAATTTTCCAATGATGCAACTAAAGCAGAAGTTTTATGAATTACATCTTATGAAAAATAAAATCTGTTTTCAATATCCATCTTCTATACCCACAACATGTTTACAAATGATTGACAATATTCGACTAAATAATAATGTTACAAATCTGCTTTCACTGGAGTTGCACATCAAAAATTAATTCTGACTACTCCAACATTTCTCTTCCATCATCAGAGTCTATTTACATAAAGCAAATACACCAAATTTCTTATCAAACAGTACTTCATATAAGAACATCTCCCTTTAAATTTATGCATTCCTTCTTCTACATGATGCTTCCCTTTCATATTCCAAATTAGTTTAAATTACATTCTCCTTGTAGGAAATCAACTACTTTTATATTTCTCTTGCTTATCCTTCCTTACTAGTCATTTCCATGCTGACAACCAAGTATTTAGTTGGAATTTATATATTAAGGAGTGTATTGATACATTAAATAAGTAAACACTGTAGATGCATATAGAATTTCTAACATAATAAACATTTTCTACATTATAAATCAATTTTATTTTAATGAAGTTACACTATTACATTTCACTTGGTTATAATTTTAGAGAGGTTAACATGTTGATAAAGGAAGCTAATCTGTTATTTCAGTAACAATTTATCTTCTCGATTAGTTTTAAAAGTCAGTATTGATTGGAAATAAAGATATAAGATATAGCTAATGACAAAATCTTAGTTACAGTTATAGAGAGATATTGGTTTGTCAAGAAAGCTGCTCTAACAGGAATCCTATTAAAACTGCTTTGAGAGGTGGTGTAAATCGGAGTAGAAACAAATAGATTAACAAAGAAACATTCTATGCATTTATTTTTATTTATTTTAAATGGCTAAAGAGGCCAAATACATGCCTCTCTGTGACTACAAGTGTTCAGTAATTTTATCCACTGAGCTACTTGTGGTGGGTGTGATTCTATTAACTATTCAATGCAACGACAATTTTACTATTAACTCCATTTGTATGATGTAATAAATTAATTTAACAAGCGTGCCCATCAATGACAAAGCGCATAAAACTACTAAATACTAAAAGTGGGTCCCGTGCTGCATCAACGTGCAGTTTTCTGGGTACTCTTTACGTGTCTAACACCTAAAATAGAAGCCAGTTTTTCCCATGGAAAGTCATCCAAGGAGGAAACTCTTCGCAAATCGCCCAAGTGTCGAGTTACCTATCCCATCAAACCAGAACATTTAACACCGCGTAACATGCACAGAAGACCTTCAAATTTTATTTATTTTTTTTTTATTTTAAAGACACACGAAAATGTGCACACACTAGTGCTATATTATAATTAAGCTTATAACCTACAAGTGCGTTATTAGATTCATTCATACAGATCAATAACATTAATTCTAAACGACTTTAAACTTAACTTATCAATAGCTTCTATGAAGAACAGGAGGAGCCACGTTTAAGGCCAATTTCTGGCCTAAATAGAAGAAATATTGCTGTATTTTCTTCTAACAACAAACTAATTATTTATTTTCAAGGCCCTAAATGGCCTTTGTTTAAGTTTTATACCCGATTTAGGTCACGTAACGTGTGGCCTAATAATCATTTAAGAGAAAGAATTTTGTCTCTAACAATAACAATTTTAAAACTTCCACATTGATTTAACGATTACCTACAAAATTTTTATTAAATTATTAAGGAAATGTTTAATTAACATTAAACCTAAATTCTTAAGAACAATTAAACAAACACATTAAGAATTTTATCACAAAAATTTCACACTAATCCTATACATTTGCACGTTGTGGTGCATCGTATATTAACAATTTACGTATTTTTTTAAATTAAATTAGATAATATTTACAGCATTTTGTCCGTAAAATCCGTTTTACTAGGTAATTGGGTAGATTTAATGTTATCAAATCAATAATAACGGTCTGCAGCTTTGCTCGAAATGAATTACACGAGTAGATCAATAGGAACGGGATCGGGAGGAGGAGTAAGCAATTCTTCTCTACCTCTTAACTAAATGCTGCATGCATCTAGACGTTCAGGTAAGTTTATAATACGATTTCTCCTCAAATCTCAAAGGATATTTTAATAATTAAACGAAATTCGTGCATCACTAAAGCTTAAAAACTATATGTGGATGGGTTAAGTTACCCAAATCAAACGTCGAATCTATACTCGTCCTTTCAAGACCGGGGTCTATCGATTATTTCTGTTAACAGCACTCCAGAAATTTCTGCAGCTCACCGTTATAACTAAATTAAGAATCTTCTACACCAGGTTACTGTTTAATTGGCAATCAGATCGAAGGAATTGATTACCTTAATCATTTTTTCCCTTATTTCTTACGGGTTTAAGGATATAATGACCCGCTACACGGTGTCGATTTTGCTGTGTGTGATATTAGTGATGAATCTAGCTATCATCGGTGATGCAGCCAGAGCTAAAGGTAAATGGAGGAATAGGAGACCGAATAGAAAGGGTTCTCCTATAACGATTTTCTATACGCATCCACGTCGGAAGGAATACTATGACAATCCTAATGTAAGTTTCCGTATCTTTATTTTAATCATGTGTTCGATAATGCTATGTACTTCACTAGTTGCAAGGTGCTCTTAAGTAATCAATAAGAAACTAAAACACGCATCAGAACAGATGTAAAATTCGTGGGTTTATAATGGCAATCACGTAGATTTCCTCACGACGAATTAATTATATAGAAAAAATAGTTTTTGGCTAACGTAAATAATAAATTTCTAGAATATAACGTGAATTCAGAAGCATTAAATGGGCCTTCTGATATATTTTAATAATAGAAAAACGTCATTGAATGTATTTAGCATCCAATCGTAGTGTTAAAGATCTGAAATGGATACAATGTTGGCATTTTTTCATTGAATCCATTATGAAGTTAACAAAGGCTAATTTATTTTTCCTTGTTAATTTTATAATGGGATTAATGAAATAAGGAACGTAATAAAGGGGGGAGATCTGCCAGGAGGTATGCCTCCTGGGAGAACTTTCTATGATAAAGTAATTTGGTGTTAGAAACGTGAAGAAAATACAGGAGTGGGTGAAGAAAAGATGCTGAATGCAGTCAGAAGTGTTTTGGAATCGAATGAGTTTGTTCGTGTTGTGGCAAAGGCTAGCAAAATACCACATGTTACTATACAGAAAGCTAAGAAAAATATGAATAATTAGACAGCATTTTTAGCGGATTTTTTCCCATTCTATATCATGTTTGTTCTTACTAATAGGTATAAACAAAGCACTCACAACCGTCTCGGCCGTTTTACCAACAATGTATTCATGAAGATACGTGTATTTCAACTGAAAATGAGCTATGCAACACCACGGAAGATCGTTATCGATTCTCAAGAAAGTAATATGGTTCATTACATTGAGGAAGCGAGCAGCATTTACTTTGGCCTTGAATCTGGTAGTGTCAGGCTTATGAAGTTGCAAAAATGAACAATATAGATCCCAATACTATGGGCAGAAAATGAAAAAGCTGATGATTCAATGCACGCCTTGCAAATAATGGTCACATGAAACATCCATTCTACGTATGACTCAGATAAATCTGCAAAAAAGTACTTTAAAATATCTCTTTCTCTTTCTGCAGCTAAAGTATGATATACAGAATAGAATTAATTATTTTAAACATAAGGATAAAGACGTGTCTCCATGATATACATATTGGTTGTCGAGGTTTTACATTAGCCAGAATATATAATTCCAACTTACCCCATGCTCTGTTTCAATATACCCCAGGTATGGGGTAAATTGAAACAAACGGCATTCCAAAAAAAATTTTTTTTCTGAAAATACTGTTTATAAAACAATAAAACATAATGATGTCCAATTAATTGCCATATCTGATGACATGGGCCGGATGGCTGAGAGGTGAAAGTGGCAGCTTACTTGTGGTGAGGGAAGGGGCCCGCCATATCCGGACGAAATATAACGAAAGTTTCCTAAATATTTTAGAGGTTAAAGGTTAATAAATAAGTATTTAGTTTTGGTTCGTGGGAGACTATAACAATACCTTTCACAAACCTTGCCATCATTTTAATTTTTCGAGGAAGATGTGATGAATACATGATACAATGTNCGGACGAAATATAACGAAAGTTTCCTAAATATTTTAGAGGTTAAAGGTTAATAAATAAGTATTTAGTTTTGGTTCGTGGGAGACTATAACAATACCTTTCACAAACCTTGCCATCATTTTAATTTTTCGAGGAAGATGTGATGAATACATGATACAATGTTTCCCCGATCATCCCTTTACTAATAATAATAAATTATTATTTAATGTTCTGCAGTGAATAGCTCTTCGATTACAAGTTTTTACAAAGTCTTTGCCAGTGTTTCTTAACCGTTTTAGTAATCGGTATCCCCTCGAAGGTTGAGTTTAAAATAACAAAGGTAGAGAGGGTAATCGTGAGGGTCCAGGGCAACGTCGTAGCGTTTTCCAGTTTACCGTGGGCTCTGAGAATACAAAGTAAAGTCGAGTTAAATTTATATAGCATAAAACAGCTTAAATTTTATATTAAATGTCTAATAGTTAAGGGTAACTGGCCCCTATTCGGGCATTACAGACGTGGAGAAACCCAGAAAACTCCACGTGGCCAGCCTATCCTGGAGAGGCGCTAATCCACGACCGAACTCCCAGTGTTCAAGGAACGGAACCGCTTGGCCACTGGTGGGCCCCGGACTCTTGCAATTTTTCGATACTGCACATGAAACTAACTTTTTTCTTTATCCTCTCTCTATGACAGTTGACTTCCTAATGGATTAAGATTAATTGTAAGACGAATGAGATATTGATCTTAGAAATTCATTGGTGCGTTGGTTCATTCCATGAAAAACAATTTCATCTATTATCTTAATTATTTACTAATTTCTTAATAATCATAAAAATGCTGAAATTGTTAAAAATGTATTACAGTTTCAGACTTTTAGATTACTATTCGACAGATTAGAACCTGAGTTAATGCCAGAATTTTTACAGACATTTTTCTTTCCTGGTGTGTTGTAGGATCGATTATATATTGGATTAATGGAATATGGTTAAGCAATCTAATACGGGGGATGCCTTTCTAAAGAAAACTGGGTCCTATTTATATGTTAGACAAGTGAAGGAAACCCAGAAAACTCAATGCTGCCAGCCTATTGAGAGAGTGATAATACATAATCCACTACCAGTGTTTAGTGGTTTTATCTACAGCACTTGGCAACTGATGGACCATAACATGAATGGATCTATATGATCCATTTCACTTGTTACATTTCATCTACATCATCAAATTAATAAAATCATTATGATTTTGAATTTTTTAGGCTATATAATAGTTTCATTCAAATTTATTGGATCTTTTCCAATCATAACCATCAGAATACAATGTATGTTTCCACATTGTAAGATATAAGAATATAAGATTGCATCTAAAAATAGTTGCCTGGATATATACAGAAACTTCTACATTGTTTATCAATCTGCTGATGCAAGACACCAATACACTATAGTTTATACGGTTAGATTCTTCACAGTTATAAACTCAATCCTATTATCCTTGGTTGAAGAATAGTATCTGGACAGGAATACACTTAAAAAATAATCATAAAAATTTTCTATGCATGGCTGAAATTAAACTTCTGAAACATTAAAAATATCTTTATAGAATTCTGAATCAATAGTATCAAATTTGTCCAACACATTTATCTCATTTTACTATAATCATAATGTTAAATGTTTGCAGTTAAGAATTGGCATCTAAACTAAATGTAAATACAATGCTTCTCAAACATATTTACTCTATTAACATGAAATAAAAAAGTATGTTTTGTCTTTGTACAGGGTGCTCAAATAACTAAAGCATCTCATTTTGATTACGAGTTTTTACTTGGACATAAAATTGTTTTCATATGTGAAGCAAAAGGAGATCCACAACCAAGAATTAACTGGTTTAAGGATGACATCGAACTCTATGCACATCCTTTTATAAAGGTAAATTATGTATTATTTAAACATATTCTAAGAATAATAGATAAACATCATAAGTTTTTATATATACAATATAGGTTAGATTAAAATATTTTTATCTTAGGAATCTAAAACAACCCCTTAATTAAAGGAGCAACTATACTCTGTCATCTGGGGTTAACTAAGATCCCAGTGCCATGTCTTGTTCCAGAGTTGTGGAATGTTTGATGACATGTGATGAATCAGTCTGAACCATCACTAGTCTATCTCCAGTTTTACACACCCTTTCCTCTCAGTGCTCCCTTACCTAGCATCAGTAAATTATCCAAATAATATTCCTAAATATATTCCTAAATAATTCAAATAATTACATCTCTCTCCTAAGTACTAGGTAAGGGCAACCCTCTAAGCTGGTACTTGAGACATATGTCCTGTATATTCTCCTAATTGCATTCCTGAAAGAAACTAAGAAAAATATCAGAAATATTCATTCCTTACATAAATGAAAAGGTTCTTTATACTTATAAATTTGGAAAGAGGAGTTAAAAAAGAATATTTTTCTTTCATTCTTATCGAAAATGAGAAGCGCACATTTTATTTTTTAAGCAACTGTAGAGACAAAAAGGATAAATTTTCAACATAATTACTGTTGTGTCAAATGGAACAAATATTTTATTTCCATAATTAAATATTAAAATTTAACTTCCATGTTTTTGAATCTGCAGGAATTTAATATTTGCTCTACTTTTAGATTGTAACACATGGACCAGATTTATTTTATATTTGCTCTTATCCTAAGTTAAAAATATAAGTAACACTTCCTGTCTACTAAATAATAATAAATGTAAAATCAGGATGCCCCAATCTATAGCTTTAGCTTACATGTAAATCTGTTCTTAGTTAACACATCTATGTTGCCCAAATAATATAAATTAAGATAAACTTTACTTGATGAAAAGTATCTGCTCCTGTGTAAAGCAGTTAAATATAATAAATTAATCAATTAAACTGCTTTATAAGGAGTTATGTTGAATATAATTTAATTATTGACATATAATATATTGCAGATTACGGAATGGCAGCTGAAACACAAACACATCAAAAGCAAATTACAGATAACACCAGCTCGACAGATGGATTCGGGGATGTACGAATGTCAAGCCAATAATAAATACTCGATCGACAGTAGAAGTTTTAAAGCAGATTTCAGTACAATTAGTAAATAAATTCGATTTAACGAAATTAACTTCTGGTATGTAATTGGAAAAACAGAGAATATGAATGTTCCTTCACATTTTTTTAAAAAGAAATCTGTATTAAATAGCTATTAATATCATGTGCATTTTAAATTATGAAAGTAATTTTTGAATTCTATGTGTAAAAAGATATATTAATACATCAAACATAATGTTTCAATTAAATATTACTGCACATCTTAAAGTATGTAATCAGAAGACAGAGAATATGAATGTTCCTTCACATTTTTTTAAAAAGAAATCTGTATTAAATAGCTATTAATATCGTGTGCATTTTAAATTATGAAAGTAATTTTTGAATTCTATGTGTAAAATGACATATTAATACAGTAGAACCTCGATTATCCGGACTAATTGGGGATGAAGGTAGTCCGGATAAGGAAAAATCCGGATAATCGAAATAGATACTTTAATTTGTCTTTTAATGATAATACAACACGTTTTCTTTTCGATGACATATTGGTAATATTAAAAGTAAATACTGTATTTAAATCGNATCGAAAATGAGAAGTGCACATTTTATTTTTTTAAGCAACTGTAGCAACAAGAAGGATAAATTTTCAACATAATTACTGTTGTGTCAAATGGAACAAATATTTTATTTCCATAATTAAATCTTAAAATTTAACTTCCATGTTTTTGAATCTGCAAGAATTTAATATTTGCTCTACTTTTAGATTGTAACATATGGACCAGATTTACTTTATATTTGCTCTTATCCTAAGTTAAAAATATAAGTAACACTTCCTCTCTACTAAATAATAATAAATGTAAAATCAGGATGTCCCAATCTTACATGTAAATCTGTTCTTAGTTAACACATCTATGTTGCCCAAATAATATAAATTAAGATAAACTTTACTTGATGAAAAGTATCTGCTCCTATAAAGCAGTTAAATGTAATAAATTAATCAATTAAACTGCTTTATAAGGAGTTATGTTGAACATAATTTAATTATTGACATATAATATATTGCAGATTACAGAATGGCAGCTGAAAAACAAACACATCAAAAGCAAATTACAGATAACACCAGCTCGTCAGATGGATTCGGGGATGTACGAATGTCAAGCCAATAATAAATACTCGATCGACAGTAGAAGTTTTAAAGCAGATTTCAGTACAATTAGTAAATAAATTCGATTTAACGAAATTAACTTCTGGTATGTAATTGGAAGAACAGAGAATANCATTTTTAATCAAGTTTTTATATATACAATATAGGTTAGATTAAAATATTTTTATCTTAGAATCTAAAACAACCCCTTAATTAAAGGTGCAACTTGACTCTCTGTCATCTGGGGTTAACAAAGATCCCAGCACCCTGTCTTGTTCCAGAGTTGTGGAATGTATGATGACATGTGATGAATCAGTCTGAACCATCACCAGTCTATCTCCAGTTTTACACACCCTTTCCTCTCAGTGCTCCCTCACCTAGCATCAGTAAATTATTAAATTATCCAAATAATATTCCTAAATATATTCCTAAATAATTCAAATAATTACATCTCTCCCCTAAGTACCTGGTAAGGGCAACCCTCTAAGCTAGTACTTGGAGCATATGTCCTGTATATTCTCCTAATTGCATCCCTGATAGAAACTAAGAAAAATATCAGAAATATTCATTCCTTACATAAATGAAAAGGTTGTTTATACTTTTAAATTTGGAAAGAGAAGTTGAAAAAGAATATTTTCTTCCATTCTTATCGAAAATGAGAAGTGCACATTTTATTTTTTTAAGCAACTGTAGCAACAAGAAGGATAAATTTTCAACATAATTACTGTTGTGTCAAATGGAACAAATATTTTATTTCCATAATTAAATCTTAAAATTTAACTTCCATGTTTTTGAATCTGCAAGAATTTAATATTTGCTCTACTTTTAGATTGTAACATATGGACCAGATTTACTTTATATTTGCTCTTATCCTAAGTTAAAAATATAAGTAACACTTCCTCTCTACTAAATAATAATAAATGTAAAATCAGGATGTCCCAATCTTACATGTAAATCTGTTCTTAGTTAACACATCTATGTTGCCCAAATAATATAAATTAAGATAAACTTTACTTGATGAAAAGTATCTGCTCCTATAAAGCAGTTAAATGTAATAAATTAATCAATTAAACTGCTTTATAAGGAGTTATGTTGAACATAATTTAATTATTGACATATAATATATTGCAGATTACAGAATGGCAGCTGAAAAACAAACACATCAAAAGCAAATTACAGATAACACCAGCTCGTCAGATGGATTCGGGGATGTACGAATGTCAAGCCAATAATAAATACTCGATCGACAGTAGAAGTTTTAAAGCAGATTTCAGTACAATTAGTAAATAAATTCGATTTAACGAAATTAACTTCTGGTATGTAATTGGAAGAACAGAGAATATGAATGTTCCTTCATATTTTTTAAAAAGAAATCTGTATTAAATAGCTATTAATATCATGTGCATTTTAAATTATGAAAGTAATTTTTGAATTCTATGTGTAAAAAGATATATTAATACATCAAACATAATGTTTCAATTATATATTACTGCACATCTTAAAGTATTAAAGTATTATAAAGTATCTTTTATAAATATTATTTTTACATTATATTGATATATAATTAAAAATATTGGTAGGATTTGAATATCAAATTAATAAACTTCTGAATTTAATGAATCAATCAGATCCTTGTAGAATTTTATTATTTTTTTTTATTTTTCTCGTAATATTTTTGATTTGCACATATTGGATTTTTATAGCTGATATTATTGATACATCATGGGAAAATTTTCCAATGATTTAACTAAAGCAGAAGTTTTATGAATTAAATCTTACGAAAAATAAAATCTGTTTTCAATATCCATCTTCTATACCCACAACATGTTTACAAATGATTGACAATATTCGACTAAATAATAATGTTACAAATCTGCTTTCACTGGAGTCGCACATCAAAAATTAATTCTGACTACTCCAACATTTCTCGTCCATCATCAGAGCCTAATTACAAAAAGCAAACACACCAAATTTCTTATCAAACAGTACTTCATATAGGAACATCTCCCTTTAAATTTATGCATTTCTTCTTCTACATGATGCTTCCCTTTCATATTCCAAATTAGTTTAAATTACATTCTCCTTGTAGGAAATCAACTACTTTTATATTTCTCTTGCTTATCCTTCCTTACTAGTCATTTCCATGCTGACAACCAAGTATTTAGTTGGAATTTATATATTAAGGAGTGTATTGATACATTAAATAAGTAAACACTGTAGACGCATATAGAATTTCTAACATAATAAACATTTTCTACATTATAAATCAATTTTATTTTAATGAAGTTACACTATTACATTTCACTTGGTTATAATTTTAGAGAGGTTAACATGTTGATAAAGGAAGCTAATCTGTTATTTCAGTAACAATTTATCTTCTCGATTAGTTTTAAAAGTCAGTATTGATTGGAAATAAAGATATAAGATATAGCTAATGACAAAATCTTAGTTACAGTTATAGAGAGATATTGGTTTGTCAAGAAAGCTGCTCTAACAGGAATCCTATTAAAACTGCTTTGAGAGGTGGTGTAAATCGGAGTAGAAACAAATAGATTAACAAAGAAACATTCTATGCATTTATTTTTATTTATTTTAAATGGCTAAAGAGGCCAAATACATGCCTCTCTGTGACTACAAGTGTTCAGTAATTTTATCCACTGAGCTACTTGTGGTGGGTGTGATTCTATTAACTATTCAATGCAACGACAATTTTACTGTTAACTCCATTTACATGATGTAATAAATTAATTTAACAAGCGTGCCCATCAATGACAGAGCGCATAAAACTACTAAATGCTAAAAGTGGGTCCCGTGCTTCATCAACGTGCAGTTTTCTGGGTGCTCTTCTCGTGTCTAACACCTAAAATAGAAGCCAGTTTTTTTTCCATGGAAAGTCATCCAAGGAGGAAACTCTTAGCAAATCGCCCAAGTGTCGAGTTACCTATCCCATCAAACCAGAACATTTAACACCGCGTAACATGCAGAGAAGACCTTCAACTTTTATTTATTTTTTTTTTATTTTAAAGACACACGAAAATGTGCACACACTAGCGCTATATTATAATTAAGCTTACAGCCTACAAGTGCGTTATTATATTCATTTATACAGATCAATAACATTAATTCTAAACGGTGTTAAAGCTAACTTATCAATAGCTTCTATGAAGAACAGGAAGAGCCACGTTTAAGGCCAATTTCTAGCCTAAATAAAAGAAATATTGCTCTATTTTTTTCTAACAACAAACTAATTATTTATTTTCAAGGCTCTAAATGGCCTTTGTTTAAGTTTTATACCCGATTTAGGTCACGTAACGTGTGGCCTAATAATCATTTAAGAGAAAGAATTTTGTCTCTAACAATAACAATTTTAAAGCTTCCACATTGATTTAACGATTACCTACAAAATTTTTATTAAAATATCAAGGAAATGTTTAATTAACATTAAACCTAAATTCTTAAGAACAATTAAAGAAATACATTAAGAATTTTATCACAAAAATTTCACACTAATCCTGTACATTTGCATGTTGTGGTGCATCGTATATTAACAATTTGCGTATTTTTTTTAAATTAAATTAGATAATATTTACAGCAGTTTTGTCCGTAAAATCCATTTTACTAGGAAATTGGGTAGATTTAATGTTATTAAATCAATAATAACGGTCTGCAGCTTTGCTCGAAATGAATTACACGAGTAGATCAATAGGAACGGGATCGGGAGGAGGTGTAAGCAATTCTTCTCTACCTCTTAAGTAAATGCTGCATGCATCTAGACGTTCAGGTAAGTTTATAATACGATTTCTCCTCAAATCTCAAAGGATATTTTAAAATTATTAAACGAAATTCGTGCATCACTAAAGCTTAAAAACTATATGTGGATGGGTTAAGTTACCCAAATCAAACGTCGAATCTATACTCATCCTTTGAAGACCGGTGTCTATCGATTATTTCTGTTAACAGCACTCCAGAAATTTCTGCAGCTCACCGTTCTAACTAAATTAAGAATCTTCTACACCAGATTATAGTTTAATTGGCATTCAGATCGAAGGAATTGATTACTTTAATCATTTTTTCCCTTATTTCTTACGGGTTTAATTAAGTATATAATGACCCGCTACACGGTGTCGATTTTGCTGGGTGCGATATTCGTGATGGATCTAGCTATCACCGGTGATGCAGCGAGAGCTAGAAGAATATGCAGGATTAGGAGACCGAATAGAAAGGGTTCTCCTATAACCATTTTCGATACGCATCCATGTTGGAAGGAATACTATGACAATTCTAATGTAAGTTTCCGTATCTTTATTTTAATCATGTGTTCGATAATGCTATGTACTTCACTAGTTGCAAGGTGCTCTTAAGTAATCAATAAGAAACTAAAACACACATCAGGACAGATGTAAGATTCGTGGGTTTATAATGGCAATCACGTAGATTTCCTCACGACGAATTAATTATGTAGAAAAAATAGCTTTTGGCTAACATAAATAATAAATTTCTAAAATATAACGTAAATTCAGAAGCATTAAATGGGCCTTCTGATATATTTTAATAATAGAAAAACGTCATTGAATGTATTTAGCATCCAATCGTAGTGTTAAAGATCTGAAATGGATACAATGTTGGCATTTTTTCATTGAATCCATTATGAAGTTAACAAAGGCTAATTTATTTTTCCTTGTTAATTTCACAATGGGTTTAATGAAATAAGGAACGTAATAAAGGGGGAGATCTGCCNATAAGAACATCTCCCTTTAAATTTATGCATTCCTTCTTCTACATGATGCTTCCTTTTCATATTCCAAATTAGTTTAAATTACATTCTCCTTGTAGGAAATCAACTACTTTTATATTTCTCTTGCTTATCCTTCCTTACTAGTCATTTCCATGCTGACAACCAAGTATTTAGTTGGAATTTATATATTAAGGAGTGTATTGATACATTAAATAAGTAAACACTGTAGATGCATATAGAATTTCTAACATAATAAACATTTTCTACATTATAAATCAATTTTATTTTAATGAAGTTACACTATTACATTTCACTTGGTTATAATTTTAGAGAGGTTAACATGTTGATAAAGGAAGCTAATCTGTTATTTCAGTAACAATTTATCTTCTCGATTAGTTTTAAAAGTCAGTATTGATTGGAAATAAAGATATAAGATATAGCTAATGACAAAATCTTAGTTACAGTTATAGAGAGATATTGGTTTGTCAAGAAAGCTGCTCTAACAGGAATCCTATTAAAACTGTTTTGAAAGGTGGAATACAAACAAACAGATTAACAAAGAAACGTTCTACGCATTTATTTATTTATTTTTATTTTAAATGGCTAAAGGGGCCAAATATAAGCCTCTCTGTGACTACAAGTGTTCACTAATTTTATCCACTGAGCTACTTGTGGTGGGTATGATTCTATTAACTATTCATAACTATTCAAAGCAACGACAATTTTACTATTAATTCCGTTTATATGATGTAATAAATTAATTTAACAAGCGTGCCCATCAATGACGGAGCGCATAAAACTACTACTAAATGCTAAAAGTGGGTCCCGTGCTGCATCAACGTGCAGTTTTCTGGGTACTCTTTACGTGTCTAACACCTAAAATAGAAGCCAGTTTTTCCCATGGAAAGTCATCCAAGGAGGAAACTCTTCGCAAATCGCCCAAGTGTCGAGTTACCTATCCCATCAAACCAGAACATTTAACACCGCGTAACATGCACAGAAGACCTTCAAATTTTATTTATTTTTTTTTTATTTTAAAGACACACGAAAATGTGCACACACTAGTGCTATATTATAATTAAGCTTATAACCTACAAGTGCGTTATTAGATTCATTCATACGGATCAATAACATTAATTCTAAACGACTTTAAACTTAACTTATCAATAGCTTCTATGAAGAACAGGAGGAGCCACGTTTAAGGCCAATTTCTGGCCTAAATAGAAGAAATATTGCTGTATTTTCTTCTAACAACAAACTAATTATTTATTTTCAAGGCCCTAAATGGCCTTTGTTTAAGTTTTATACCCGATTTAGGTCACGTAACGTGTGGCCTAATAATCATTTAAGAGAAAGAATTTTGTCTCTAACAATAACAATTTTAAAACTTCCACATTGATTTAACGATTACCTACAAAATTTTTATTAAATTATTAAGGAAATGTTTAATTAACATTAAACCTAAATTCTTAAGAACAATTAAACAAACACATTAAGAATTTTATCACAAAAATTTCACACTAATCCTATACATTTGCACGTTGTGGTGCATCGTATATTAACAATTTACGTATTTTTTTAAATTAAATTAGATAATATTTACAGCATTTTGTCCGTAAAATCCGTTTTACTAGGTAATTGGGTAGATTTAATGTTATCAAATCAATAATAACGGTCTGCAGCTTTGCTCGAAATGAATTACACGAGTAGATCAATAGGAACGGGATCGGGAGGAGGAGTAAGCAATTCTTCTCTACCTCTTAACTAAATGCTGCATGCATCTAGAAGATCAGGTAAGTTTATAATACGATTACCTCAAATCTCAAAGGATATTTTAATAATTGAACGAAATTCGTGCATCACTAAAGCTTAAAAACTATATGTGGATGGGTTAAGTTACCCAAATCAAACGTCGAATCTATACTCGTCCTTTCAAGACCGGGGTCTATCGATTATTTCTGTTAACAGCACTCCAGAAATTTCTGCAGCTCACCGTTATAACTAAATTAAGAATCTTCTACACCAGGTTACTGTTTAATTGGCAATCAGATCGAAGGAATTGATTACCTTAATCATTTTTTCCCTTATTTCTTACGGGTTTAAGGATATAATGACCCGCTACACGGTGTCGATTTTGCTGTGTGTGATATTAGTGATGAATCTAGCTATCATCGGTGATGCAGCCAGAGCTAAAGGTAAATGGAGGAATAGGAGACCGAATAGAAAGGGTTCTCCTATAACGATTTTCTATACGCATCCACGTCGGAAGGAATACTATGACAATCCTAATGTAAGTTTCCGTATCTTTATTTTAATCATGTGTTCGATAATGCTATGTACTTCACTAGTTGCAAGGTGCTCTTAAGTAATCAATAAGAAACTAAAACACGCATCAGAACAGATGTAAAATTCGTGGGTTTATAATGGCAATCACGTAGATTTCCTCACGACGAATTAATTATATAGAAAAAATAGTTTTTGGCTAACGTAAATAATAAATTTCTAGAATATAACGTGAATTCAGAAGCATTAAATGGGCCTTCTGATATATTTTAATAATAGAAAAACGTCATTGAATGTATTTAGCATCCAATCGTAGTGTTAAAGATCTGAAATGGATACAATGTTGGCATTTTTTCATTGAATCCATTATGAAGTTAACAAAGGCTAATTTATTTTTCCTTGTTAATTTCATAATGGGTTTAATGAAATAAGGAACGTAATAAAGGGGGAGATCTGTCAGGAGGTATGCCTCTGGGAGAACTTTCTATGATAAAGTAATTTGGTGTTAGAAACGTGAAGAAAACACAGGAGTGGGTGAAGAGAAGATACTGAATGCAGTCAGAAGTGTTTTGGAATCGAATGAGTTTGTTCGTGTTGTGGCAAAGGCTAGCAAAATACCACATGTTACTATACAGAAAGCTAAGAAAAATATGAATAATTAGACAGCATTTTTAGCGGATTTTTTCCCATTCTATATCATGTTTGTTCTTACTAATAGGTGTAAACAAAGCACTCACAACCGTCTCGGCCGTTTTACCAACAATGTATTCATGAAGATACGTGTATTTCAACTGAAAATGAGCTATGCAAAACTACAGAAGATCGTTATTGATTCTCAAGAAAGTGATATGGTTCATTACATTGAGGAAGCGAGCAGCATTTACTTTGGCCTTGAATCTGATGGTGTCAGGCTTATGAAGTTGCAAAAATGAACAATATAGATCCCAACATCGTGGGCAGAAAATGAAAAAGCTGATAATTCAATGCACGCCGTGCAAATAATAGTCACATGAAACATGCACGAATAGTGATCCATTCTACGTATGACTCTGATAAATCTGCAAAAAAAAACTACTTTAAAATATCTCCTTCTCTTTCTGCAGCTATGATATACAGAATAGGATTAATTATTTTAAAACACAAGGATAAAGACGTGTCTCTATGATATACATATTGGTTGTCGTGGTTTTACATTTGCCAGAATATACAATTCCAACTTACCCCATGTTCTGTTTCAATATACCCCAGGTATGGGGTAAATTGAAATAAACGGCATTCCAAAAAAATTTTTTTTCTGAAAATACTGTTCATAAAACAATAAAACATAATACATAATGACGTCCAATTAATTGCCATATCTGATGACATGGGCCGGATGGCTGAAGGGTGAAAGTGGCAGCTTACTTGTGGTGAAGGATGGGGTCCCACAAATCTAGACGATATATAACGAAAGTTTCCTAAATATTTTAGAGGTTAAAGGTTAATAAATAAGTATTTAGTTTTGGTTCGTGGGAGACTATAACAATACCTTTCACAAACCTTGCCATCATTTTAATTTTTCGAGAAAGATGTGATGAATACATGATACAATGTTTCCCCGATCATCCCTTTACTAATAATAATAAATTATTATTTAATGTTCTGCAGTGAATAGCTCTTAGATTACAAGTTTTTACAAAGTCTTTGCCAGTGTTTCTTAACCTTTTTAGTGATCGGCATCCTTTTAAAAGTTGTATTTAAGAGGGTAATCGTGAGGGTCCAGGGTAACGTCGTAGCGTTTTCCAGTTTGCCGTGGGCTCTGAGAGTACAAGATATTGGTCTTAGAAATTCATTGGTGCGTTGGTTCATTCCACAAAAAACAATTTCATCTATTCTCTTAATTATTTACTAATTTCTTAATAATCGTAAAAATGCTAAAATTGTTAAAAATGTATTACAGTTTCAGGCTTTTAGATTACTATTAGACAGATTAGAACATGAGTTAATGCCAGAATTTTTTTACAGGCATTTTTCTTTCCTGGTGTGTTGTAGGATCGATTATATATTGGATTAATGGAATATGGTTAAGCAATCTACTACGGGAAATGCCTTTCTAAAGAAAACTGGGTCCTATTTATATGTTAGACAGGTGAAGGAAACCCAGAAAACTCAATGCTACCAGCCTATTGAGAAGGTGATAACACATAATCAACTACCAGTGTTTAGTGGTTTTATCTATAGCACTTGGCAACTGATGGACCATAACATGAATGGATCTATATGATCCATTTCACTTGTTACATTTCATCTACATCATCAAATTAATAAAATCATTATGATTTTGAATTTTTTAGGCTATATAACAGTTTCATTCAAATTTATTGGATCTTCTCCAATCATAACCATCAGAATACAGTGTGTGTTTCCACATTGTAAGATATAAGAATATAAGATTGCATCTAGGAATAGTTGCCCGGATATATACAGAAACTTCTACATTGTTTATCAATCTGCTGATGCAAGACACCAATACATTATAGTTTATACGGTTAGATTCTTGACAGTTATGGATTCGATCCTATTATCCTTTGTTGAAGAATAGTATCTGGACAGGAATACACTTAAAATATAATCATAAGAATTTTCTATGCCTGGCTGAAATTAAACTTCTGAAACATTAAGAATATCTTTATAGAATTCTGAATCAAAAGCATCAAATTTGTCCAACACATTTATCTTATCTTACTATAATCATAATGTTAAATGTTTGCAGTTAAAAATTGGCATCTAAACTAAATGTAAATACAATGCTTCTCAAACATATTTACTCTATTAGCATGAAATAAAGTATGTATTATCTTTGTACAGGGTGTTGAAATAACTAAAGCATCTCATTTTGATTACGAGTTTTTACTTGGACATAAAATTGTTTTCATATGTGAAGCAAAAGGAGATCCACAACCAAGAATTAACTGGTTTAAGGATGACATCAAACTCTATGTACATCCTTTTATAAAGGTAAATTACGTATTATTTAAACATATTCTAAGAATAATAAATACATATCATTTTAATCAAGTTTTTATATATAAAATATAGGATAGATTAAAATATTTTTATCTTAGGAATCTAAAACACCCCTTAATTAAAGGAGCAACTTGACTCTCTGTCATCTGGGGTTAAATAAGATCCCAGCGCCCTGTCTTGTTCCAGAGTTGTGGAATGTTTGATGACATGTGATGAATCAGTCTGAACCATCACCAGTCTAGCTCCAGTCATACACACCCTTTCCTCTCAGTACTCCCTTACCTAGCATCAGTAAATTATCCACATCATTTATTTTTCAAATAATTACATTTCTCTCCTAAGTACCAGGTAAGGGCAACCCTCTAAGCTGGTGCTTGAGACATATGTCCTGTCTATTCTCCTAATTGCATTCCTGAAAGAAACTAAGAAAAATATCAGAAATATTCATTTCTTACATAAATGAAAAGGTTCTTTATACTTTTAAATTTGGAAAGAGGAGTTGAACAAGAATATTTTTCTTTCATTCTTATCGAAAATGAGAAGCGCACATTTTATTTTTTAAGCAACTGTAGCGACAAGAAGGATAAATTTTCAAAATAATTACTGTTGTGTCAAATGGAACAAATATTTTATTTCCATAATTAAATATTAAAATTTAACTTCCATGTTTTTGAACCACAGGAATTTAATATTTGCTCTACTTTTAGATTGTAACATATGGACCAGATTTAATTTATATTTGCTCTGATCCTAAGTTAAAAATATAAGTAACACTTCCTCTCTATTAAATAATAATAAATGTAAACTCAGGATGTCCCAATCTGTACATTACATGTAAATCTGTTAGTTAACACATCTATGTTGCCCAAATAATATAAATTAAGATAAACTTTACTTGATGAAAATTATATGCTCCTGTAAAGCAGTTAAATGTAATAAATTAATCAATTAAACTGCTTTACAAGAAGTTATGTTGAATATAATTTAGTTATTGACGTATAATGTATTGCAGATTACGGAATGGCAGCTGAAAAACAAACACATCAAAAGCAAATTACAGATAACACCAGCTCGTCAGATGGATTCGGGGATGTACGATTGTCAAGCCGATAATAAATACTCGATCGACAGTAGAAGTTTTAAAGCAGATTTCAGTACAATTAGTAAATAAATTCGATTTAACGAAATTAACTTCTGGTATGTAATCAGAAGAACAGAGAATATGAATGTTCCTTCATATTTTTTAAAAAGAAATCTGTATTAAATAACTATTAATATCGTGTGCATTTTAAATTATGAAAGTAATTTTTGAATTCTATGTGTAAAATGACATATTAATATATCAAACATAATGTTTCAATTATATATTACTGCACATCTTAATGTAGTAAAGTATTATAAAGTATATTTTATAAATATTATTTTTACATTATATTGATATATAATTAAAAATATTGGTATGATTTGAATATCAAATTAATAAATAAACTTCTGAATTTAATGAATCAATCAGATCCTTGTAGAATTTTGTTAATTTTTTATTTTTTAAAGTATGAATTTTTCTCGTAATATTTTTGATTTGCACATATTGGATTTTTATAGCTGATATTATTGATACATCATGGGAAAATTTTCCAATGATGTAACTAAAGCAGAAGTTTTATGAATTAAATCTTACGAAAAATAAAATCTGTTTTCAATATCCATCTTCTATACCCACAACATGTTTACAAACGATTGACAATATTAGATTAAATAATAATGTTACAAATCTGCTTTCACTGGACTCGCACATCAAAAATTCTGACTATTCCAACATTTCTCGTCCATCATCGGAGTCTAATTACAAAAAGCAAATACACCAAATTTCTTATCAAACAGTACTTCATATAAGAACATCTCCCTTTAAATTTATGCATTCCTTCTTCTACATGATGCTTCCCTTTCATATTCAAAATCAGTTTAAATTACATTCTCCTTGTAGGAAATCAACTACTTCTATATTTCTCTTGCTTATCCTTCCTTACTAGTCATTTCCATGCTGACAACCAAGTATTTAGTTGGAATTTATATATTAAGGAGTGTGTTGATACATAAGTAAACACTGTAGATGCATATAGAATTTCTAACATAATAAGCATTTTCTACATTATAAATCAATTTTATTTTAATGAAGTTACACTATAACATTTCACTTGGTTATAATTTTAGAGAGGTTAACATATTGATAAAGGAAGCTAATCTGTTATTTCAGTAACAATTTATCTTCTCGATTAGTTTTATACAGCAGTATTGATTGGAAATAAAAATATAAGATATAGCTAATGACAAAAATCTTAGTTGCAGTTATAGATAGGGAGATATTGGTTTGTCAAGAAAGCTGCTCTAACAGGAATCCTATTAAAACTGCTTTTTGCAATTGCGTTGAGAATTGGTTTTAATTCATTTTTATTAATTAATACTAATTAATGATCTATTATTTCTTTGTTTATGAATAAAGCTGGTGCCTCTAGGCAATGGCCTAGGATCGCCTAATGGTAAAACTGGCCTTGTGCCTGTATAGTACCATTCTTAAAATTTAATTAAAACTGCATATACTAAATACTGTATTAAAAAATTGTACTACATTTAAATATAGTGAAAAACTATTTAGAATTTTCTCCAAAGAAACAGGATCAAATAATACATAATTGAAATTGAAGTCATGATATACCACAGGATGACAAGTTAATATTTTTTTATGCCAAACTCATATTATAGCTTTCACTGAATGTTTTAGTGTTTAATTTTTTATTTTCTGTTTTTATTCTTAAAAAACAGTAGTAATCTTTTCATTGCACACACTTCTTCTACTCCATCGTTAATCACAGCACGTATCTGAAGAAATTACAAATGAACTGGATGAAGAACTTAAAACTAAATAATCTACACATTAAAATTACTGCAGTACGTATTTTTAATGAACAAAAACATTTTATTATTAATGTTCAATTACTGTTAAATATTCTACAACTGATGAATATCCATCAACTAGATCAAATACTTGCTGGGTAAATTTTAAGGCATTTATCTGATTAACAGCAACAAATTCCAAAGTGTGTTTTGCCTATTTAATACTCAAATTTCACTAATAATTGTCTTCTACAATTATTAAATTTTTGAATTTTAGTATTTCTATTAAGAACCATTAGGAGTTCTATGTTAGAATTGCATATTAAAATAGAATCTTCTATTAATAAAACAATTTTGTAAACTGTTTATTGATTGTTTAACTGATAAAGAATACTACAAATTTGTAGATTTCTCCTCTATTGTGATTGCTTTGCACCGTTAGCCAAACTATTTAAAGACACTAAACACACCTTACACACTTTTCCAGCAATTAATTTTAATTAAAACTAATGTTTTTGACCTTTGTCAGGTTTTCAAATAGAGATTCTATTTGAAATGTTAGAAACATTAGTGTGTTCAGTGTCTTTTATATATTATGGTAGTTTCAGCTTTGACCATTAAGGAGCTAATCTATCACTAATCTATCCCTCTGAAAAAGAATACACTTGGCGGATGGAGCCAATTTATGCTACTTTAAATTTATCAAAAATACTGTATATTCCTACTTTTATGATTTAATCGGTTGATCTATTCTAAATTATTTAATTAATTTAAATTTAATTATTAATTACGAAACCTCATTTAATGAGCACCTCTCATAACGAGCAAAGCAAATTGTAAAAAAAAATGACTCGCTTAAGGAGCAACGTTTCACATAACGAGTGACGAGGAGAGGGGAAGTCCTAGATTGTGTGCATGCTACATCAGTTTGTGTTTGGCACTCATTCTGCTAGAATCTTAATGCCACTTATGATCACACATTTTTCTAAACTTGTGTTTAGACATATTACATATATAAACATCAACAACCATAGCCTATTATATAATAAACACGCCAAACAATATGCCAAATTTTTATGCTATGTAAAGGCTATAATTAAATATTAGAAAGTACCATATTTCGAATTTTTTTTGGTTCTCTGCAAATCAAATTTGCATTCCAGGTTGGTTCAGTCCATGCTAGAAGAAAAGATGATGATTCACGCTCCTTAATAATATATATTGTATAATTTTCTTTGAATAAACATTATACAATATATATTATATACAATATATACATAAAATATTTGAATATTTTTTCGGCATGGAATGCATTATCGTATTTTACATTAATTTATATGGGAAAAATTGTTTTGCTTTACGAGTAACATTCTGGAACGAATTATGCTCGTTAAGTGAGATTCCACTGTATTACTATTGATACACAATGTCAACCTAATGCCTGTCTTTAGGTCAAATTACTAATTAAATTAATTAAATTAACAGTCTAAACATAGCCCAACAAATACAGCAAATTACATATTTGAATTACAGTAGAGCCTCGATTATCCGACCCCCGATTAACTGACACCTCGGTTAACCGACCGTCCTAGTCGGCAAATTTCAAATGTCCGCTAGTGATGTGGCGCTACAATATTTGGCTATGTCTTGGCTACTTTAATATTATTTTTACGTGTTTTAGCTGGCAACACTCATTCGACCATGAAAGGGAGCCAGTATTTAAACGAAGCTTAATTTTCTAATTTTTAACGATACAATAGCGACGATTATTATTTTAAAAAATTTTTGTTAGGCTTAACATCGATGAAAATTCAACGCAAAATAGGTTAATAGCGATATACTAATATACTAATTACATGGGATATAATAATATACTACACTAATAATGGATTTTTTCAAACTTTTCGGTTATCCGACTTTTCAATTATCCGACCAACCCCAGTCCCCAATTGAGTCAGATAATCGAGGCTCTACTGTATTATTAATAATTCAGTATAAACAGCTTAATAAGTATAAGAATATAATGAAAAAGCAAACAATTATTTATTGCGACATTGCCACAATGCTGGACTGAAATTTTTAACGTAAAAAATCAAATTTCTAGTTCAGACTGAAAGTTCATATATAGTTAATTGGGGGCAGTCCCTAAGCTTTCAACATCTGCTCTCAATTTTCATCTAACTCCATTTGAGATTAACAAAGGAAAGATGATAAATGACAGTGGAAATGTATGGGTCTGCAATTTGAAAATTACAATATTCATTGTGAGTTTGGACATGCCCACAATGAGGTGGTGGTGATGGATGAGTACCAAATCCAGGATACAGCACCCCTGAAATATTTCTAGGATGTTTTGACCCACCTGGGTCCTCAGAGTGATAGGACGATGCCTTAACTGTCTTGATCATTTGCAATTATATCAAAGCTAAATGATTACTGGATTAAATCGAGCTAAATTCCCGCTACTAATAATTAATAACTTGTAGAATATTAAACTTAATATAATATATTCTCTTAAGAGAACCTGCATTTAATTTAATATATTTAATTCTGTTATAATGATATAAAATCATTTTAATTATTTAAATTATTGTCAAATTTTCTGTAAATAGTTAATTATAATAAGTCTTCTACTTCCAAGATAAATGATTAAATTATCGTATAGAAACTGTTTTCATTTTAAAACTTTAATTTAATATTAGTGGAAATTTAATTAATTAAATAACAAAGTGCAAGTTCTAAACAAATATTTGGGTAATTGTGTTTAAAAATCTTAGCAAAAATCTGTAAAAAGTTTGTATAATTATCAATTTAGTGCACAAGCACTTAGACTAAACAGCAAGCTACACTTTGATCCATAACAGTTGGATCCTCTCTAAAATAAGTACAATTAGTATGTGAGAAAAATGGGAAATGACAGCTTTTTATGAGTAATTTGGATATCTAACTCATTTTCCTATACATTATAGGAACTGAGTGGGGTTGTACTAATATTAAGTAGACCGACACTTTATCTCACTACAGACTGGATGATAAGTATATATATATATAATTGCTTCTGAATAGTAAATATTATATATAATTAATTTCAAAATATAAAATATAATTAACATTTATGTGAATTTAGTAAAACTTTCTCATAAAAGAAACTCACTAATCTCTTTATAAAAAATTTTCAGGATAACTTAATAGCGAGGTTGAGGCTGAAGTTTTAAATGCAAAAACGTGTACGTCACACATTCAGCGCCACTTTCCTGTAAGCCTAGAAGTTTGACAATGGTGTTTGGATAGTCAGTGGAATCATGCTCAACATTCCAAACACCATTGTCAAACTTCTAGGCTTACAGGAAAGCGGCGCTGAATGTCCGGCATACACGATTTTGTGTTTAAAACTTCGGCTTCAACCTCGCTAATAACATCAAAAACTGTATTTTATAGATAGTATTTAATTTTTATTTCATTTTTGAAAAATCAAATTAAATAAAAACAATTTTTAATAAATGTATTAATCAATGTTTATAATTAAATTTTATAAAAATCTCAAAAGTTCAAATAAAGATTCAAAGAAAAATTGTATGAAAATTATGTTTTATTGGAATAAATCCTGTAAATACTGTATTTATTCTAATAAACAGAGCAGCTGAAAGTGAAAAACTTATCAGATTTATTGCATTAATAGTCGTCCTCGAATAATAGTCACACCTAATTCACAAAGAATAGAAATAATACACACGTTTAACATAACAGTGCAGTTGCAAGCTGAAAAAGTTATAGACAACATGCTGTTTATTAAAATAAATATAGTAAAACTGAAATGCTTTCAAGTCCTGTTGCTTCATCTTCAAGAATGTAAATTATTTCAAAGTGAGTTTTTACAATGATATGTGTGTCTATACACGAATAAGCAAACTTAGAAAGCACTTGAGTTTGAAATATTTAAAGAATTCACAATAATAATGTATAATTTTCTTATAATTTAAATTAAATATAATTTTAATAAAGCTCTTACTTTCTAGTTCCTTTTACTATATCAATGTAATCATGTGAACGTGCGTAAAATCCATTTGATGATAATGCACCCCAGAAATTAGACCACATTTTATTTGGTCGAATCAAGAGAGGAGAAATGACGAGTCTGAAATTTCATAATTACAATAATTAACGAAGAGTTTATTTTAAGAAAATCTTAAGATAATAATTATATTCAGTAATATACATTTAAATATACTACATTTAAAAAATGTAGGATCAAGACATTATTTATATATTTAGATTTATTATATATACAATGTTTTTAAATTAATTTTGAATGAATTTCAGATTAAATTTGTTTTTCTGTTTTGATAAATTCAGTATATAACATGTAATCAAAATTTCTTTGTGAAAAGCAGAGCTAGAATAAGAGTTAAAATCAAATCAAATGCATGCCATTCTTCTCAGACTGTTACCTTTCATTGATGAATGTTTATTTTCTACTGGCATGTGACTTGTAATATCATTAGAGTTGCAGAAAATTGAACAGTAATTTTTTAAACTCTTTCTTCTAAACTTCTGAAACCTTTGTTTCTGTTCAGTAGACAGAATACGGAAGCTCCCAATTGTCTATATTTGTTATATATCCCTGTGCAAATGCACAATTTGCTCAAGCTATAATCAGGGGCGCCGCTAGCTGTTTGAACGCCCGTGTGCAATACCGATTATGCCGCCCCCTGTTTAACTACGATTACCTATGCTGAGCTTGCCAGAAGGGCTCTTTGCCGCCCCCTGGACGTGCCGCCCGCGTGCGGTGCACGCCTTGCACGCCCGCTTACGGCGGCCCTGGCTATAATGTAGCCCAGGTGAGGAATTCACTGTACCTATTATAATAATTTTGTGTATTGAAAAAGACATTTAAATCTTGAAAATTTATTTATTATGGACTCAAAGTACAACATTTGAAACTCCTCACTGGCATTGTCAGGTTTATTCCTCACAAATAAACTTTTCACTTATTTTATTTACTATGGAAACTGCAAAACGGTTCTTCTCACTTTTAAAGTCAAGGATGAAGTGGCTCAATGAGCATATCCAACTGCAATTTCTATTAAAAAATTGTAATTTGAATGATACGCGCTCATTTTGAAAATAAGTAAACAACTTTAATGCCAAAAGACAGTTTGGTTTATTCTTAAACTTTTCATTTGATTATCCTCTATTAAGATAACCCAATAGAGAATAATTAAAATAATTTGAACATTCAAGCACATTCTATTTCATAATTTATGGGAGAATAAATTAAGAAAATATGTTTTATTTGAAATGAAAATTTTAATGTTTCAAACTTTTATTTGTTTTTGGGAATTTGAGGAATGTTATAAAAACACTGTGCTAAACGAGACACATTGCTTTGGATAATGTAGAGAAATTTAATTGGATAAAAATCTTCGTGAAGATGAGTGGAAATTTGAAAACATTAGAACCTTGAACCATAAAAGAGCAGAGAGGACATAATATTTAAATGTTTTATATGATACAACATTTACTTATATATATATATATAATCCAAGAATAATAAATAAAATAATATTTTAATATGTTACAAATTCTAAACATTTTAAACTTACCTATTTTGTTCTATTAATAATTGAAGTGTTTTGGGATTTGTGATCTGCGCATCTGAATCCATAGAAAAATAATAGTCACAGTCTATTTTTAGACATTCTTCTCTGAAAATAAATTATAAAATTCCACTGAATGAAAATTTTATATATTTCATAATTAAATTTATCAAGTACACGTGAGCACGTACATAAACACACACATACAATACAAAGAGGCAGATCCAGAAATATCCAAAAGGAAGCTAACTCATAAAAAACATTTGAATAATTATAAATACCTTTCATTAAATCGTACATGATGATTATATCATATTTGTCGTCATAAATGTTTTCAAAAACAACATTTCGAAGTTTGAATAAATAAATTAAAATTGTTTTTTGTGTACATGGAAAGGGCTTAAGTTCAGTAGTCCTCCCCTTGGATTGCCATGATAGTACTGTACATACACACACACACAGTAATTTCTTTTTATTTAACAATGAGTAATTATTCATTGTACAATTGTCACAATGCTGGGCTGCAATTTTTAATCATCTTTTAATTTAAAAAATAATGACTTCTGTTTCAGACTGGACATTTCTAAAAGTTAATCGTGGTACCTGGCCCTTAATCTTTCCATATCTGGTCTGCATGTTAGTGGTGTCTTGTCCCTGTACATTATATTTTTCCTGATAACAATCAATCATGCTGGTCATCTAGCTCAGTGGTCTGCAATCTTTCTGACCTCATGGACCACTAAACTCACAATTTTGAATCCCGCGGACCACTGTCATGAATTTTTTTAAATGATACAAAATCTGATACAAAATTAAATTAATTAAACATTAAATTTAATGTATATGCACAGGAGGTGGCAACACAGATTGAGTGTATGGTGGCAAGAAATGAGACCACCATGTTTGGAGCTCCAAGGAGCCAGTGAGATGTACCAGTGATCAGTTGTGTGAATAAAGAGTTGTCCATATTACCTGATCACTATTACCATATTATCGAGACATTTAAAATATACAAGGGCTAGTTTTTAAATAAGGTCTGTTTGTGAAGGAGAGTGAGAATGACGTGTGATTGCAGCAGTGTGCATGAGCATCTGCTTTCAGCATGCTTTGTGCATGTTTAGATGACATTTTCAGCCGTATCGTCTGTCTGTGTGCTGAGCCATAGAAGTTTATAATGTTTAAGAAAATTGAGTCGTCCGCCGACTGTAAGATATGATCTGTTATTTGATTTCAGCACGAAAGATCATGGTAACTGTCTTTTGGGACAGGAAAAGGACTTTGTTAGTGGATTTTATGCCAAGAGGAACAACAATCAATTCTCATGCTTATTGTGTGACCTTGAGAAAACTCTGCTGTGCCATACAAGACAAGCGGCGTGGCCTTATGTCTTCCGACGGCAGGTGGCAGATTTCTTTGAAGTCAGAATTTAAAAAATTTCTGAGCGGTATGACAAATGTTTGAACAAAAATGGAAATTATACAGAAAAGTAGATAAAAGTATGTAGAATATGGAAAAAAATATACTTTAACGATATTTACAGTATTTTTCTTCTTATCAAAAAAAGGACCTTATTTTAAAAAATACCCTTTGTATATTTAACAAAAATAGTTTGATAATTTCATTAATTTTGAAATTTTGATTTATTATATTTATTTTTTTAATTGATAAACAAGTCAAATGTTTTTCTTAATGTATAAAGGGGTCTTTGAAGTCATCCATGCTTCAGCAACAAAATAATGTTCCTTTTATGTATGTATAAAAATGCAATTTTGTATTATTTTGTATTATATTATAATCCAAAACCCAAATGTTTGTAATGAAAAACCACTTGTATTTTTGTAGACGCCTGTATATCCACCAAATTGTAACAAACATGGCTGGACAGGTATAGACAATCTGTCTGAAATGCATACAGTCATCATAATAAATCTGTGTCTACCGACTTCTATGTAATTACTCTGACTACGTCAATAGTATGTGATAAGTCTTCCATAGAGCCAAAACTTAAGTGCTCATAGTTTCATATTGTAACATAAGGACAAAAAGTAATTGTCCAATTTCCACATCTAATTTAAATTTTCAGATAACTCTGTTCTTGAGATTAACAAAGGATGGACAAGCAGACAAATGACAGTGGGACTGTACAGGTCTGCAATTTGAAAATAAGAGATGAACTCTTATTTTCAAATTACAAAAAGAAAAAAAATGTAAAGATGTGTTATATTATATAAAAATACAACTGGATTACATCTAGAAACAACATTCACAACATCTTAAATCCCAGCACAATTTATTAAATTACTAACTAATGTTTTTGACATATTCAACATTCATCTTCAATGAACATGCTAATGTAAAAACCTGAAGATTGATGTTGAACACTTCCAAAAACAGTTAGTTGGTATTTAAGAAAATGTGCTGAAATTTAACATTAATTATTATAAAATTGATTATATAAACATTTATTCATTACTGTAATTTAATATATTAAAGCCAAATTTTGGATGATTGGATTGGATTAAAAGGATAAGGTAATGAAACACATGGGCAATCTGCCAAGGGAAATGCTTCTTGGGAGGACTAGTATGGGAAATTGGTCCCTATTTGGTGTTAGACACATGAATAAAATCCACATTGCCAGCCTGTTAGTCGGGTGCAAACCTGCAACCAAATACCAGTGTTTAGTGGTGCGATCCATTTTGAAATTGATGGGCAGTAAAATTTGGATAAATATATGTGATTGTAATATTGAGAATGATGACAGAGTACATTGAAAAACATTTAATGCTAAATAAATACTAAACCAATAAATAATAACAACACAATAACTTATCTTCAGATGTAAAAAAAAAGTCACTCTCAATAATTTCAGAATAAAAGGGACAAAATAGATTTTAAAATAAAAATTGTTCTTGTAGACTATGTATGTCATTAATATTCAAAAAATTAATATGTTTAACTCTAGTTTAATATAATTTTAATACAGGATCTTCCAAAAAGAATGCTACCACTTTAAATTACTACAATTATGTTAACTATTATCTGAGAAGTATACAACATATACACAGTGGTGATATTCAGCGGGTTCGCACAGGTTCGGCCAAACCCGTTGTTAACATTTTCAAAGCTTTCCGAACCCGTTGTTAAACACACGTAACATTTCTCAGTGGTTTTGTTTCTTTTAAAAAATATATTAAAATATACGTATTATACTCTGTAACACTACTAAACTAGAGCCTTATACCCTGTTCGCCTTGGTGCAACCTCCATCGACCGTTTCAATCTCGACTGAAACGAGGTTTAATCGTGATCGACTCAAGAGAGTTCGGCTGCGTTTCTTTATGCAGCGAGAGTGCAGCGTAAATGACGTCACGAGCAGCTATCGCTACACGTCGCTGCATCATAGTTTAGAAACGCTTTCCGCTCGAGCGAAACACGGACGTCATAATCTATCCTTTAATTCCAGTTACAGACGAAAATAGTGCTTTAGTTAAAGAACTACAATATTTAAATAAAGAGATATAAAGGATCGAGCATTTATCTTTCCATAAATGTGAACAAAGTAAAGAGATAAAAGATATATAATTATATTTAAAATATAGTATTTTCTTATTCTTTAGATAACTTTCAGAGTCATTTCATAAAATTTAATCCTTCTTAATCTTTCCATAATATTTTTATCAACAGTCGCTTCGACTTTTTTATTTTTACAGCATAATATCGTATTATACACACAAGCGTCCATTTTGCTTTACACGTGTAGCGGACGTAAAAGCTGCTTTATCTTCGCTGCAGCGACCTCTTGCAGCAAACGTTTAGAAACGGTTCGCTACATTGCAGCGCTGCATTTAGAAACGGGTTTCAGAGGGTTCGCTGTAAAGCGCTTCTCGAGCGCTGCATAAAGAAACGCGGCCTTCTTAAACTAGGTCCAGTCATACGCGAGATCCCACAATCCCACGCGCGCGAGAAAATACAAGATGGCTGCGAAACACGTGTCCGGCTATCAACAGCGGAATAAAAAAGATATTGTATTTCGAGAAACTTTGACATCTGTCTATTATTATAATAATACCTAATGATAAAATAAATGCTTTTGAAAAGTTTTTCTTGAGAAAAACCAATTTTTATGTTTATAAAATATTTTGAATGAAAAATATTAAAATACTGTATGTACAAAATAAACCATTTTAATATTTATCAAAACAATATAGTTCTGCCATAAACATTGTTAAATTTTAACTGACTTAATTTTGCGAACGCATCCTTATTTATATGGTTCTTAAGGTCAGTTTTTGCGCTAATGTTGCTAATGAACCATTTGAGCAAAAAAAAAATTGTTAAGGAAAAATTTTCTGTTAGCGAACCCTTTGTTAAATATTTCTAATATCACCACTGCATATACACATCAATAGAGTAACTGTCCAAGTTTCATCTCCCATCCGCAATCAAATGTCTTATTGTCTACTACCTCTAGGAAGTGCTTGAAACAAAAATAGTGATATTGCAACAGAGAAGGCATTTTATTCTGCAGTTCACAAAGTCTGAACCAGAGAAACACTAGTAATCTGCAAGAGCCATATAATTGTGGCTACTGTGGTAGGGGAAACAATGGATGTGCTGTAGCAAGCATAGGAGGAATTTGAGTATCATTTAGATGTGTGCTTTGTGAGAGGAAATGCATACAGTGAAAAATTCTAACAGGGAAAATGTGAAACTCAAACAGTTTTCCAATGTTTTAATGTATATTAAAATATTCTCAGATAATAATTAACATAATTATAATAATTTAAATTAGTAGCATTATCTTTGAAATTTAATAACATTTTATAAAGCTAATTTGTTTTAAATATTGTACTTACAATCCCAAATTTCTGGCATGCCATTCTTGATATCCATCATCTACTTTTAAGTATGTGATACTCTTATATTTATGTTTATGATCAGCAATAAATTGATCCACATCATTGACATGATATTCTACCTATAGATATTATTTAATAAAATTTATTAATGAAGTATAAGTAATAAAAAGAAATTGTTTTTGTTCATAATTAAAAGTAAATGAATAATTATTAAATTAATTGATTTTTATTAAGATAATAAGTTCATTATATATTGCAGAACTAACTGTAAATTATATAAAACTATATATTCTCTCTATATGCTATATGGGGGACTCAACATGTACTATACAGAGCGTCTCAGAATAGATCAATAGAAGATTTAGGAAGCTGATTCTGTAGTATATTTAAAAGAAGAAAATCCCATATGATCATATATTCAATATTATTTGAGTTTAAACATAAAAAACAAAATACAGTAGAGCCTCAAAAACTCGGCCTAATGTGGACCGAAGAGTGGCCGAGTTTGTGAAAATGCCAGGTTATCGGGAATGGGGTTAAAAAAGGATAAGTATGCGTGTTTCCTCAGAAAACACTGTACTGTACTTGTATGTATTGTTTGCTTGAGAATACAACAGAGAATAAACTGCCCAAATACCCTTAAACAAAGGAAAAGTATGTCCTTTATGAAGGCATAGAGCAGTGTTTCTCAATGGGGGCGATATTGCCCCCATGTGGGCATTTTTCCATGTTGAGGGGGCGATTAGTAACAATTTATATTTTGGGGGATGAAAAACAATTTTCTGGGCGATATAGTAAAACATTATATTAAGAATAATTAGATATTTTATTCGTTATATCGTTCAATAATTAAACAAATAACATTATACTAGTCACTAGTGTATTCAATGCAGTACGAATTTGGCGTTAGCCTTGGCCCTCGACATTGGAATTTTGAAGTGAAGGGGGCGATACTACGTAACGGTTTTATTGAAGGGGGCGATGATTGGTTAGAGGTTGAGAAACACTGGCATAAAGCCTTTACTGCATGAAAATGAAAATTAATGAATACATGGTGTACAGTAATTTACCTGATACGACAGACCTCAGAAAAATACATTACGAGAGCTTTTATACTTTTATAAAGCTGTCTATAATGAAAATTAATTAACTAAGGATTTTTTTGTCCTGCCAAGGTGTGGTTGAGTTATCCGGAGTGCCAGGTTATCGAGTGCCGAGTTTTCGAGGCTCTACTGTAGCATTTTATCTTCCAAAACATACACATGATATCTAATTATTAATTATGTTTTGGAGAAGCCTGTCTTGTTTGGTGGTAGATTATTTTATTACATTTTAAATTTACATGTACTGTGCATTTTGAGTATCAGATGATGTCACATCACCTCCTTTCCACTAAACATGCAGTACACATCCATGCTACAAAGTGCATCAAGTTGAAAAGAATGTTTTGAACACTTTTTGTAAACACCAGTGTTACACTACCATTTCATTTAATGAACTCTGAACATGTTTCTTTTTACTTGTCATTCATTCTCTTTACTGCTTCTAAAGACAATGTACTACATAATTTCTTCATTTGTAAAGCCAAAACTTTTCAAATACTGACAATACAACTCATGTTCATATGGGGATTTTTTTCCTGCCAAATATACTATAAAATCAGCTCCATAAGTCTTTTGAAACATTTCAAATCATCCTGTATATCCTACAAGCTCTCCATGTTGACTGATAAATAAAAATTATTTACACTATTTCTGTAATATGTGTATAAAAAGAAAAAGAACAGTAATAAAATTAGCAAAATTATCTTACATTATTATGAATAAAAAGATCCATTTTCTCTTTAGGATAAGTAAATAATAATATATTTTCAAAGAATTCTTGAAGGAAAGGTGTAGGATGTTCTATAAATATTGCCACTATAACTGAAGGTACATTCTGAACCTGGTAAAAATAATTTAAAAGTTATTTAAATTAATAAAATAAATATGTAAATACTTAACTGAATTTATTAGTAAATATATTATTGTAAACATTAAAAACAAACACAGTTAAAAGATGTAAATTTTTATAAGTTGAACAACAAACTAAATTTACAAATAATTAGGTTTCTTACTTAAATATTAAATTCTATATTACATTAATTAGGAGTTAATCACTATTATTCAATACATAATGTTCTTTATTAAATGTAATATTTGTTCAAAATTCATTTTTTAAACTCTTTCTGCCTTGTGGGCACTAAGAAAACCTTTTTTTCATGCCTATTGTGGGTTTGGTCAGGCCCATAATGTGGTGGTCTGATAATGAGGAATGAGCCTGACATATCCAAAACAGAACTCCCATAAAAATTCATGGGGTTTTATGTCTGTGTGGATGCGATCCTGGGCCAAACAGATCATCCAAAATTAAAATTTGAAAATTGTAATTCTTTCACCTTCCTTTTTTTTGTTTTGGAATTCAATAAAAATAAAATATTGTTACAACAGTATATAAATAATGCACTAATAAGACAGATAGTGTTAGAAATGTTATAAAATTATATTAGCATGTTAGTTTTATAATACTTTTACTAGTTTTTCTTAAATTATTAAATGCTATTACTTTTAAAATTTCAAATTATTCACTCTAAATAAAGCATATTTGTTTCATTTGTTTACAGAATACAAAATTTACTTCTTATCTTGCATTAAAGCAATAATAAACTGATAATTTATTTTTTGGTTGCTTGTTGTTCTCTATTATATGCATTTTCTTAGCACAATGTTGCTGTTCAGAACCTATTAGCTCCTTTCCCCCCCTTTTTTTTAAACTATGTGTGTATCTTACGAATCATGTTGGTTCAACTGTCACTATCTCAGGACTGGAGAGGGTCATTAAGTCCAAAATGCAGGACTTAATGCATTCCGTGCACACCAATAAAACAACCTTTTTCCTCTGAAAGTGTTCCTGTGTGATATGTTCTCAACAGCAACATTGTGCTAAGAAAATACTGATAATTTATTATTTAAGATTATAAAGTTACAATAAATAATAATAATAATTTCTATATTATGTAACATTACCTTCATCTTTCCCAATTTCTTTTTATTTTCATTACAACTTAAGCATCCTTTTTTGAGAGTCCATGATTTAGCTAAATAATTTCCTAAAGAATTCAATGCTATCTGTAAAAAAAAAAAAAACACGATTAAATTAGTTTATTAATTCTAAATCAATAAAATTAATAAAAATTTCATAAGACTATATGTAATTTAAAGACAATATGAAAATAATTTGGAGTCTTCTAAATATATCTTTCCCACACCATAGGAACAAACAACATACAAGAATTGATTTTTCTTTATAGGTTCTTCCTATCTAAAACTATTTTACAAGATTTTAATGTCAGAGAGACTTTTGAGTACGACATTACATAGTTTTAAATAGGAATAAACATATATAAAAAGATCCACTTCCATTTACATGTGTTTTTAGGGTAGGAGAAGAACATACTACCAAGATTCCAAATTATTTTCATGTTTGTTTTAAAATTATAAATATTTTAATTGATTTTTCATCCTAGATTTTAACTGTGATATTTTTATGGATGAATTATGAATATGTAACTGAATTTATTGTTTTAAACTATGTTTCCACATGCAATGATTATTGGCACCAATCAAATGGCATCAGTTTGCATGTAAAAACATGTAAATTTAGATTGGGCCAATAATCATTGTGCCAATAAAAATACACAAAAGGTGTGCTTTTTGGCACCACTAAATTGGCTCCAATAATTATAGTTAATTTGAGTGAAAATTGCATGTACAAAATTAATGAACTTATAAAATATAATTTGATAAGTGCCTTCTTGTGGTTGAAAAAGCTGTAAATTTAGTTATAAGAATTATTAAAACTATTTAACATTTTATATTTGTTGTAAGAATATTTAAGCTACTAAAATGCTTTAGGATTTTCTAATGATTATATTTACAACACAATTATTAAATACTTTTAATTATTTACTAATTTTAAAATGCAGTATTGATAATTTGATTTAAAAAAGTTAAACTTTTTCTACTATATTCTGGAGTGAAGTATACTTAACTGTATTAGTTATATCAAATTGTATTATGAATATATATATATATATAGTCGTGATGCAATCTCTATGTAACTTAAGACTATGCACGGTGTAGACAAAACCCTGTATTGTCTTAGCAGACAGCAGAAGCAAGACGTATTTAGCTAAATACATCTTGCTTCTGCTCTGTATTAGCTAATTAACCTGTACTCTAGTACACTTGTATCAGTAGGCTCTTCATTGGTATCAGGATCAGATGTTGATTATGTGATTCTTATAAAATAAAATTTATATCATAGTTTTTAAAAACAGAGAACAAAAAAGCATTTAATTCAAAGATATGCTTTTTGAATTAATTGAAAACGTTACTAGAATAAAGAATGAGAGAATCGTGCAATTTGAAAAATTCTTTGATTAATTATAATCACCAGAATGATAGTAATACATAAAGATATTCAAAAAAATAGAATAAACAATAAATATTTTCAAAATTCATCCTTTTGTTGTGTTCAACCATTTATGTATTACTATCATCCTGGCTATTTTGTTAATTAATGTATTTTTTGGCTGCAATTTAAAAAAATTGTAGACCTATAAATTCCCACTGTTGTCCATCTGTCTGTTGTCCGTCCTTTCTTAATCTCGAGAACAGAGTTAGATAAATGAAAGACAAGACCAGATATGGAAAGCTTAGGTGCAGGAAACTCTGATTAACTATATACAAACTTCCAGTTTAAACTGGAAGTCATGTCACCGGCAAGACACTAGTAATTTGAGATGGAGCGTATATATTTTAAATTAAATAAATTAAAAATTGCAGCCCAGTGTTGTGACAATGTCACAATAAATAATTGCTCATTATAATTGTGCTGTTACCCTGAAATTTTTACTGTTTTTGCATATTGAGATAGAAAAGTAGCCTCTAATAAAAGATCTACTCACAACAGAGACTTTTGTGTTCCTGAGGTGTGTAGAAATAATGAATTATGAAGTCATTTATTATTTATTCTGTTTTATTAAATATTTTCAAGAATTCTTTTGGTTTAGGGAGAAGTGTAATGGGAATATTGAATTTTTATCTGGGGTAGAAACCCGAGTGATTAAAAGAACCGTAGAAAAAGCAAAAATCTCTCAATCTTAACAAGATGCATCCTCCTCACTCAAAATTAAGGGAACTCTACTTGAAGAACCACAAGTGATTATATGCCATGTCATATGCAAATGTGTATGTTGTATATCTATATCTTTCCTTCAGAAAGTTAATGTGTTAAATAAACATTGTGTTCAGTTTATGAATCATCATGTTTGGAGGTAATGTTCAACTTTACATTGTTGTTCAGGGTTGAAATTTTTAACTGATGGCAACTTGCCATGTGTCTCCAACCCTTTTCTCATAGATCCAGGATAGGATTTGGCCCTATGAGAAGGGATTATTGGTACAACAGAATAGCTCACTACTGATAACCAGATGTATTTGTATTTAGGTATAACACATAACAGAAGCAAGACAGTCTGGTGAAATATTTTTATCTATATTCTATATCTAGATTAGGCATGTAAAGAAAATCAGATGCATTCTATACATAACTTTCAACTATTTACAATAATTGAAAACAGAAACTCACCTTACTTGCACCATTACCATGTATAACTATAGGAGTTGTGTCGTAGGCAAGATTACGAATATAACTATCTGTTTCTCTAAAACGAAGTTCAACATCACCTAAATCAAAACAGCAATAATTTAATGTTTATGTCTATAATTTGTATTACATTTAATGAAATAAAAATGATTAAAATGTTGATTTTTACATATATTTATATGGATTGTATGTCTAGAATTCATAAATCTTCTATGACATATCAGCACAGAATTTAATTAAAATTTCATAATATTGGCCAAATGGCCAAGGTAGTTAAGTGTCATTCTACTTTTATAAGCAACTCAGAGTAAAGTCTGAGTGGTTGAAAAATCCCAGAAATTTTTCTTAGGTGACCTGTCTTAGATATGTTAAGTCTCATCTCTCACAACTCAACTACCGTTGTTGTGGGTTGTGCTGAACCCATAAAAAACATAGAGAAAGGCAGTAACCAAGTATCTGCTAATAAAATAAATCAGTTTCAAAAACAATTTATCCTTAAATAAATTGCCTCTGTCTTCTGTGGGAACCTGAACTGTGTAAAGAAAGTTTGTTCAAAAAGAAAGAATAACTTCTGAAATTCACACATGGACATTGTGATTATATATTTTTTTGATGCTCAATAACCAAAAATAGAAATATGAATAAAGGGATAAAAAGGGAAATAACCACAAGAGGACTTCATCAGCAGCTAATGTATATCAACTTTCTGATCTGAGTTTCAACTTAAGCTTTCTCAGTGTTGGAAGTGATACCTTTCCCACAACTTTTTGACATCTCTAAGGTGTTTTGCTGTTTTAATACACTGAGGAATAGCCAATTCAGAGAATCATCGCCTGTTCCTCCAACTGTTTAGTACAGTGCCTTATCCAGCTCCAACAGATATTTTGCCTACTGAGTACTTCCTCACCTACCATTACACATTTCAAAGATGAACTATCTTCTGTGATTAAGAAATTCTTCTACAATAATCCCAAATGAAACAACCTCCTCCAGTCAATGAGCACCATCCATCCCAGATATTTAGCAACTTGTGATCAATTGTAAATGCTCTCTCGCACTTAATGACTTGCTATTATCGTCCTAAAGTCCTAAATTGTCTAGTGACTCTTGTCACAGGTGTATAATCCATTATGTAAATAAATGGGTATTAGTTTTATTTAACTCATAGTAGAGTGCCTTCTTTCCATCATGTCTCTAGACCTCATCCATCCCAAATCTGGCCACCTACACATGTGACTGCTCATGAAGCTACAAACTAATGGCCACAGTGGTTTCTATGTCTTCCCTAAATGATGCAGTGGCATCAGTCCTGACGTAGGCATCACAGACATGGTGCTGACCCCTTTGATCATAGAGATGCAGAAGCAATGGGAGGTGCTTCGCTCATTTTCACACTTCTTTATACATTAAGCATTTGTACCTGTATAGTATTTTTCTAAGTGAATCATACCAGGTAAAATGTTACATGACTTTCCTTTCTTTAAAAACATAATAAAATTGTGCAAACTATAAAATCAAAGAAGAATCAAATTAGCAATGTATACACTTAATTATAATGGTTTTAGCCAAGTCCACAACAGAGATGGCTGGATGGTGGAAGCTGAGCTGAACATATTTAAGTCAAAACATAAAATTTTATAAATTACTTAAGAAAATTTCTGAAATTTTGAGCTAGAGTTGTACTTTGATTCTCTTAATTTTGCTATCTATTAATTAAATAACAGCCAGATTCTTATCAGGCTATGATCATCACCATAACTAGCCTTTTATGCTCCCGGCACAAGCTTCTGTAACTATGCCCCAAGGTCTGTGCCCTGTACCTGGGCACCGCTAGCACCGGCCTAGTTACGGCACTGGCTATGATATGGCTAATTAATCATTAAGATACTAAGTAACTTGGACTTATAGTATGTAATTAAATAACCATCTCTTATTCCAAATAACTCAGTATCTTAATAAGTTAATTAGTTAACCATGTCATAGACTGATAAGAATCCAGCTATATCATTCAATTATTAATATGTATGAGTTTGGTTTAACATGTATTTTGCCATCTATTATTGAATAATGTTACTTAAAATGTCATGATTTGAGTTATTTAATAAACAAAAAAATCAAATGAGCTAAAAATTAAGAAAAATATTTTATTATTACCGACAGCACCGTTCAGATTTTGAAATATTTCGGCTTTATGATCCAATTTTATTGACCACTGTTTCTGAAAAGTAATAATTGTAAATTAATAAAATTAAATTATTATGTAGTAAATTTATTAAAAATTTAATAAAATATTTTCAGATAATCTAATTTATATCATCAGCATTTAGTTAAATTAAACTTTATAAGAGCATTATGATTAAAAACAGGATGATCAAATGAAAATTTAGTTGCAAGGAGTAGACTCGGTAATATTGTAAAGGAGCTTAAAACATTATTCCATGAATCTGTAGTAAATAAATGTTCAAGAATTAAGTATGTCTCACATCTAGCAAGACATTAACACATGCTGGTTAGGGCTGTGCAGAGCCATACAACCTCTTGATGTCACTATAATCAATGTAGTTTCACTCAAGTTTAAATTATCCTGGCTTCGTAAGACATTCTTTTACATCCTAGTGGTGGCCTCTCGCGCACATCTATAAAATTGGCTCCGACTGCTGGCGTCATATTGCTGTTTGTGGACCTGATTGGTACGACTGCCAGCGCATTGTATGGCTGTGTGCGGGCCTGATTGGTATGACCGCTGGCATGTCAGATGGCAATTAATGTGTTAACAAGCATGGCCAATGTTATTGAATCTAAACTTTTCATTAGATTGCCCATTATTTGATTAAAAGTCCAGTTAACTTGATATACAGTTAAAATTTGATGTAATGTCACCATTTGTTTACCTCTGAAGCTGTCACTAAATCAAGTGAGCAATGCATGCCCAGCACCTCTCTTGCAACTTCACAATAAGATCTAAACATAAATTTGAGTTTGGAAATTGTGATTTGGGATAAAAATGCCATTTACAATGAAAACTGTACATTTAGCAAGTTCACAGATACTGAAAGTTCTCTATTTAATATTTATGAGTAAGATCTGTTCATAAGTATTCTGTCAATCTTTATGAGAGTGTTACTACTTAATATAAACTATATTGAGTTTTAATTGTATTTAAATAATAAATAATAAGCAGAAAACTTAACTTACTCTTAATTCTTCATTCAAATAAATTTTTGTGTAAAACAACTGGTCATCATCAATATTTTTAATTTCGGAACTAGTTACAATTTCATATAACTGTGGTGCATAACCCATAAAACCTGAAATGTTTTCATAAGAATAAAAATATTTAATAAAAATATTGGTATAATAGTGTAAAAAAAATTATTTCGTATACAAATAATTAAATATTTCTTAATAATTGCAACATAAAATAATAATAAAAATAAAAGAGAAGTCATCTTTTAAAGTAAAAGTGTCTTCTCAATTTGACCTTCGTACACCTCATCGACCTCAAAAGTTGTCTCTGCCAAAAGACTTTATGTTCTTGAATTGTAAAGAGAAAGAAATGAGAAGATACTTTTACTTTATTTTAATATTTCTTCTATTTTTAATTTAAATAATAAATAAAATATAATGTGTTTATAAATAACCTTTCGTTAATCAAAAGATATTATTATTATTATGTAAATTATTATACATAATTCTTCAAATTCTAACTGAATGACTTATTAGTACATAAAATCTCGACTAATCTCAAAAATTAGTCCAGCAGTTATCAAAATTATAACCTTTCTAATTAATCTTTCTAAATTTCTCTGTTCGAAGATTCAACATACATTCCCTCGTTCTAATTTCTTGACGAAGACCTTCCGAATAGGTGAAAAATATTAGAAAGGTGATAATTTTGACAACTGCTGGACTAATTGTTTGAGGCTAATTGAGGTTTTATGTACTAGTGAAATATATTCTTGAATGCAATTTATTTCTTACCAAAATTTTGTACTTTATCATACCTTATGTTAATACGTTTAAAAATTTTTAAAATATATAAAAAAAATTTATTTATTACAAATTTAAACATAATAGAAATATATGAACATATAAAGATAATAAATTATTTATTTTAAATTATATTTGAAGGGTTTAGTGTAAAAGATGGTAACACACACAGACTTAGTGTTGAAAAGAATTTTATAAATAAAGATTCATTTATTGTTTGTCCTTTAAAAAAAGGAAAAAGTACAGCAGATCTCTTGAATTTGTGATTTTAAAAAGAGCTGACAGCCAAAATTTTAGTTGAAATATGGTGATTTTGAGGATATTCAGGTGTACGGAAATGGTAAAATAAATTGTTAAATATGATATAAGGTTATTTTATCCCATCCGCTTTATACTTTTGATCATACTGCACTCATTACACTAACACGATGTAGCGTAGAACAGTGATTCCCCTAAATATAGGGTTGAGACCCCTAAGTGGGGGTCACCAATTCTTCTGTGGTCACATAAAACACATAAACACTTTTTTCATAAACATTATTCCTCTGCTTAAAAAAATCTTCAAAAGTTTTGTGTATATTTTTTCTTTTGTTTTCTTCAACAGTCAAAGAATAAATATATAACACTCAAATTGAAGAATATTGGCAATCAACAACAACAACAACAAGAAAAAAAGGATTAGTAGATTTGTATATATGGAAAAATTACCCAAAAAGTAATAATTGTAAAAAAAATGGAAATTGGAATCATCGGCAAAAAAATGGACAAATGCTAAACACAGTGGACACGTGGACAGAATCCTTGAAAAATGGACTGTCCATGAAATACATGGGCAAGTGAGAGCTCTATTGCAGGAACCTCTGACTAACTTCACCTTCCCCTATGAATGTAAATTGATACTTCTGACCATTTCTCAAGATAAATATAGCAACCTACTTGTAAGCACCTCAAAATGTGCAATTTTGAGTTGTTCCAAATCCTTCATTTAAAACCTGATGAAAAAATAAATTATACAAGATTTTCAGACCCAATTTTAAACAAAGATTATCAAATGAAGAAGAGAGTAAAAGTGGTATTAAGAAGTTGCTAATAGGTAGGGAATTCGATCCCGGTCCTTATTTCTAATCCCGGGATTTCGGGATTATACTTATTCAATCCCGGGATCCCGGGATTATTTCGGTATTGAGGGTTAATAAAAAATAAGAAAATCTTACAGAAATCAAAAATCAAAATTTAGACAAAAATCAACGTATTTTACGGTATACACCTAGTTAATTTAATCACTCTAACTAATCAGACTTAGAGTCAGACTAACCAGACTTAAAATCACTGTTTCATGTTAAATTTATTCTTTTTTAAGCATCACTGAGATCTCTTTAAACTCACATAAATTGAAAAAACCTTTATGTAACAAACTATGCAAATAAACGTTGAAAATTAACAAAAATCTCTCTTAACATCGACTAAATAGACTACTTTCATATAACAACCTAGTAAGTAGGTAGTAAAGTAAGTTTCTTAGCAAAAAGTATTTAAAAATAATATTAATCAGTCACATTTTTCTTAAATATAAAGAAAACTAATCTAATAGGAACATTCTAATTTGAATTGCGAAAATATGATCTGAGAAATAACAACGCATCCAGTGTCTCATCACCAAGTCTGCTTCTCAATTTGTTGCACATATATGCAGCTGCTGAGAAAACGCGTTTAGGTTTGATGGAAGTTGGAGGAATCGTTAGTAAATACTTATAAGCTTCGAGGACACGGGGAGGATGGAAGAAAACAGTCCGGTCGACACGGATCGGGATTGTAGGAGTAAAGGCTACAATCCCGATTGTTTCGATCATTGTAAGCATGTCTTTCTAAAAATAAACGCGTTAATTTTGTAAATTCGGTCTCTGTGTGAGTCTCTCAGCGTCCAGCAAACCACTACCCCGAAACGTAAAAAGACTTTCTCGCATCATCCTGACAGATCGCGGGCAAGGCGAGGGTCGTAACCTTTTCACCTAAGGTCGACCCCCCTAAGCGAGAGGCGTCGGGTCTATATTAACTACACTGGCAAAACAAGATGGCTGACACATTGACAGGTAAAACGCACTGAGTAGTGCTCTCGACTGCGCCAGAAAATCGATTGGCGCCCGCGAAAATTCAAAAATACAAAAATGAAGTATATTACCAAGTAACCCAGTGAGAACTGCTTGCCTATCATTTTAGTTGAAAATACAAGAAGTTTTATTCCAAGCAAGCATCGCAAGCCCGCTAGGTTAATTTCTGCTGCTTGCTTGGAATAAAATTTCTTGTATTTTATATTAAAATGATAGGCAAGCAATTCTGTTAAAAGCACTGGCACTGAACGTTTCGCTTCATGCAGTCTATTTTGCAACTTTTTTAAAATGATGTCAATCCCGAAAATCTCGGGATTAGGAAAACTTAATCCCGAAAATTTTGGGACTGAAAAGTGGTTGGGATCCCGGGATCCCGATTTTTGAGATCCTGGGATCAAATCCTCTACTAATAGGTGCTTGAGGACACTTTTGAAAATCTTTCTGTCCTTAAGATACTAAAAAGGTTTTTCATGCCCATCATGAATTGGCTAGGCCACAACAGGTGGATGAATAGTGGAAGCGAGACCAGACCGCTGAGTGAAAGCTACCTGGACATTTAAAATTTTTTATTTTAATAATACTGTATGTGCTTTAATGTTTATATTTTAATAAATTTACTATAAGAAATACTTTTTGCAATAAATTATTCATTTGTTTGTTTAAATATTGATTTTGTTCCTTGTGCTTAAGTATCTTAGGATTTACACTTTTTAAATTAAATAATAAAGTGTGACAATCACTCATCATTTTTATGTATAATATTCAATTGTTGGACACAAAGCCTTTTGTTTCTAAGTTTCCTGAAAGTTCCATTGCTCATTAAGCCTGGAGGGGCAATAAACTCAGCGAGGGAACAGGTGGTATGTAAGGAATAAGGGTTAATGATAGAGCTCTCTTTTCCTTCTTGGCACGTTTGGAGAAGCAGGAGAAGGCGATTGGCTATAACTGGATCTTATAACAAAAACATTGAAAGCCAATGAATGGGATTGGAATCGACCTGACAGTTAGAAGAAGACGGAGAATGTGCAACGAGCCTCTGAGGAACTTTTCCCTGTATTCTAATCATATAAACTAATCTTGTAAATAATACCACGAATCGAAAAAATATATAAACGTTGCAAAAAAACCAAACAAATGATTGTAATGGGAACAAAGAATTGGATTTTTATGTTAACTCAACTTTATGTTGAGGAAATAAAACTTACAAAAGAATATATTTATAAAATAAACCAAATATTGAAGAAAATATGCATTTTCAATACTCAAAGCTGTTTTGATGATATATTTTTTTAAGTATTGCAAGATAACTGAATCAAATGCTTTTAACAGAGCAACTTACATAATTAAAATCGAATTTGCTATGCCAAAAAAAAAAAAAAGACTGTCATGTAAATCCGGAAGAAACATTAAATGAAGAATACCAGAAAACCTTTAAGCTCCAACATTTTAAATGTTGAAGCTTAAAGATTTCCTGATATTCCTAGTACTAACTTTTCAGTAAACCTTGCTTATGTTAGGTTTTTCTGAAAGGTTAGATGTTTTTGGTATTCTTTATTTAAGGATTCTTTCATTCACCTTTTTTCCTCTTATGATTTCATTGAATATCAGAAATGCTCTATCAATGAAAAAATTTAATTTTTAACTGTCTTTCCACATACATCTAAAAGAATAATTTTTAACAGATAAATGTTCTTTATCTACTTCTCATTCTTTTTAATTTTATTTTATGAATTAATCCCTGTATTCAGGATCTGAGATAAGTGAGATGAGATTTAGCCTGATAACAAATGGGAATCCAACCTACTCTGAAAACCATTAAATAATATTACTTTTGTATTCCGATTTCAAACATTATCAAATTCAAGCTCTAGTATGAAATCTAATGCAGACTTACGAAATAAACCAAAAACATTTGTGTTATTAATAATTGTGTTTGTTGGAAATGCAAGGATGATGTTGATAGTTCCAGCTTGTTTATTACTTTTATACATTAAACATTTTTAATAAATATATATATATATGATTGTTTATATAACATATTACTATTATAATAAAACATTGCATCATATATGAAATTGTAACATACTGAAAATGGAAAGATATGATACACATTTACAAATATGTTACAGGAAAGCTTTCTTCTTCGACTTAAAGTTCTATATATTTCTGAAGAATATTGATAAAGCTCTATCCCCTTACCTGTATAAGAAAATTCAGAACAGTCTGCCAGTCACCAAATGGTTATGGAAAAAAGTATAAATAAGAATGTTAAGTACAGATTTTTTTTTTTGAGAAGTTATTTAATATCTGGCAACTTTTCAGAATTCATAAAGAATCTTTATAAAGTTACATTTAATATTCAATTCAAATAAATATTCACAAATCACATTTATACATAGATATAAATATATAAAGCATTATACATTCTATTCATCGTTAAACTAGAATATATAATAATAATAATACATTAATGATCTGCTAAACTAAATTTTTACTTGTTAAATTAATTAGCAATTAAAATTAAATAGTAATGATAAGCATTTTTCTACTTTCTGATAATCTGCTTGTCTATAGAAATGAACTGTGTGGGTGATCTGCTGAGGGGGATGACTCCTTGAAGGATTTCTATAGAAAACTGGCTCCTATTTAGTGTTACAAACATGAAGAAAACCCAGAAAACTCCATGTGGCTAGCCTTTTGGTGAGGTACAAACCCAAGACCAACTACCAGTGTTCAGCAGTGTTATTCATTCTATTTTTTGATGCTGTGTTACTTTTAGTATAAGATTTGTTTTTTTCACATTATTAAACATCAGTAGTGTGCTGTCCATGAAAGCTGTGGAAACACCACTTCCCTTGTATTTTCTAAAATATAAATACATATTGTCGAATACAGGATAGCTTCCACAGCAAAGATAATTGAATTGCGTAAAGTAGCCAGATTATACGCATTTGCACTTGCACTTTACAGAGCACAACCTCTGGCAGTTTAGTGGGTGCTACACACCAAAATATATAATGCTTCCAATGATTAGGTTTGTTATAATTTCTATGGAAACACAGCATCCCTATCATCAAATGTCACCGCATGCCACTGTTAAACATAAAGCCAATATTTTATTACATTTATTTCAGAATTTCTTGTATGTTTCATTTCTACCTATGGAATTTATCATTCATAAAGTCATAAAGGTTTTAAGGGGGGTCAAGGTTTTGTTGAACATCTAAAGAGGGGAGGAAAACTTGGACAAACTAGAATGAGGGGGAGGGAGAGTAAAAATTTTAAGAGAAATGCAGACATAATTTATGGACAGCTCATGAGAGTTTACTCTTCATTTACAATGTGATTGGATACATCTACAACAATATAGAGATAAATGCAGGTTTTCTTATTCTAATTTAAGCACTCCAATATTGGTTCTAGTTACACTATCAAGTCTCAGTATTCCTAAAAACAGTACTTTAATTCTTTTAAATATATGTACCGGTACATCTAATTTTTTCCCCTGTAAATCCTTTTTTAAAAGTTAAATTTCATTTTAAATTCAAAGTAACACAGTATTAATAAGTAAATAATTTTAAAAAGCTGGAAAAACAGCATGATGTTGAATAAGGTTTAAACTCACATTTTCTAAGAGCTGAATAAGAACTGTAAATTTTATATCAGACAAATTGTCACATCTGTATAATACACGCATAAAAGATCACATTCAGCATCAGATCTAGCCTTATCTGCATGCTGTGTGAGAAGTTTTAGCAAGCCCTCAGCTTTTTAATCAATGTGAATTTTATTTCCATTTTCTTTTGGCGTTCTACGCACCTACAGTTTGATCATACGTAGATCTGGCAGCGATCGCATTGGGATTTAATATATTATAGTATTCTAATATATAATTGATCATTTGAGAAAATACTAACATTATGTAGAAGCAGACAAATAGATTAAATATTGTTTTTTTCCTGGATATTTAAATTATTAATTATTTAACAATTTGATTGCTAAATAGTTTAGTTAAGACTATCATATCTTTCAAAATATCTATGATATAACATTAGATAATAAAGATGTTACAAATAAAACTAAAAGTGTTAGGAAAATGCCAAATATCATATGGTCTATTATTTGGTATGCAGCAGAGCATAAGATTATGAAACTTCATAAATATCACTACTGTAGCTTGTCATTGCAATTGAACTGTAAAATGTCCTTTATAATTAGGGTTGCCATATGTCTCATATATATGGGAATGTCACCGTATTTCACTACTAAGTCCTGTATTACTATTTGTCCCATTTTCTCAACGAAGTTCCTGAATGGGAAGAAATAGAATGTACTATTGCATATTTACAAGTAAGAAACATCGATACACTGAGATTCTATTCTTAAAGATTATTTTAAGAAAAAGAATACCAACCAAAACTGCAAAGCAACTATGAAATTGAGTATGGACAAGAAATGGCTGAAGTTTTTTGCAGATACAAAGTACTTTGATCAGAAGTCATGTCTAATAAAGCTATGCGAATACATATTTGCCATTCCAGCCCACAATTCAAATGTGGAGAGAATATTTTCCCTAATGTCAACTCAATGCTCAGATGAAAGAAACAAGTTGTCAGTGGAGACAACTGAATCAATTTTTATTCGTCATCATAATTTTAAAATGACTTGCGTCCAATGTGAAAGAAGAAAATGATGTAATTAAGAAAGTAAAATCAGCTTTAAAATATGACCGGGCTAAAAAGGATTAGCCTTGCATCTTTATTATTATTCTGTGTGTTCATTTTATTAGATTGCTTAAACTTGATTGATTTTTTATCAGAGTAAACCTATCCACTTTTTTCATGTTTTATTTATTTAGCACTTAGATAAATATCCTGTATCAATGCTTTCAATTATGGCAACCCTATTTATAGTTTATGTTATGTCCATAGTGGCAAATCTGTGATTCTTCTAAACCCTTGTTGTGGCTCTCATATATATATATATATATATATATATATACAGTAATACCTCGACCTTACGCGATAGGTGCGACCGAGAGATAACCGCGTAAGTCGAATTCGCGTATGTCGGGGTATAATTTCNCCGTGTTGCACAGAATCGACACATAACTACAATTTATTTTGTGTTATTTATTTCTGTGTTTGTTATATCTACGGAGACTTGAGAGACTCTATGTGGTGATTTCTTGTAACCGTGAACAAATCAAAAGACGAGATAAGATTAACGAGAACATTTATTAGCTTACATACATCCCACTTGGATTTTACACAAATTGCGAAATTATATCCCGACTTACATGGTCATCGCTCAGTCCCACCTATCGTGTAAGTTTGGGGTATTACTGTATATATATATATATATATATATATACATACAATATGCAGGTTATATATAAAATACCATTACAATATAGGATGCACCTCTCATACATGGTGTATGGCTCCTATCATGTTAAGGTTTGGCAACCCCTGCTATATGTTATAATTTTACCATTATTAAAATTATTTTATTATTAAAAATAGTAATAACGATTTTTAATATTTAAATTGTTCTAATCATTAATTTATTTTCTAGCCAGAAACTATAAACAAGCTGATATCATATAGCAAATCATTAATGTATTTGGATTTAATAATTAAATGATTAATGCTACATATAGAATAAAAAAAACATATAAATTTTTTTTGGCAAAAAGATTTTAAAAAGTGGAATCATTAGAGAATAACAGTTTTTAAACAAGGAAGTTTAAGACAAAAAGTAATTATTTTTATATTTAATGATATTAAAGATCTTTATAAAACTACATTAACTGTTGGGTAAAATTTTATATAACTAAAAATACAAATTAAATTAATTATCTTAACCTATAATGTAGACAATAATTAAATAGATTAAGATGTAAACATTAACTTTGTAATGTATTTATTTATCAATCACTTTTTATTATATTAAATTAATTTTTTTATCTATAAAACATTCTAAAAATATTACATAATTCTTCAAAGAAATATGATTGATAGGAAGTATTAATGAATTAAATTTGTGAAAAAATCGCACTTCCTAAACCTTTATTGTCCAGTATGTGTAAACTATTCGTAAAAACAAACGTTTTCGGCCTCAGACAAGGTCTTCTTCAGGTTAAAATAATTGGATTCCATTCTTAGAATGAACGTTTAGTTTTAAAATATAATCGAATTCATGCGTGTGTTACGTATCGTCATCATTTTGTTGACGGCAACACGCTTTCTTATGCTTGGCGTTACGTATGAGAAGAACAACAAAACGATGACGATACGTAACACGCGCATGAATTTGATTATATTTTAAAACTTAAACGTTCATTCTAAGAATGGAATCTAATTATTTTAACCTGAAGAAGACCTCGTCTGAGGCTCGTCTGAACGTTTGTTTTTACGAATAGTTTACAAGTACCGGTCAATAAAGGTTTAGTAAGTGCGATTTTATCAGAATACCGGTATTCAGATTAGAAGATTTTTCATTTGTGAAAAAGTTACAAATATTCTAATTGTAATTTAATTAAATAATACTTGCTATTATTGCTATATTGTTATTGCTATGTTGCTATAATATTAAATCTGTCATACAATAAGTTTGATATTTTCATTTATTAATTAAATTTAACAAATAAGTAATATGAAGATAATGCCATATAAGCAGGTATTTTAAGCAATAATCTTTCAAAGTTGAATTTTTTTCAGTTATAGATTAAATATGATCAAATAATCTTCTGTTACATTGTAAAAAATAAATAGTAATACCATTTATACCCAAGTACATTGGCGAAGATGACCTTTCCTCGTCCAGAAAGGTTGTCTCCGCATATAAATTTGTTCTGGACTGCCGATGGACACAAAAGATGGAAGGAAAGCGAAGAAGTTTTCAAAATGTTTTGTATTTTAAAAATGTTATTGTGTTTTAATATATTTTTATAAATATAATATATAATAAATAATGTTTTATGCATAGAATATCTACCATCTGTAAATTTTATACAGTTTGTAATGATAATATAAAAACTTACCTCCAGAATTAAGATATCTTTTCCCACTCTCTACTTTTGGATATTTTTCCTAAATAAAAATTATTATTATTTAAATAAATTTAAATATAAATTATATCAAATCAATTTTAAGCGTGATATGTAGAAAGGGAGTAAAATAAATCTTATTAAATAATGTTTTGACTGAAAAGTTTATTGTAATAGTAACTGAGAAGCTTGTTGTCTTGTAGAGTAATTTACTTCAAAGAATTAAATTTAAGTTTTAGCTAAATGCAATGAAAGCAACACAATTGTTAATTTAGAATTTTTTAAAATTTTAATTCTTACAAGAGGATCAATCAAATAACCAACACCTTATTCATTGCCGAGGGAGTTTATTAAAAAAAAGTATGTTTCTGTTCAATACAAGAAAATCTTTTCTGTGACATTAATCATGACTTTGGCTAGGATTACAATTGAATTAACTGACCAGATAGAGAGATGGTCAAACATAGCTGCTGTAAGCCAATAAGCTAATCAGAACCCAAATCCAGCTGTAATCACCGAGACAGTAAAGACATTATCCTGCTCTTACTCTATTAAAGCAGGATAATGTCTTTATTGTCTCAGTAATTATAGCTTAGCAACAACTAGATTGATATGTTTCATTATATGTCTAATTATCATTGAGTTATTTATTTTTTATACTAGATTACTTTAATTTCTATAACAGATATCACTTGTCTTCTTTAGTTATGATATGATTTCTTTTAATGCCAGTGCAGAGTTGTTATATTGAGAGATTTTAAAGTTAATAAATTTTGCTTTCTGTATTTATCATATTTTTTCATTAAAAGTATAAAAATTTACTCATTTTATGTTAAAAGTTTTTTATAAATGTCTTATGTAACCAATGTATTGTAAGAAAATTCCTGATATTAATGCAAAAATCAAACCAACTAAACCAAATTTTAATTTTGTATACAAAATGATTAAATTATTTTTCTTTCAAATAAACAAATAATAGGTTATTTAATGACTGTATTTATTTTATACCAATTTAAAATCAAAATTAAAAAATTATAGCTTATTTATAGACTTCATTGTATGTATTTAATGTATAGAAACAACCCAAAAGTAAATAGACAGCCTGAAATGTCAGCAAATGCATGTGGCAATATTAACTCCAAAAAGTATGTTGCCATATTAGCAAAAGATCTTCTTCCAATATTCTCTAGTGTGTTAATGGTTGAAACAACCACTCTGTTCATGGATAATGAGAGCTCCTTGTCACACTTTATAAAAGACCCAGAATTGGCTGGTAACATAAGGCATTTGCAAGCTTCCATCAGCCAATCAGTCACCCAGAATGAATTCTACTGAACAGGTCTAGAATCTGCTGGATCGTGCAATGTGGCGGCATTCACAAAACCCACTTCCCGTGGAAAACTTTTAGACTGTTTGTGTGCAGAGTGAACCAACATTCTACAAACCAAAAGAGCAGAACTCATTAATTATATGTCTGACTGGGTTAAGGCTTTGTGGTTTTCATATATATATGTGGCATTTGTATCATATAGATACTGAGATAAAAGTGTGTCTATTTAAGTGAAAATAAGATTGTCTATTTACTTATGAGATGTCTCTATGTAAATAAACATAAATTCAGCTTTAAAGAAAGTGAGAAATACTTTGAATAAGTTCATATTATGCATTAGTTATTTAAAATTAAATTACCTTATAAAACTAATTATATGTTACTTACTGCTAGTGATTCATCTGGCCAACAGAAACCTTCTGCAGAAAATAAGACTTTAGCATTAAATTTATAGAATTTCTTCAAAATTTCTTGGACACCAGCAGTAATTATGACATCATAGCTAGAAATATAAGTAAATGTTTTAAATATTGTATTGTATTAGATCTTTTACTTTTAGTAATATGCTCAATGACATATAAATTAAATCAAATAATCAAATCAATCATCAAACAAAAGCATAAATTATTGGATTATTTTCAGGTTATATTAAGGATAATTTAATAATTTATCATTAAAGTTTGGAAAGAAGGCAGGCTGTTGTATCACTATCTTATATAACAATTAGAAATTAATTTTTCATTTATGACAGACATATTATCAGTTACATTATTTGGATCTCTAGTTTCACAAACAAATATAAAGGGTATCCAATTAGTCATGTACAATATACAAACTACAAGGTAACAATTCTTCTATTTCAGGACAATGTTGATGCAAGATGAATGCATTGAAAATATTTTAATGATCTGCTAGCACAGTAACAGGGATGTAGCAGAGGAGAACAACTGCAAACATCTAGAGCAATTATCAATTTCACATATCACTTTTGCACAACTGTTAGTTTTAAAAAATTGGATCCGAATCCGAATGTCTTTGTTGCAGATCAACATAAAACTATAACCAATGACAATTCTCATACAGTAATTTTGACATGTCTAGTTAATGAATGCTTATAAATCGTTTCACCATCTGTCTACTCAATCTGAGATCAGTAAAAACAGCATTCATCGCATATGCATGTCAAGCCATAATCCCATCTTGCAAAGCATGTGAAACGATTGGATCATATGTCTGAATCTCTATTTGCAACAGGACAACAACTACATTAAACATATCACCAGGTGATCAGCTGTTTTACGTATTGTGACTTATGATACACATTGTATAATAATACCGAATAACAATGATTATCTTAATAAACCCTGAAAATAATCTGGCAGTTTAGGTTTACATTTGACAAATGGTATGTTCAAATAAAGAAAGAAATATTTATATTTACTAATAAATTGTCTTCAGTGTTTAATAGTAATATTTTTGATGATAATAATTAATTTTTAATCTAAATTCTTTTTATTGAAAGTAAAAATTAATGAATAGTGTATCAAGAATCACAAAGAAGTTATTTTTGTTATACTATGCAATTTTTATTTTTTTTATTTATTATTTTAATAAAGTTTGTTTATAGTTTATATTAAAATAATGCATTTTGATAAATTTCTTTTGTAATTATAAGTAAATTTTTTCTGTTAATTCATATAATAATTTTTCAAAGAGGAAAAGAAACTAAGAAGAGAATTGTTTGAGAGTTTAGAGGATTTGTGATAAATGTTGCACTAGGTAGCATGGAGAAGAGTTACATATTGTGTGTAACCTTCTACTTAGACCATTCATCAATCTCATCCTCATCACATAAAGCATACTGATAGTTTGAGAAATAACTACAAAACGACATAAGTATTCGGAATTAATTAATTTTTAATTTCTAAAATATTTTCAAATCATCTTCGCAAATTCCAAACTTTGAAATCACAATAATAATAATAATAAGCAAAAATATCACCAAAAATAATAAGCATTTACAACAGATGACAAACCTGAAATTACCTCAGGAACATTTATTAATTAAAAATTAATAAAAAGTTTAGGCATTTTATAGTTATAATTTTTCAAATTATTAAAGAAAGTTCCACAAAGAATGCCAATATAACCTACATATTGACAACAAATTTTAACTTAAAATCAAATTACAAGCTTGTATAAAAACTATGCTTTGTTAGGTGAACTTTTAAATACTCTACAGTTGACCCCCTATAACACTGTTGAAAATTACATTTTATATGAATTCCATGTTGTACGAGTCACTTAGATTTTACAAATACGTGAACCATTCACAGCCCGGTTCATGTATTTGTAAAATCTAAGTGACTCGTACAACATGGAATTCATATAAAACGGAATTATCAACAGTGTTATAGAGGAGTCGACTGTACTTGTATTTAAAATTCAAGTGCCTTCAAGCCTGGAATATCACCTGCTCATCTAAAAGAGCTCAATTTTAAGCATTAATTTTCAAAAGCATTCTGCTCATATTCTGGAATTATGCAAAAAACATAATTCTAAAATAAAAATAGAATGTTTAAATTGATTAGAATGTTTTTTAGAATATTAAATGCTTGTGATGTTCTTTTAGAATTAATTATACCCGTGAAAATGTGTCATAAAGGCCAGGAATGTTCTAACCATTAAGCACACTAGGCCGATGCCCAAGACCTAGAAACAGAGGACCTGGGGAGATGTTAAAAAAATCTCATACCGTTTCATAAAGGGACCCAAAATACCTGAAAGTCTAGTGGTCCTGTTATGGGTTAATCCAGTCCAGAGAAAAACTTGAAATTGTTTGAGTTTTAAATATTAAAAGTTCACTGCAATAAATCATAGTTTATCCAATAATTTGTATTGGAGTTTTGGAAGTTTTCTAGAACTTTTATGTTTTTAATATGCAAAAAATAAAGTATTATAACTAAGAATATAAAAAGAGTATTATAGATAATAAATATCATCATGAATAAATCAAGTATTTTATTGATATTCGACTTAGAATATTTAATAGAAGCTCTTACCTATCAGTGAACATAACAATAAGATCGGAATTGCTTTTATATTTTTCCAATTCTTCTTTTAGTAAATTAACCTTATGTCCACCTCCACTGTATAATCTAACATCTCCTCCTTCCCAAGTTTGATTCATTCCCAACACCTGAAATTTAATCAAAATCTAAATGAATATTAAATAATTATAGAAAGTATATATAATAATCAGTTAAACAAATAAAAATGTTTTAAATTTTAAGGTAATCTGCCAAGGACAGGATTAATTCCAGGAATACTGATTGTATTTAGATATTAGATGTGAGCATTGATAGTTGGTTGTAAATGCAAACATGCAACCAACTATCAATGTTAAGTGGATGTTATCGATTCAGGTACTGGTACGCCTTTAAATTTAAGATGAATCATGTTTTACAAAGAGATTTTCAGAAAAAGTTGGATGATACGAGGGCTGTTTGGAAAGTTTGCGGCCTTGCCTATATGTGGCACTGCAATCAATTTAATTTTTGGCGGAAATAATTCAGCCATCTTTACTAAAGATACAATACCAATTTCCACTTGATTTGTCATAAAGTTTTGCCACAACAACTTAGCAGATAGTCAGTGTGCACATGCTTTGACAAAAATGGAGAAGACAAAGACTCATGCAGTCATAAAATACCTGATGAAACAAGGGTTGATCCCATCTCAAATCAAAGCTGACATGAACGAAGTTTTGGGAGAGTCTGCTCCTTCGTACACCACTGTGAAAAAATGGACAGCCCTTTTTAAATCTGACAGAGAGAGTGTAGAAGATGATCCTTGAAACAAACGGCCGTCAACTGCTGTCACTGAAGAAAATATCAACAAAGTTCACAATTTGGTGTTAGCAGATCGCCGTTTGAAAACGCGTGAAATAGCTGAGACAACAGGCATCTCTTTCGACCGAGTGCATCACATCCTAACTGAAAATTTGGGTATGACAAAGGTCTCAGTGAGTACCGCGTCTGCTGACCATCAAGCAAAAACGTGTTCGCACTTTGATGTCAAAGGAGTGTTTGGACTTTTACCAGAAAAGCCCACAGGATTTCTTGCATCAGTTTGTGACTACTGACGAAACATGGATCCATTACTACACTTCTGAAACAAAAGAACAGTCGAAGCAATGGAAACACCACAGTTCACCACCACCAAAGAAGGCAAAGACAGTTCCATCAGCGGGGAAAGTGATGGCCTCGGTTTTTTAGGATGCTAAAGGCATCATCTTTATTGATTACCTAGAAAGAGGAAAGACCATCAATGCTGTCTATTACCATGAACTTTTGGAAAAACTGAAGAAAGAAATTGAAGAAAAGAGGCCACACTTGAAGAAGAAAAAGGTTCTGTTCCACCACGATAATGCACCTGCACATTCCGCCAAAATCACAGAACAAAAGATAAATGAATTTCGCTTCCAATTAGTTCCACATCCACCATACTCACCTGATTTGGCCCCCAGTGACTTCCACCTTTTTCCAAACCTAAAAAAATTCTTGGCTGGAAAGAGATTCCACTCAAATGACGAAGTCATCTCTGAAGTAAACAAGTATTTTGCACACCTTAACAAATCGACATCTTGTGATGGCATAAAAAAGCTAGAACATAGTTGGAGTAAGTGCATTGCTAACAAAAGAGACTACATTGAAAAATAAAAAAGTTTTAACATTATTTTGTTTGTTGTTCTATTTGAGGCTGCAAACTTTCCGAACAGCCCTCATAATTAAAGTAAATGTAGTTTGAAATAAAGTATAATTAACAAAGAATATAAAGTAAACAGAAATTATTATATAACTTTCAACTGGAAGCTCAAATGCACCTTCTTGTCTTCATTTAACTGCAGAAGTTCAGATTCCAAGAATTTTTTCCTTATATTGTATATTTTAAATAAGAAATAGTAGATAATTTTATCCCTCCAGCAAAGATATAAATCATAGCCTATAATCAGAAATTAATTATAATTAAATAAAAAAATGGTTTTGGTTGCATTTATCAACCATTTTCATGTTTATAATATAGAATAAAATACTTTTGTTCTGTGATTTAAATCTGAAGATGGCTAATAAATGTGACCAAAACTGTTTGTTCTTAATTTATTTAATTTAAAATATATGCTCTCCATCTCAAATTAGTAGTGTCTTACCCCTGTACATCATACTTATCCTGATAACAACAGAGTCATGCAAGTCATTTATGTCACTCCATTCAGGGAAAATTTTGTAATTGAAATCACGTGACTTCCAGTTTAAACTTGAAGTTTGTATATAGTTAATCAGAGTTTCCTGCCCCTAAGCTTTCCATATCTGTTCTTGACTTTCATTTATCTTACTGTTCTCGAGAATAAGGAAAGACAAACAGACGAACAATAGTAGGTTTACAATTATTTCAATTTTGGAATTCTGTGTCAGAATTTAAGTTAGTAATTATTTATTGCTCTTAGTTTAGTTTATTGTTCTGTTTAATTAATTTTAATTATTTTGAGTTTATTCTATTACTAGTATAACAGTCATGTGTTATAAATCAGGGATGGGCAACCTGCACCCCACAGTAATATTTTTGTGGCCCACGTCGCATAAAATATGAATAAATACAGTGGGTGATCGGTTAATGAACAAATCGGATAACAAACACTTTCACAAAAGATTTTTATGATCAGACAACGAACACTTCACTGAACAAACATAAAAAGAAGCGATGAAAATAGCAAATACTGACTGATTTTTCTTTGTTTTCAGGTAATTTTTTGGAGCACGGGAGACGTCAACGTCGACGCTCAATCCAATATATACTGATTAGATAGTATCCCTCGAACTTTGAAATACTCCCTTGTAATTCCAACCTTTTTTTTTCTGACAAGCAATTCTTTTATAGTATTTGCGAGACTGTCGGGTGGGCACTCGTTAAGTTTTGTGTCAGTTTTTATTTTCAAAAGGTGAGAGTATAATAACAAAGGTAGAAAGTGGGCAGATGTCTGACATCTGTTGTTGCTGGGCAGTATGGCTTGAACAGCCATACTGCCCACGTTGCAGTTCAATCTTATCTAAGAAAGATACTGTATTATCAAGAAAAGACAAGCAGCTTAAGGAGTAACAAAAATCACATCTGAGAAATAAAGAACATTGAAGCATTGATAATGGAACCTGAAACTGATCTGACGACAGAAGAACGCCAAGAACTCTTAAATGAAGAACATCAAGAAACTCGATGAGATACGTTTTATTCTGAAAAAGAGGATTAATGCCGATATCTGCTATTAATTAAAGATCTTTTGAACAAGTTAGGGATGTCAGATCAACGGTCCTAGAATGGCATACAAACCAGACTGAAATTAATAGGCTTGGGGATCTCTACAATTACAATGCTATTAATTATAAAAAGCCTGAAGAAGAGAGAAAAGCAATTGACATTAGATGGATTATTTAACCCCCACAAACAAAAAACATAACTAATAAAAATGCAAGTCTGTGTATATATGTATTTTTATTATTACAAATAAACAAATGTAGTAAGAAAATATATATATTTTTTTATTTTTTGGAGTCTCCAGAACGAATTAATCAAATTCCCATACAAATCTATGGTAAATTGATAATCGGTTAACGAACAATTCAGATAGCGAACAAAGTCTTGGAACGGATTATGTTCGTTAACTGATCACCCACTATATATCAATTTTCCAGCTTAAGGAAGTATGCAGCAAAAATTCAAATATTATTTTCTACAACTCATGTATGTGAATAGTTTTTCTGCGATAAATTTAGTAAAAATTAAAACAAAAAACTGGCTAACAGACACATCGAAACTAATTTAAAGGTAGCAGTGACTAAAATTTAACCAAATATTTCCGATATATTACGTTTACATCAGTTTCAGAAGCTAAATTAAGTATACCTATGCTAATTTATAATTATATATGAATAAAAAATTGTGATTTACCGACATTTCCCCCCTTTTCTCTTGTATGCAGCCCGCATCAGTTCAAAAGTTTTGAAATGAGGCCCTCACATAGAAAAAGGTTGCTCATCCCTGTTATAAATAAAGAGTTTATGTCTAAACTCCAAGTTGTCACTTTTCTGTTATATTTTTAAACTTATATCAACTACTTCAATTGCAAAGATAAGAAATATCCATCATTAATTTGTACTACTTTTTATATAATGTGCAATTGTTTTATGTAGGGTAAGGATAAACTTTTATTTCCTGAAAATAATTCATGATTTTGGGTTAATTTTCACAGAAAAAAACTTGTTTAGAACTTTAAAGATATTGAAACTGACCTTTACATCTAAATTGTAAATTTTTGTCGATCGATAAAATCTTTCATAACCTTCTGTTTTCTCTGTTGCCACAGTAATTATCAAGAGTTTTTCTGTAAATATATAATTAAAATATTAGTTATATAAATAATAATATTTATCTGTTTTATTTATATTTTTATAATAAACAAACAAACAAACAAACAATTTAATTTCAATTAAACTATTTATACACAATTAGAAGATGCCAAATATCAGATTTATTTTATAGCAAAGTCAATGCCATCAATCTGACTTTAGTATTTTAGAATCTATCATATTTATTCAAATCTAATGTGCACATCAATCTTCAAAACTCTGAAACCAAAGAATCTATAGATACTATAGATAGAATTCTACAAAGTAACAAGTGGCATTCTTTGATGAAGTTACAACAGCAATTGGGAGACTGGAATAATACAGCAATAAACACATCTATTGATATAAAGGAGCCTTAATTGAATTCTAGTGAAATTTAATTTGAAATAAAACGTTGAGACTAATGCTTTTCTTGTTAGGTGTATTGAGTTCACGGGTTGGATGTCACGCCAACTTATGTCAATCAAAACTTCCAAGAACGTCAGTCTATGAGGCGTTAAATATACTTGAAATTATTTTTAATTTACGAGCGCTTTCGACGTAAATAAGCACGTCGTCTTCAGGTAAAATTAAATTCGAATAAAGAATTCGAACCATACATTTAAATTTAAAACATTAACGATACTAGCCGTTTTTGGAACATACAAAAAAGAGATTTTAAATTTAAATATTTAGAATTAAACATTTAAAATTGGTGCGCATGCGTTTTAAAACAAAAACATCGATTGGAGTGGCTATTAATTATTATGTGAACGCGAAAAAATCAGGTAAAATTAAATTCGAATTCTTTATTCGAATTTAATTTTACCTGAAGACGACGTGCTTATTTACGTCAAAAGCGCTCGTAAATTAAAAATAATTTCAAGTATATTTAACGCCTCATAGACTGACGTTCCTGGAAGTTTTGATTAATGCTTTTGATCTACAAATGGAGATGATCTTCAGGTACATATATTCGACGATGGAATGCTTGAATAGAACAATAACATTTTTTTGATTAATAGTAATTGAATAGAATAATGAAGAAAAAATGCCACCGTTCTATTCAAACATTCCGTAATTGAATATACAGACCTGAAGATCTCCATTTGTAGACCAAAAGTTTTATTTCGAATTAAATCTCACCTGAATTCAATTAAGGCTCTTTGCTAGACATGTTTATGGCAATTTTAATCTAGTATGAATAATCATAATTTAAAACTTGGATAAAAATGTTGCATATTAGATTCAAGTATATAAAATATAATATGTATATATATGATATTTATAAGTGCTATATAATGTTATTCATATTATCAATAAATAACTACACTTACAGCTTAGTGTTTTTCTATTGTAAACTTCCAAATAACCTCATTTTTTTCATGTCAAGTGTACTATTGTTTTAAAAATTTCTGTATATTATGTGCCTCATTCAGAATTAGTTTAACATAATACTTGTAATATAAGGTTTATTAAACTATTTACTGATAAACGGCAAATAGTTTAGTCCAAATAGAGCATATTTTTTGATAAAACTCACTTCCCTTTATTTTAAAATGTGGTGCACAGGTGGTCTGTGTCATCCATTACAGGCAAAGAACTCATTTTGTTATATAGTCACTCATAAATTATAACATATATTTTGTGTAGGTGTCATCTAACTGAATGCACAGTACAAACAGATGTGTTTCTTCCAGTCATAGTAAATGTGTGTTAATAAGCATTATAAATGCTTGCTAACATGTACTGTTGTACCTCATAAATTAACAAGCATTAGTATTTGGTGTTATATGTACATAAACATCACAAATATGTTCGTTTGGGTAGTTTAAATTTTATAAAATAAAATACAAAAGGACTAGACTAAATAAAATATCCTTTAGTTCAGCGATTCGCAACCACTGGGCCGCAACACTTCAGTATGCCGCGAGATTTTTGAAGTGTGCTGTCACTGTGAATAACCATACATAAGCAACGTCAGACAAATAGTTTAATCGGTTCTACCTTCCCAGAGCGCATTTGGAAATTGTAACCAGTAACTGCCAATAGTTACCAAGGTGTTTAGAAAATGTGACCTAAATAACCAACTGCGTTTAAAAATCACTATTATGACGTCACCGGTTGTCCTGTGGTACTTACCGAAGTAACCGTGTGTGCCGCCAAATTTTTAAATTATTAAAAGTGCACCATGATGAAAAAAAGGTTGAGAATCACTGCTTTAGTTTATTGAAGTCAACATTTATTAAAAGATAAACATTTTCTGGGACTTCATCCCAACATCTGATCCTCTATGCTTTCAAACTGAGAATAGAAAATCAAAAACAAAAGTCTCAAAAAAATCTTATCCATTAAGAAACGTCAATTCCTCTCTTTTTGATTCCCCGTGGGCTTAAAAACCTTGTCTACATTTTATAAATATACTTGATGCATTATAAATTTCAAGTACTCTTACAAAAGATGAAAACATGAATGTAAACTGGACTCCATTTAATAATAATTCCACATCTTAATCTCCAGTAAACAGTATTATATCAGATACTAACAATCTTCAGAAATTTCGAACATTAGGATTTCAGAATGTCCTAGCATTTAAAATGTTTTGAAAATTTTAACATTCTTAAATCAGACTTTGGAATGAATTATCATTAAATTTAAATGCATAGTATGTACGTTTTACTTCCGTAATTCTGTTTTGGATGCTTGGTGTTAAATCATGCGAGGATGTTGAACGTGTCCAAAAACATTAGTATCAGACATAAAATTGTTTGATGGAATTAAGATTTGGAACTGTGTTAGCAAAAGAGATGAGATTTTGATGGTTTAAAAGACATAAACAAAACTGAAAATCCTTGTACATGGATATTTTTGACTCATCCTGTATAGTCATTCATTGAGATTTTTGTCAGTGGAAAACTAATTTGGAGTGAAATTTGTATGGCAAATGTATAGCCAAACATTGCCAGATTTTTCAGCTATTACTAGGCCAAAAATTAATTAAATTATTTACAAAATTCATACTAAAGTAACTGTTTTATTATCAATAGTTTATCATCTTAGATCTTCATAATATTTTTAGAAATTAATTTATCTTGAAGCTTGCAAATTATTCTAAGCAATTAATCTGATAAAATGGAAAAATATCTGTTACTTTATCCATTAAAACATTTCTTCTTCCTTATTATTGTTCGTTTTTATGGATCAATAAATAATATACTATATAGGTCAATGTTAACTATAGTGATACTATCAACAAAACAGCATTCAGATAACTTAATGTAAATGAGGAAATATCACAAAAATTAGAACTTGGCAAAAAAATTATAATAGATTAGAGACCGTGTATAGTTTAAGGGAGTTGCAAAAAGTGCATCATTGTACATGATGTAGAGGGATGAGGTATATATATATTTAACAATAACGCAATTGAAGACAAATACAAATATGTAAGAAACTATATTTCTTACATATCTTTTGCAATAATCCGATACTGGAGAGACTGTAAAACAATTTTACATGATTTAAGATGGAGAAAAGCATACAATAGAGTTCTACTGATGTTTTAATTGCATTCCTGTAGCTGTAAAGGACATACAAGACAACTTAATTTTTATTTGTGCATTTCACAAATCTTTCCTGAGCTGTAAAAATGCACTGTAACAGAGACCAGTCTATTTGCTTAGTGAAGAGAATAGTTTTTTCTTTGTCAAATATGTGATAAGATCTCTGTGCATTAACAAAAAGGGCTCTTAGAATTTTATAAAACTTCCAGAGTACCACTGAGTTTTGCACATTGCATGGCCAAGATATATGAAACAATTTGTATAAAAAATTAATATTTTTTAGTTTTAAATTTTGAATTTATAATTGCATGCTATAATTTACTATTCATTAAATCATAATAAAAAAATTATGTATGCAATTTGGACTTTACAATTTAATTAGCTGTGAGAAACTTCTTAACATATAGACGTTAAATTACAAATGAATGTCGCTAGATCGACAAGCGCTTTTGACAATTTCTGAATTTTAATTAGCTGTGTTACATATACTACATCTAGAATAACCTTTGTAGTTTAATAACTACATGTAATTGCAGTTGAAATGGGATTGTTAATGTTGAAGTTTTAAAACTATTAATAATAAAACAAACCATATAATTCAGCTTTTGTCAAAAAATCATAAAATAAAGAATTTAAGTAATACTCTAAAAGATAAAAATCTAAATTTTTAAAGAAAATTCTAAGTAAACAAACTGTTGGAAGATTATTGATTAATATCATTGTTATAAAAAAGAATATGTATTTTGAGCTATTGTAAACACCTCCTCACTCTAGCTGTGCTAATTGATGATTTAGTAGCAAGGGAAGATCCAGAAGAAACAAATATACATAAATTATCAAAAATTAATGAAATTTTGCAATTCTCATTACATTTTATTCTTTCATTTCCACATTTTTTGTTTGAGCTGAGATACAAGTGCATCCAGGGCCATCAAGAGTTTGTATGGAGCCTGGAATGGGTCCCTTTTGCCATTTTAAACAAATGAAATATGTAAAATGTTTCCTTATTAATAAAAAGCAGTTTTAAAAGATTGTACTTTTTTATTAGTAAAAATAACTAAATATCATGTAGCCCGATACTTAAATACTAAACCAAACGATAGCCTTAATTAATCAGGTCTGATTGATTAAGGCTATCGTTTGGTTGAGTAAAAATAACATTAATTTATGGGATTAGGAATCATTATGAGCTCAACTTTTCTCTGAGGCCTTAAAAATATCCCCAGCTTCCCTTCTTGAAGATTCTAAGTGTATCTCCTCGCACTCCCTCACAATGCTCTTGATCCATCCCTGATCTGTGATCATATGTCCTGGTTTCCCTGGGACAGTCTCAGATTTCTCCTGTTTTTAATCCTCAAAAACAGAATAAAATTTCAAATAAAACCATTTTATAGATCTAGTGCAATATAACCAATTTATAGATCAATATATAAACTATTTTTAAAAACAATCCAAGTTTAGCCATTTTTAGACCCATTTTTCATTCTCTTAAAGACTGTTCTGCTTTGAGTGATAAACAGTCTTGCCAGTCTAGATTTGAGTTACTTCAAATTCATTTCTACAGTTTTGTAACAATGATAGTAAGCTAATCAAATAAAGGAAGACCTTTCAACAATTCATCCATTTATTGCCAACATCATAAAATTTGAAATATATTTCAAATTTTAAAGATGCTAATAAACAAATAATAATACTGGATTCATTATTTGGCTTAAACTAGCTAATTAAATAAGAAGTTTTTATATAATTTGGACTATTTAGATTTAGTATCGGCTAATAACACACGAATCACTATAAAAACTTGATGTATTTAGTATAAATAACTCCAAAACACCTTAGATCTAGTAGAGAAAAGAAACAAAAATCAAACAGGAAACAATTCAAAATAAAGTTATTTGATGGATATAAATTGTCATCATATGTTGCATGTGCAAACATCGAATATGCAACAAAATACTCAAAAATTTCTTTTCTTTACTGGATCTAAGGTGTTTTGAAGTTATTGATGCTAGTAATTAATGCTTTTTATTATATTTCAATAGTATAATACTCTAAATTTACTATAATACAATTAAAATTTAATAGAAAACTGAATATTTATATATAAAATAGTTAAAAAGTTTAATATAAAGTAAATAATTAGTGATATATTAATATTTATGTAACATTTTAATTAATTTATTCATCTTAAAGTAAACAAATGATAATATACAATTTTTTTTCTTATTAAATAAATACAGTCGACTCCCCCCTATAACACTGTTGATTTTTCTGTTTTATATGAATTCCATGTTGTACGAGTCACTTAGATTTTACAAATACGTGTGCCAGGCTGTGAACAGCTCACGTATTTGTAAAATCTAAGTGACTCGTTCAACATGGAATTCATATAAAACAGAAAAATCAACAGTGTTATAGGGGGGTCGACTGTAATATAATATAAATCACAAAAAAAGCAATAAATTTAAAAAAACTTAAAAAAATTGAATAAAGATTTAAATACTCAAAATTTATTGAGTTTTGTTTCCAATTTTATTTTTTAAAATAATCTAGACTTTGTCTAGACAAAATATCAATTTTTTGTTAAGGGAATGAAAAAATAATATATTTTCCATATCAAGTTCCTAGTTAATTAACTAATTATTGCATTCATTAATCCTTATATCAAACTTTATTTGCTTTCTACATATGTTTTATACACATATAAATGATTCATGAACATTTTTATTATAAAGTATGACAATAATTTATATTTTTCATCACTTTAATGCAAATTATTGTGAAAAAACTAAGAAAATTATACTTTAATACAGTAACATTTAAATGTATACAACTCAAGGACTTTTCAGTCATGCTGGCTCTTGTTCAAGAGCATAAATTTACCCAAAAATAAAAAAAAAAAGAGTTTTAGGAAATTCTGAAATAATTTTATTATATTTTAAAACTTTTATCACATTTTATCATCAAATTATACTTGAAAGTTAATAATATTAAACCTTAATTAGCAAACTACATTAATGAAGTCTTTAAAAAGCAAAATATTAATTAAATGTCATTAATGCTCTACACATGTTTTCCCACATTAAAAAAACTCATCAATTTCAACAATAATTTGTATTTTATACACAGAAACAATTAAAAAATTGATTAATTTCAAATTACAGGAATAAATAACAAGAAAAATTCCAAGTTTTTCTCCACTTATTTTTATGTTTTTTTAAGTTTTTTTTTTTACTTTAATCCTTAACAAAGCTTACCTTTATCTTCAGCTGTTGAAAAGTCTAACATGAAATTACTCACATATAAAAATATAATTAAAAGTTTATAAAGATTATTCTGAAACATAATTAAACTTAGGAACTTATTTAAACGTGTGTGAATGTTTAAGTGCGTGGGAAGAGTCCAGATTTATGAATATTCCAAGAGATAAACGGAAGTTGGAGTGGGTTTGGCGGCCTCGAAGATATATTAACGAATGACCAGATGTCCTCAAAACACAAATGCCATCCCGAATTTTTTAAAAATACTCCTAATTGTCTGAATTATCCTCGTGTAAGCAGAGCAGAAAAGAAATTTAACCCAAGTTCAATTGTGTAAAAAATAAATAAATAAATAAATAATATATTAAATAGTCTAGCCGGATGTAGGTTATTTTAACAATAAAATTTATTATTCGTTTAATGGAGAGAAAAAAAAAGAAAATAAACAAATATCATCGATTTTTAATGCTTTTATTTTATTTGTTTATTCAAAAATGGAAGACGAGACGTAAGGCAAGAGACCATGCCCTTTCTTAGCATAAACAACGTGTTACGCCGTTAATTAACACTAGAGGTCGCGTCTTGAAATTTCTCAGAATTTTTTTTTATTTAATTTTAATGGAGAAATCAGCCCCATTGTGGGCCTGGCCGAACCCATAATAGGCTTGCTAAAAGAGGCCCTCTTAGTGCCCACAGGGCGGAAAGAGTTAAATTTTACAGATAAAGAATGGCTCGCAAGACAGTTAACCACTGTAAAGACTATATTCCCGTCTTATTTTGTAATCAAATGGCCGATATTCGTTCTTCTCAAATGCACGTTTTGATTCTTTGCTTCTGAATTGAACCGAAAATTATTTTCTGCTTAATGCCGCACGGATTCTTTACACCATAGAAATAGGCGAATAAGAATACTTTATATTAATTTAACGATTTATTTTTTTTTTCTGTAGGAAAAATTGAAAAGTTTTATGTTTTTAAGCATGGCGAAAATTATTTCTATTAACCGAAACTCGAGCGTACTCTACAAAAGAAGAGTTACATTCACGAGGCTCAGCAGGGATTCGAACCCTGGATCTTCGGTTTACGAGACCGACGCCGTACCACTTGGCCACTGAGCCATTACGTCTTTGTTTGTAAAAAACCGAACTTGTTTTTGTGAAAATTCTTCTTGTAGAGTCACGATTACACGTAAATTAAAGACTCGTGAAAGATAATTATCAAATAAATCGCATTGTATAATAAATTAAATACTGTATATTCAAATATTTTTCTGAAGACCGGTGAAATAATTCATAAATTTAAAAGAAATATATTATAGAGGTTGCGGACAAAGTTTTCGTCTTTAAAACGCGAACGTCGAACGTCGAGCGCCGCTATCTTGTAAGCGGCGCTCGACGTTCGACGTTCACGTTTTACAGATGAAAACTTTGTCCGCAATCTCTCTATTATTTCCGAATAATAGTTTATAACAATTAAAAGCAAAAATAATAATCAAACAAACGAAATTCGGCTCGTGTAATATTGACGAAAAATGGATCCCGAAAAGGTAGAACAAGAAGGAACGTTTAACATGGATGCAAAGTTGTTAGAAAGCTGGAAAACCTTAAAAATTAAGAATAAAGAAAATTTCATATGGAACTTATTGAAATCCGAATGGATTCCTCCTAAGCAAAGGGATCTTTTGTACTGGAAGGATCCTTACAAAACCGGAATCGTTTTCGGAACGGGATTAATCCTTCTCCTTTCTCTCACTTGGTACTCCATTATAAGCGTCGTGGCCCATTTATCTTTGATCGGTTTGATGATGGGAATGGGATTCAAGATTTACAGAAATCTTTCTTATGTGACTCATTTCGGAGAAGATCCACTTGAAAATTATTTTAATATGGATGTCACAACGTCATCGGAACAGATTCATCAACACGTGGATATCATGTTGGGATATGGTAATGAAGGCTGGAAAAGTTTGAGGAGACTTTTCTTAATGGAAAATATAATGGATTCGTTGAAATTCGGATTGATCCTATATTGCATGACTTACATTGGTTCTTGGATCAATGGAATGACCCTAATCAATATGGCTTACGTGTCATTCTTTACAGTTCCAAAAATATACGAGATTTACCAGGACCAAATCGATTCTTCTGCCGAATATTTGAAAATCCATATAAATAGCTTCTCCAATTCGGTAAAATACAGAATTTCTCAAGAGATAAAAGAAGATTGAAACATTTATTTTAATGTTAATTTTCTTTCTGCTTCGAAATTAATTTCTAAATTGTTGAATTCTTTTATGGAAACAATTCAAAATTATCTGACTACTTTCGTTTTTATTGTTTTCCGTTAAATTAAAGATTATGATAGAAATTTTCTTTCTCTGGTGTCTAATTAATAATTACTGAACGAAGTGAAGGGACAGTGGCACGTTATAGCTTCATGGGGGCCCTGGGAAATTTGAATTAGGGGCCCCTTCTACGGTGTTGACTTCAAACATGTTTTTCTGGGGAATCCTCCAAGTATCTTTGTTTGTTTTTTTAACTTCTAGCTAGTTAAGTCCTGCTCCTGTGCCACTATGGCAATCTATAATGAGTTTATAAAAGATTAGTTTGGTGGAACCCCAGGCAATTGCCCTTTTTGCTCATAGGATAACGCGTCACTGGAGAGGGGACAAAGCATCATCCCTTTAGGTCATATGGTTAAAGTAGCAAATGTATCAGCCTGTCGATCTGGGATTATATTAGAATCCGGGTCGGCTCTTTAGAAATTTACCTGGGCAATTTGCCCGATATGTCGGACCTATTCCACACTATACAACACTATACGACTTTTCTCATTATAGATCTACACCAGGGCTTCCCAATGGGATCGGTACCGACCCATACGTAAATTGTAAGGGTCCCTAACATCTACCATAAGTTGCCGGTACTCCTTGGGGTCAATGATCAAATTAGATAAGCTTACATATTGTACAGTATGTGCGTATTAGTAGTACTGCCCCTTAACATTGGGCAAGTGGAGCACTAGTCGAATTACCCAATAGAAATATTAGAAGGAAACTATTTTGACATTAAACTTAAATAAAAACAAAGAAACACACCACAGTCAGTACACGTTTAAGCTTGAATTATAATTATTTCAACAATTAAATTTGTATAATAAAACCTGTGTAAACTGGACACACGGTATCGAATATGTTGGACAGGTTTCAGTTTTTATTATCTGGCTAGTAATTACCCTGTGCTATATACTTAGGTAGTAAAATTGCTGTGTTTTCATAGTTGTGAAATGGCTACAAGAATAGTTAGTGCTATAGTTATGACCCTTTTACTTAGAAAAGAGTTGGAAAAAAGAAAAACACTACTATACAACTATTATTATGCAATAGCTCACACTAAAACACTAGGGTGAGGGTTTTCAGTCAACTTGTACACCCTGGCAGATCCTGAGAGGACTTTCTATGGGGGAACTGGTCCCTATTTAGGTGTTATATACTGTTTGTAAAGAAAACTTGTAAAACTCCACATGGCCAGCTTGTTGCTCAGATGCAAACCTACAACCAACTACCAATATTGGCATTCTTTTGTTAGAATTTTTAAAACAGAAATTGTTATAATTCATATATTGAAGTTCATAATGTATGATGCATAACAGCCTCCATTGCATGATTGATGATGCATGTATTTTTAATGTTTATTATGTATGTTTATCAAAAAAACAGACTATGGATTGTAATTGTGACATATTGTTAATCAAAGATCATAAAGTATTGGTACATAACAAGGGTCTACTTGACCTTTCTACTTTCCTGCATGAAGGAGAAAACTCTTTTACAGGTGTAAAATGCTCTAAAAAGATGTTTGTTCTATGTGAATTTGTGAAAAATTGGAGTGCAAAATTATCCAAAGGAATAAACAGATGTAAATAGAAAAATGTTTGGATTCAGATGGAGATCAGCAAAAACACACATTAATTATTATATATATATATATATATATATTTAAAATGAAGAAACTAAAGGCATCCCATTGAATATATTTTTAATAATAATAATAAATAATGCTTCTAGTGCACAACTTTAATTTAGATTGAATTAGTTAGTCTAATAAATAGGGTTGTAATAAATTGGAGGTCTTATCACATCAGGAGCTGATTGGAATAAACATACTATATTTTACTAAAACTAGCCTTTAATTAACCACAATCAAATATTAGTAGGAATGCATTTCGAATACAAAGACCGCTCATCAGCCTACATACATACTGTATAAACACCAGTATCCATCAAGACCATCATAACATAAATAGAAAACAAAGGCTAAAACATTTCCCATATATATCCAATGCACTGTTTACCAGTGCCGTAACTAGGAAGGTGCCAGTGGTGCCCAGGCACGAGGCGCAGACCCTGGGGGGCACAGAAATGGCCTGGACCAAGTTTTGGGTTATAGTTTTGGGGCGTAGTTACAGAAGCTCGCACCAGGCACATAAAAGGCTAGTTACGGCACTGCTGTTTACACAATATAACTAATACATTACAATATATTTTTGTTAGATAACAATTTATTTATATTCAAATTTGAAAGTGTTTGCTATCTGAACCAAAGCTTTTCTCAACATTCTACTAAGTTTTGTGAACTTTCATAACATATCACAAGCATTCTAATAAATATGTTGATACAAAATAACCAAAATAATGAGAAATAGCAATAAGAGCTAAAGGAAAAATAGCACTATCAATTAACCTAATAAATTACCAGAATGATTTACATTTGAGGAACTTCCTTAATAAGTGTATTTTTGTATAATCAATAGTGTAACTAGAATTGATATCGAGGGGATGAGTTAAAATCTTCAAATCTACATTTTATCCCTATAACACTGCGGATGTAACTACTAGTTCTGAAGATGAAGAGGACACTCTTAGTTATTATATAGGGTCTGTACTTGTATATAAGGAAGCAGCGAACAACTGGCCTTCCAAATCTGGGAAAACTAGCAGGGAAATTTTGGGTAAAGCAAGAACCATTTGGGTTAACAAATTATCAGTGATTGCAAAGTAAAAATTGACATCTATTTGTGTGAAATTTTGGGTAGATCAATCCCTTTTGCAAGACATTCCAATAAAAGTTTATTAAACCATTCACCAGTATATCGGTTGTAGCTGAAATGGATGCATACTGGACTGTACCCAATCTTTCTGCTGGATGTATCATTTTTATCAACGTTATATGTGCTTTTTATTTTTATGAAAATTATTATTGGTTGAACTTAATTCAATTTTAAAGAACTTACTTTGATTAGTTTTGTTAATGACTTGTCCACTGTTCTTTCAGGCCAGCAACTTTATGTAGAATTATTCACCAATATTGGAATATACAGTATTACTTAATTAAACACAGATAAAACACCTAAACCAGCATATATTATCTCAAATTAACACTTTTACAAACATTTTTGTCTGTTTATAGCAGACATCTTTGGTAGGCTGACCATAACATTTATAATTCAACCAGCACACATTTCTGAATCAGTGAAAATGGGATCTAAAACCGATTAAACTTCAGTTATTTTTAAAAATTTTATAATCAAAACTGGTGACAATCTCCAAAAATCAATTATCTGGTTACAGTGCTGTAACTGGGGCGATGCCAGCAGTGCCCAGGCACAGGGCGCAGACCCTGGGGGACACAGAAATGACCTGGACCAAGTTTTGGGTCATAGTTTTGGGGTGTAGTTAGAGAAGCTCGCACCGGGTGCATAAAAGGCTAGTTATGGCGCTGCTAGTTACTCTATCTTCAGGTATACGTAAACACAGAACTAAATGGACAAATTAAAATCAAATATTCCATTTTAATTTGTCCGTTTAGTTCAGTATTATATATATATCTGAATATTTCTGTTATAAAAAGATGAAAATGTTTGCAAATGTGCTAATTTGAGGTAATATATACTAGTTTAAGTGTTTTGTCTGTGTTTAAGCTTAACTTAGAAGAAAAACGATGACAACACCATTTTGAATGTCATCCAGATATGATAATTGTTTGTTAAAAGCAAAGAAAGTAATAACTTACAAATCTTGATTTTAAAGTAGATATTTAATAAAATATTAAACCACATGGATTGCCACGTTACCATAACAATGTAGACTATGTGTGCCAGTAGATGCTTTAGATCTCCAATGCTTTATTCAATAGTTAAATTTTAATGAATAAAATAAAAAATACAATAAATTTAACAGTTTTCGTATCAATAATGTCAAATAAGATTCTAATAATAGTCTACATAGTGTACTAGGCATGTGACAGATCGAAAAAGTGCTAAAATCCTTAATAATTCAGTCAAGTCAAAACAGTTAAGCTTTCTGATTGGATAGAAATCTTGTACTGAACTGAACATGCCACTGTAAAGTTTCCTGGCATTTCAGAAATATAATTTTAATATCTGAATATTTAATGCTCTTTTAATCAGAATTATGATTTCAATACATGCATGTAACTATGTAGATTAATTATATTATATTTTAATTAATATTTATTGCTGTTTGATTTAAATATCATCATGCAATAGGAAAAGTGAGTTTAACTAATTTCACTGTGATTATTGTAAACAGCTAACTTGTTTAACTTTAAATGCAGTTATTTCCGAAAAAAATTTAACTTTCCTAGTGTAAATATTTTATTAATGGATTTCCAGATAATTTAGAAAATCTTAACATCTTAGTCATTAACAGAATTATATCCCCAACTTCAGAGCCGGCCCTACCATAGAGCGAACGGAGCAGCCGCTCCAGGCGCTAAGTCTTAGGGGGCACCTCAGTGGTAAAGAAAATTAAAGGGTATAAATTAGGGGCAACCAAGGGGGCGCCATAATAGGATCTTGCTCCATCCTAAAACTTGCCTCGGGCCGGCACTGCCCAACTTCAACAGACGGCACTGTTAAGAAATGGCTCTTGTCCTGCAGTGATCGCTCTGAATATTTTAGTAATGAGCCAGTCGTGTAGTTTTCCATGTTTTTTCAAGCCTAATACATAATTATGCTTGAAATGTGCTGTGCACCCCTTATCCCATCAATTTAATTCAATCCAAACATCAGGTTCTTCCCAAGAACCTATGGTAAACCTGATATTTGGTGTACCCGTTACAGTTGCTAGTCACAAATAATAATATTTTTCCTGATTTATAATTCTTATTATGTCCATAGTATTCTTGTTAATATTTTGATATTAATTATAATAGTTATTACTGAAATAAGTAGTAACTATTTAATATATTAATTTCTTATAGGTATTGCTATGAAGTCATAACATGTTATGGTAATCTCTAGCTCATGAATCCAATGCTCATCTCAGCCTGGCATTAAAGAATGACTTCTTTAAAGTTATAACATATGTTATGGTAATGTACATTGTAATATCTTTGTTTTAGAATATTTAAAAATATATTATAAAGTCAAGACTGCGCTTTAAATTGATATTCATAAAATTAAAAAGCCTTTTAAGTAAAATTTACAAAACAAAGAAAATCTGCATGAAAACTTTATTTGTACCTTTGATTAGAATTCTGATCGGCGATCAGATTTGTATCCACAATCAATAACATAGGAGAATATGAGCAAGACATTCTATAATACATTTTCATGATAAAAGAGTGATATTAAAATTGAATGCAACACATGGAAATAGTTATGAGGAAAATTGCTTGAATAAGCAAATGGAAATTCCATATTATTTTCCAGCATTTTGTTTTTATATTTACATAAACAAGACACAAAAAAAAAAAAAAATCATATTGGCAAATAAAAGTTGTACTTTTATTCTGGTACAATACAGTTTATAACTGTTTTTATAATTTTCCTAAATAAACTGAGGGAACATTTTTTTGCTCATTGCATACACTTGTGCTCCAGTACAAATTTACTGACTATTATTATTTATTGTACCATACATTTTAATGAATGCAGAGCAACCAATCACATGTAACACGTTACGAGGAATTAGCTTTAACACATTGGTGCCATTCCTCCGCCAAGAACTCAAAACGAATATGCCCAATGTACGAAAAGAAATCCAAATTCTAACCGAAGCTAAAAACTTTACTATGGGAAGACAGTATTTAAAATACTCTAACGAAATAAAACTCAACGTGTGTATTAAAATCAATCACAACTTTCTTCACATTGACACATTCAATTTTATGCAGAATACAAACATTTTCTGTACAAAAATCCAAAGTCCAGTTACGGGACTTACAAGCTCATTTAATAAAATAGCCTCTTTTTATTATTATTTCCACACAAATATCTTAATTATAAATTACATTTCAGGAACATTTCATTAATTACGAGTGACTATAATCCTTTTTTTTCCTAGATTATTTTTTTTTCTTTTCTTTAAAATGTTTACAATGGACATCTCTGGAATAATCTTTTCCATTATCTCTTTCCTACTCAGATTTTTCTTTTGAGCAACAAATTCAAAGTGCTTAGGTTATACTAAATACAATTACACTCGTTTCTTTCAGAAATAAAAACAGATTTGTACCAAATATCGAAAATTTATATTACAAAGTAATTTTTTTACCAAAAAGAAAGAAATATTGGACACTTTCTTGACCATTTTCTCAACATCTAGTTATTAAAATGGCTTCAACATCATTATTATAATTAGTTCAATCACATTATTAAAGGCTCAGTGGCAGTTTTAGACACCGGCATCCCAGGCAGAATCTCATGCTTCTAGGAGCCTCAGACACACGAATCGATATCTGGTCTTGGTCCAGCACTCAGAATCTGGTACGGCAGGATCCTAGATCTAATACAATAGCAAGTATAATGTAATACAGGTTTTCGCATTGTATAAAAGGGCCTGAAAAATTCACGTTTGCCTAGGGCCACACACAACCTAAAACTGCCACTGTAAAGGCTTATATAATGGTTTTATTTAGTAACACCCAAAGAAACAGTTGCTGTATATTTAGAATTTCAACAAGGTCGTTAAACGTTTGTGTACAACTCCATTCTTTTCCGAGTTTTACACAATACATGCAAGTTAAATATATATATTTTTCTAGCTTTATTTTGCAATCTCGATGATCTGTTATAAATCCCGACGTATCATCTTATTTCACCACACTTGCAATAAGTGCAATAAGGCTTTCAGAATACAAAAATGATGAGGAATGTTGGCGAGTAATGTTTCAAAACAAGGCTAATTCATTCAAGATATTCCGTTTGTTTATCTCGTTATCTTATGAATATATTTTTTTGTTTTATTTTTTAAATATCTTCAATAGAATAAAACACAGTACAGGCACCAAAAATTACATGCTGATTAAAACTTTTTTTGTTTTTTTTTTTTAAATGTATCATTTTGCATCATTGCCACACACAACGGAACAATATGTACACAACAGTCAATATCTATAGAAATAGACAGGAGCAAAAATATTTGAATCAGCACCATTTATGCAAATATGAATATTTTTTTTTTTTTTATGTGAATAGTAGGAAATGGCAGTCTCTCTACAAGATATTTAGCAAAAAATTCTGTTTGGTACAGAAAAAATTTTTTCGGCTGGCACTGTATGTTCACACACGCAATGTGCCGTATCTTTAAATGGACTTTAAACAAAGTATTCGATAAAAAGATTGATTTTTTTAAAAGTATTTTCTGCTGCTGTTGCTTAATTTTTTCATCTTTATGTTAATTTTTAGTGTTTCTTTTTTAAAATATTAAGATAAAAGTAAATACTCTTTCCAAATGTCCTTAAATTCTGATGTATTTTCCCACAATTTCTTTGTGTGTTTTTTTTATTTATTTATTAACTTTTAAAGATTGTTTGATTATCATGACATAAAATACAGTTGTTTTGATGTCAAGTGAATATTAAAGGGATCTAAGTACCTTCTGACATGGCATAAACTAAAAATATAATTATAATAAATCAGCTGGATGAGGTGAATATCTTAAAAAAATTATAAATTTAATTAAATTGTATAAAGACCAATATGAGGTATTAAACTAAAAAAACAAAAAAAAATCATTGCATAGTATTTAAAATATCTTTTTAATGTTTAAAAACTAAGAACTGCCTATCTAGATAATCAACAAATTAACTAATATAGGCAATGTTAGCGAATAGGCAGTTTAAAAGATTTGTACTTACGTTACTATCTAAACAACATATTTTCAAGACTTCTATATTTCTGTCTTTTACATAAAATGGAATAATACAAATGATACGAGTATACATAAAACGATATAAAACATATCATCGAGACTTAAATGACGATTGATATTTTAAAGACGAATTACAGGAGACTGGTCTGGCAGTGTTTTCTGTGCTATGACTGTAATTACAAGTGACATTGCACTGGCACAAAAGTAGTTCTTAAGTAGATCTGTTCCTACATATACAGAAAAAAGAGACGTTATATTGATATTTTTCCTTATTTTTTTTTTTTTTTGGCAGAGAAAATAATAAGTTCTACATTAAAATCCTACGGCATAAAAAATGAAATCCATCATCCATCTTTGGACAAACTGACACGAAATTATCCGTCAAACGCTGAAGTAAATATGAACAATTAACCTAATTAATATGTACCTATACAACTCTTTGAACATCATACAAAAAAAAAAAAAAACTATAATACAGTACATGAAAATATGAATTGATTGACAAAAGACATTACACTGAGCTTAACAAACATAAAAAGGAGGATGTTTAATCTATTTTTATCCATAGATACTGGCATTTAATATAATAATTATTAAGGTATGTTAATGTACACATAGTTTTATCTTCAATCCAATTTCAATAATATGTTGATAACACTATGAAAAAAAAAATTTTTTTTATATATATATGGGAAATTGAATGAGAACTCTTATGAATTTTTGTACAAATGCAATTGAAAACATAGAAAATCAGACCAATTGTTTATGAGCACCATAGTCAATCAATCAACTACTTGTCAAATAACAAGCTTCACAGGAAGAAGATACATTTTTTATTATTATTTTGTATTCTTTCAATTGAATAACGATATCTTAAGTCTACATTTATATATATATATATATGTAGATATATATATATATATTTTGAAGGGAAGAACAATCCCAAATTGCAGAAGAATAGTCACATGTCCAAACTAACAATAAAATTATCTGAGACTCAACAGATGTTCATTTTGTAAGGCTGCACTTGTTTGAAGCAATACAGATAAACTCGGCTGATGAAATATCTGCAAATGATTGCAATCGAACAAATAAACATTTACCGATTGTGGAAAGAAGAAATATTTGTTCTTTCTTACCAATACGGTATCAAACTTGGCCAAAAATAATGTCATATCTACACGGTTTTTCTTTTATTTTATAGATGCTTCGGTAGAGCTTTTCTCTGTGCTCTCTGTTGAGATTGTTGTAGTTGTAGTTGTTGTCGGTGTTGGCGATGATGCTGTTGTTGTTAGTGATGAAGAAACGTCTCCAACAGCTTTATTTTCGTTTTCCTCCGGAGTAGTTACTGATGATTCTGTTAAATAATCTTTCATTTTATCAATTTCTCTCTGAAGGGAGAAAACTTGCTTCTGCAGATATTCATTTTGACTCAGTAGATGCAAATAATCAGGATTACTGTTGTTTGACTTTTCGATTTCTTTATTTTGATGTTCCCAATCGATTGTGTCTTTGGTATCTTTCATTTCCGAAAGGCGTTCCTTGAATTCATTTTTTATCTTCTCCATTTCTTGGTGTAGATTTTTTTTGTCTTTCTGAATCTTGTTGATTTTTATTCTTCTTGCAATTCTCAGCTTTTCTAATTCCTAAAAATAAAAAATAATAATTTATATTTATTAAATAAATCGCTTATCATTAATTATTTTCTGTTAAAATATATTGTAGCAATCAAAAAAGAATGTAAAAATATATAGAATTATCCAAAAGTGATTAAAAAACTAAATTATTTTCTAAGCTGGTAAAAAATATATATACAAACATCACAAACTAAACCCAATATATTAGTAATATTCCAAACAACTGTCCTATTAAATCAGGCTACTTCTTCGCAATTAAAAATAATCACGAAGAAGTAGCCCAATTTAATAAGGAAGTCGTTTAGCACATTACGAAGAAAATATATATGACACAACTCTCAAAAAAAAAAAAAATCTTAAAAATATCTCCAGCAATGAAATAAATGTCTCACGTGTATGGTAAATTTTCTATGACACTCCGAGTTCAACGCGTGCACTAATTTCGTAGTATCTGTGTATATTATACAAGTGCAAGTTCATTTGTTTTAAACATTATTATTACAGTTGCCTAACACTTATTTGTATTACTTTTTGTAATCATATATCTGGATATATTTGTATATATTCGAATGTATTCAGAATATTTGAGATATGTTGTTCTGCGTAGCATTCCAATTTCAAACATTCGTGAGATCTGACGCAGATCTTATTTAGAAATCAAAAACATTTGTCTATATTCTTAAGTGCATTAAAATTTGTTGTTAGAGATATTTTTAAGGTTCTTTTTAAGGATCATTCTTATACCTCATCCATGCTGATTGAAACCATTGTGTGTCAGATTCAACAGTAATGGATGAATCTGCAGTTGACTGTATGAAGTTAATGAACTGTTACGCTAATCAATTTTTATAAAACATTTTTTAAGGGACATCACAACAGAAATATGCTTTACAGATTGAATTCAAAAGAGAAAAAAAAGCATAAGGAAAAAGAAAGAAAATAAAAAAAAAGCTTTTTTTTATGCTCCACAGAAGCATTTTTTTTCAATTAGCATATTACTTTTAGACAATTCATAAAACTTAAATTAATTTTTTTTTAATTTCAGACACTTTTACTTAATATATATCTGATTATCCATTACATATCATATATTAACAGCAAATACCCAGATATAAAGGGTGGTCCAACAAAAGTCAATAAACGGTGTACCGAATTTGCTAGTATTATAATGTATAATGAAAAAGATTTCATTTTTTGAAGGTTTGTAAGTAATAATATATTTTAATAAGACAACAATAAAGGTTTAGTAATGGTTAAATGATTTTTGAGCCACCCTATATATACATATAACTAATTTAAAAATTACAAATTAAAGATAATTAATTATTATTATTATTATTGTACACTAGTTCTAAATTATATTAACGTTTAGAAAAAGTATTTATATTGTTTGTTTCTTTATTTTTCAAAAGCAGACAATGATGATTTGGCAAAATATATATCAAAGTAATTAAATTATTTAGTTTAACACTAAACCTAAACATGTTAAGTGTTGCAAGTAAACTGATCTATGTTTATCATAATTAATATATTTAATGTTATAGTAGGGTTGCAAGCATTCAGAGTAATAAATTGTGAACATTGTGAAAGAAAACACCAACTTGAAAAAGTGACCAACAAAAGAAAACCTACAAACAAACTCATTTGTCTTTTCTTTCCCCTGATGATGATGATGAAATACCTGGATAGTTCATGGTTGTTAAGGTATCAGCCTTAACAACCTGAGGATAATGCGGATCCGAAACTGAATCTAAATGAGCAACCTCGGGAATTTTTCTGAGTGGGCCGTTCTAGATACGGCCCTGTTCATCGGCACCCTGCTGCCTTATTTTAGGCCGAATTAACTCGTGTTGGATATTTTAAAAACAGGCCTTGTTAGTGCCTACAGGGTGGAAAGAGAGAGAAGAAAAAAACAAACTAGTAGGAATGAAAATAATTTGGATTACAATTATGGATGCCAACTTCTTATGAGGAAAAGGGGGCAAACTTTAAAAAAAAAAAAAAAAAATGCTTCCTTCACACATATACAATTTCCTCATTCATTTTCCAGAACTTTTTCCAAACAATTTTAAACTTTTGTTAAAAAATTATCTCGCTGTAATAAAGGTTGGTAATAATTCTCCTACAGAATGGCTACAAGATGATGTCCTGTCTCTAAGAGATAATATGTAGTCAGAATTTGAAATGTTTAGTTAGTCAGGCAAGTCTTTTTATAGATCAATTTTGATTAATTTTGCTGACTTTAATTTATTGAATGTCTATTAAGAATCACTTACAAACTCTTTCCATCCTACAAACACTGAGAATGCCTTTTTTCACATGCCTACCAAAGGTTCAGCCAGGTTTACAATATGAACATCCATATTGTGAGGGATAGCATCCAATATATCCAGATCAAATCATCTATAAATATTTCTAAGTAGCAGGCTGGTACCATCACCATTTAAACTATCTATTTGTTTTTTTTATAAATTTTTCAAAGAAGTTGTTAGTAAATGATATTCAAATTAAATAACAAAGAGGAAAACAGATCAAATAATCAAAACTTTACTAGATTATCTGATGCTATTTTTCAGTTTGGGATTTGGTTTGAATATTGATTGATAACGCAAGCCAAAACGTACAGAAAATTAGTTATAAAATTGGTCCAAACTCTTTAGTTACTAAGCATTTGATTAGTAAATGATATGTTGATATTATTGGTTATAATAAAAATATATGTAAGCAAGCAGTTATTTGGAAATTAACTGCATCCTTCGTATAATGGATTATCCTTCCTACTTGTTATAAAACTATATTAAATCCATAATTGCAGAAAAATATCTCATATAAAATGTAATTTTATTGTTTATTGGCTCTATAAAAATATCTCCCTAATTTCTCTAATTATATAAGAAGAAACAAGCACACTAAAATATGCTAAAAAGTATAGAAACAAATCTTACTTTTTGAACTATCTTTTTACTATATAGTGCATTATGAAGCGAATTTCTATTTTTGACGATAAGTAATTTTACTTGAATTAATATTTTTTCGCACGTTTCCTTGTCTAAATTTGTTTCTTCTAACAATTTCTTGAGATCTGAAAAATCATTGTCTAAATACACATCCCATTCATCTTCATCAGCAGATTCAAATACTGCCTCCGCACCTACATCAAATTTAAAATGATCAAATAAATATTTTTTATAGTAAGATATATAGACTTATTACAGAATTTTAATTCATACAAGCAGTTATATTTTGTTCCATTGTTAATATATTGAAATCTGGTTAATTTTTATTTGTAAATGATATAATGAAAAATATGATATAATAAATATACATATATACATATAACTGTTATAAAATTGAACTTATTATGAAATTTTCTGTATACTTTTTACTGAAACTAAATATTCATTAATTAATTAAACAGTAAATTAAATATTTTGAGCTTTATTTTCTTAAGTTTTCTGAATATTGTAAAGATACACCTTTAAAATAAAGTAAAAATAGCAAAAGTTGAACTAGAAAATGAATCCTCATGCATAATTTTATAACTGATATATCGTTACAAGGTTTTAAATGAGAGGCAAAACTTACTAAACAGTTATATAAAACTAAATACATATGATTTGTTTCCTCTTCTCTTTACGATAAAAATCAAACAGGTGAATATTTCCTTTTATTTTTTTTATCTCTTTCTACTCTGTGGGCACTTAAGAGGACATTTTTCATGTCTATCCAGGGTTTGGCCAAGCTGACAATATGATAAAAGACTGTGCTAAAATATGCAGGTCAAATCACTCAAAATTTTCTGAAACTGGCCAAGACTCAAACTTAAGTACTTCATAATGGCAGGTTGATATTTTTCCACTTCAACCACCCTGCCATTATTTATTGATGTTTCTCTTCGTGCAAAGTTACAATTTTGGAGTGTATTTGATTGCAATTCTGTATTTGTTTTGACTGATTACATTTCTTGTGTACTTTGTGTTATTATAAAATGTCCGCTTCAATTAAGAGACTACTCAAGTTTAAATTGTTGAAAATTTATGCTTCGTCACTTAAATGGATGATAATGCAATCTATTAAATTTGCATTTGGGGAATTATTTAAGATTGATCTTATTTTGTTTTTGTATAATTTGTTAATAACTAGTAGCAAAATTAACTTTCATCCCAAAGAAACTTTGATATTTTTTATTATGAGCTGTTTGTTGCACTTATCGAAAGTAAGTATTCGATAAAATACAGCAAAGTTTTATGTAAAGAATGTATAAAATATGCATTTCTGCAAAATAATATCTGTTTTTCCTGAATTTTATTAGAGTTGATCACAAAGATATTATTCTCTTCTCTTCATATGGTGATAAAAGAGGAGGGGCTAAGCTCTTTCTCTTAAAATAAAACTCAAGTATCAACATCCATCTCCGTAATAAGCATATAATGAGCTCAAACAATGAAACCTAATCTGCAAGCATCAACAGACTCTTCTTATTCATATAATAATTCATGACATGAGTCATCATCCCAAACACTGATAAAATCAAAATATAAACTTTAAGTTGCCCAAAAAGCAAAACTTATGTTGATGTAAAATACATCAAAATCTTATCTATCTCTATGCTAAGCTATAATATCAAATTGTGTTTGATTGTATTCATGAAATAAAATGGTTTGATTATAACTTATTGTATCTACTTGCAGAATATATACATTATTTCCGTCATAGGCTAACAGAAATAGTGACCTCAATCAAATTATGGTAGTGACAGATGTTTCCTCTTGCGGGCTTTATATTCCCATGTTCAAATATATCTATATATTTCCATAACAGAAATAATGGATATATTCTTTTCTAATCCAACAAATGAAAAGTAAACAAATTAAAACAGTAGTTAAACAAAAACACAAACGTCCTCTAGTTTCCAGTATACGTGCTGGAAAGTTGACGGTATTGGTGTATTTGTTTAATCCAATAAATTAATTCTCCGATAACATTATCAATCTTAATCTCTCTTAAGTTTTTCTATAAAATATAATGCAGAGGATAAAACCCATAAAAAGTTATATTTTGAAATAAGTATTTTATGAAAAACTAACATAATCATAATAAGAGCTTCAGATTATTTTGTAGCTTTGGTTTCATGTCTGCTTGCTTTATAATCTCAACTTTTACAATTGTATGAAATTCCGTATTTAAGAGGCCATCTCAATTCGATATTACACAGTTAAAACTATTTATTGACGATACTGTGTCTTCTCCCTAAAATCGCGCTGCTGTCAACGGCTGCACACCTTAGAGGTATGAAGGAGTACATGTCAGGAGTTGCACTTTGGCACAAAGTATTTGGTACCCAAATCATGCGCACATAAAATAAACCAGATTTGTAGGTAGTCGGGGGACCGAGAACCGGGTCAAAATAAAATACAAAATGCTGAGACTGTTTCTACAAATAGGCACGAGTGCGAGATTTGCGCATTCGTTGCTCGCGCTCTCCGAGACATAGTCTCGTCCCAAGAATTGCTTTATTGTTTTACTTGTTTTCGGTAATATAATTTTAATCTATGACACCAATCTTCTGAGAAATACAACAACTCACTTTATAATNAAAGCATTTTTAATTTAATTACATTTGTAATGGAGGCAGGGCTGTGGAGTCAGAGTCGGAGTCGTGGAGTTTTAACCGGAGTCGAAGTCGGAGTCGTCAAAAAATCCGCCGACTCCGACTCCCTTTTACTTACCAACTTGTTATGTGTATGAAACTGAGTCGGAATCGGTAGATTTTTACGCGACTCCACAGCCCTGAATGGAGGTGTATATATTAATATATATATATATTAAAGCATTAAGCTAGAATATTTTTAAAAAATGATTTATGTAATTAAAAGAACCAAAGAAATTAAAATTTAAAATTGTTAATAATCTAATTTTTTTTTAAATTTCATTAAATGTAATACCATAAATTACAATAATTAAAGTGTGCACCTCTAAACAATAATTGCCACTACAAATGAACAAATAGTTTTGATTTTATAGAACTTGATATAATGAATTTTGAAAACAATGGACCAAATCTGTTTGTTCTAAGCAGGACTGGGGAGTTGGTATCAGTATGAGTCAGTCGGCAAGTTATTTTGTCAACTGACTCCTACTGACTATGTTTTGATCCACAGTTGTTTGCTTTTTTTTTTTTTTACATTTTGACATTGCATGACCCAAAAATACAAAACAACTTCTTAAAAATTGTATCTTTGTGTCTATTTTGGATCTCAGAACTGGATGAACCTGTAATTTTGAGGTTTGGCAGGGTTATTTCTATATATTAGGCATTGTAAATTTTCATAACTTTTTGTCTTTTGAATAAAGTAAAAAGACCATAGCTACAATCCTCTGATTATCATTAAATCACCAGTGAATTGCTAATAATTAAATTATGTTAATGAATTACATGTCAGCGACAAAATGGTAGATAATATATATAAATACTAAGGAGTTTGTGTTGGTGTCAAGAGTTGGCAAGCCAAAAATATCGACTCTGGAGTTAAAAACTCTGATATTTTGCAAATCTGACTCCAGTAGTCGGAGTCAGAGTTAGCAAAAATAAAAAAAAAAACAAAAAAAAAAAAGACAATTCCCCAGCACTGGTTCTAAAGCATCTTTTAGAGTAGAAATACAATATTCAAATATATCAGGCTGTGACTGTTAATGTGCAGAATATTTATTAGGCAGTATGTCAGCAGTATTGTTTAATTTGATAATAAACTGACCTTTTGTATGTTTTCAGCAATGCCGTTGATATAAATGAAAAGCAGCAAATGTTTTCGTTCTTTGTATAGAAGTCTGATGCTGGTCCCTGAATGAGACTGAAAATGTTTCCCGCTTTTCGTTTATATTAACGGCATTGCTGGAAAAAGTACAAAAGGTCAGTTTATTATCGATTTGTACAGCAGTTCCAACTTTAAAGAATAATAAGCTCTTGTTTACGTCTAAGTTTAGAAATGTAGTGTTTAGTAATTAGTCCCTTGTATTCATGACATTACTATAATTTAAGCTGTTTGTATGTCTTATCACATCTTATATATATAATTCATTTAATTAATAATTAGAAATTAAGTAATTCCAGACTGTCCTAAATTATTTAATAAAATATTAAATTATTATAATTATTAATTTTAATAAGAAATGGCACCTAATATCTACTTCTAATACAAAATTACTGAATTTCTAATTATTAATTGTAGCATAAAAATAACCAGATTAATTATGGCAATCATGTGGTTTAAAATTCATTTTATAGCTGGCAAGATGTTTTCAGATTAATGGATAATTAACGTTATTGGGCCATCATTTTTCCTATTAGTTTTTTTTATGTTAAGGGTCAACAATACAAATGTTATGTCTGTACTAGGATTTAAATTTGTTATCCAACAAAGAAGGAAAAACAGCTTAAAAAATTCTATCATCAGATTAAGAAGTCTTATTTATTAATGTTTTTTAAAGCCAAGATAAAGTTAATGGTTGGTATCTGTCTCAATGATTGTCAAATATAAAGTAAAACAGAACGTATGCTATACAAACTCAATTGCGGAATTACAATATTAAAGTAATTTCTCAAGTTAGATAGATGATATATTTTAACTCCATGGAAAGCATTCTTTAATTTACCACAATACAAACTTCACATCAATTTATTGAAATGAATGCAATACATATAAATTCTATTCTTTGTACTTTATTCAAATTTGTGAAAGGTTGTTGACAAGAAATTAAACATGTTTTTAGAATATTTGAACTTAAAATACACAATATATTTTCCATCTTAAACGATTAATTTGCCAAGAAATTTGTAAATATTCTTATGTGTTAAATTAATTTCAGCATCTGCTATACATAAAAACTAACCGAGTTAAAGTCAAGAAACTTTCTAATACTTCTTTATCGCAAATAATAGATATCACAAGTACAAAGAAAAGTAAGTTTCGTCTATTCTCATAATGATCTGACGTAAGAAACAAAATGATAATGATATTGTTCTTTGTTTATCTTGATAATGTGAGTGATAATTGATAACTGTTCTCCTCAAATATTTTAGTATGATCTTTAGAATCACCACTTTTATTTATTTATAACAGACAATTTATTTATATGTATATATAAAAAGAAAATACATTGCTAATTATCTACATTAAAGACATGATATGAAGGTAGTTGCTATGGATAATTCACCTGAATATAAATTATTTTTGATACATCCACTATTATAATAAATTTCCATACAATGTAAAATTATAGGTAATTGTGCACAATTGTGTGTGTGCAAAGAGCTTCTGAGGAGCCATCATGTATAAAAATAAATGAAATCTAAACTTGTTACAAAGATTATGCAATCTGATAAAAACACAATAGCTGGGGAGACTCTCAAAACAATTAGTAAACAATGGGTAATAAAAATGAAAGGTAAAAGAGTACTAACCTTACATTTTTTATCATCCATTTTATAGTTAAGAATACAGAAAATAAATTATTCAGAATAAAGAAGATTTACATCATTTTTTGGGACATAAGAAGTAAAGCCACATAATGAGAGCTCTTGATATCAAAAAGAAGGAAATATAATTGCAATAAATCCACAATACAAGGAAACCCCATAATTGAGTTTGTTGGATCAAAAATTGCTTTGGAATACGAAGGACGTATCTCATGATACTAGCAGAACGAATTAAAGAAGACTTTTCTATTTTTTTAAAATCAGTTTTATGCTCTACATTCTTTTAGCCAATACTCCGATTTTGCAACTATTGTAATTTGTTTTTCTTTTTTAATTCTTTATATGTTTCAGTCAATAGGAGAGTGAAAACCCTCTAATTGTCTGCAGGTTGATGAGGCTCATTCTAGGTTTGTCCAGATCCATAATAGCAATAGTGATTGCTATACAAAATTTAGAGCACTCATGAAAATTTCTGATGGAGTAAGCAAAATTTGAACCTATATTCTTCAAAAAAAGTGCAAAGACTTATATTAAATTCTTCTAGGATTCAAAATGATAATACTTAGAGATAAATGAAAGCTAGACATAGCATTTAATAGTAAAGTATAATTCCACTATGATTTAAAGAAAAAAAATATTACTTTTAATAAAATAATAACTACAAACACTTGAAAATGGTTTAAAATTTATGCACTAGAGTTTTATTACTCATCTTCAGGAATACAAAGAACATTCTTTGCATTCCTAAAGATGTGTAGTTAAGCTTGAAAGCACTTAAATAATTTTTAAATTTTTTTTGTAGTTATTACTCCATTAGAAATATAAATAAAGTAACTAGTCCCATAACTTGGAAATGACTAAAGGTAGAAGGATCAGACCAATTCTGGCCAAACAAGTTGCAAGGGGTTCCCATAAACTATGAATTGTGTGTCCTGTGGAAGGTTTCCTACCAAAATCCAATGGTACCTAGGGTCAAAAATGGCACCATCAAAAATTACATGAAGTTCTAAATGATTACACTGACGTAATTTTTGATAATTCACACTTTTGTCGAGTAAAGTTAACATAAACATAAAAATCAGCAAAGGCAAACAATCAAGTATGTAAACAGGTTCAACTGTTGTTAGCGTGTGTGTTTACAGCTGTGCTGTTTAAACTGATCATAACACATATGCATGACTGCAAGTGACCATTATTGTAGATAATATCAATAGTAGTAAATACTATGTTTGTGAACATAGGAATTTCCATTATTAACATCTGAATCCACAGCAACAAGGACAATCAATCTTGCTTAATTTGTGAAAATGATAAAAAATCTCCAACAAAGAATAATAAAAAATAACTTTATTAAATACTTGCAAAAACTAATGCAATTGATTCATCTAATGTAATAGGTGTTCAAAATACTGTTCATCCTTCTAAAGACACCTTGTAATGTGGCTTCAGATAACTGGTTGCATATACTGCAATTCCTAGAGAGTGATTTTAGCACATACGTGCCATAGAACAGAGCTATAAACACACATGCTAGCAATTGCACTGGTTTACATGTTTGTCTGCCTTGCACATTCATGTTTACTTTATGCAATAATGGTGCAAGTTATCAAAAATTATCCCAGAGTAAATACCATTTAGATTTTCATATACTCTCTGGTGACACCATTTTGGACCACACATGCAATTGGACTTTGGCAAGAAATCCTTCGTAAGACTCCATAATTTAGGAGTCTCTAACAACTACACTCACCTTACACTTTGTTTGACCATAATTAGACCAATCCTCCTATTTTTAGCTATTTCCAAGTTTTGGAACTGGTATACTTTATTTGTAACACCCTACATATCAGATTCTGTCTGTAAACACCAATTGTTCTATTGTGGGCTAGGCCCAACNAAAATGCTCTAAAAAGATGTTTGTTCTATGTGAATTTGTGAAAAATTGGAGTGCAAAATTATCCAAAGGAATAAACAGATGTAAATAGAAAAATGTTTGGATTCAGATGGAGATCAGCAAAAACACACATTAATTATTATATATATATATATATATATATATTTTGAAGGGAAGAACAATCCCAAATTGCAGAAGAATAGTCACATGTCCAAACTAACAATAAAATTATCTGAGACTCAACAGATGTTCATTTTGTAAGGCTGCACTTGTTTGAAGCAATACAGATAAACTCGGCTGATGAAATATCTGCAAATGATTGCAATCGAACAAATAAACATTTACCGATTGTGGAAAGAAGAAATATTTGTTCTTTCTTACCAATACGGTATCAAACTTGGCCAAAAATAATGTCATATCTACACGGTTTTTCTTTTATTTTATAGATGCTTCGGTAGAGCTTTTCTCTGTGCTCTCTGTTGAGATTGTTGTAGTTGTAGTTGTTGTCGGTGTTGGCGATGATGCTGTTGTTGTTAGTGATGAAGAAACGTCTCCAACAGCTTTATTTTCGTTTTCCTCCGGAGTAGTTACTGATGATTCTGTTAAATAATCTTTCATTTTATCAATTTCTCTCTGAAGGGAGAAAACTTGCTTCTGCAGATATTCATTTTGACTCAGTAGATGCAAATAATCAGGATTACTGTTGTTTGACTTTTCGATTTCTTTATTTTGATGTTCCCAATCGATTGTGTCTTTGGTATCTTTCATTTCCGAAAGGCGTTCCTTGAATTCATTTTTTATCTTCTCCATTTCTTGGTGTAGATTTTTTTTGTCTTTCTGAATCTTGTTGATTTTTATTCTTCTTGCAATTCTCAGCTTTTCTAATTCCTAAAAATAAAAAATAATAATTTATATTTATTAAATAAATCGCTTATCATTAATTATTTTCTGTTAAAATATATTGTAGCAATCAAAAAAGAATGTAAAAATATATAGAATTATCCAAAAGTGATTAAAAAACTAAATTATTTTCTAAGCTGGTAAAAAATATATATACAAACATCACAAACTAAACCCAATATATTAGTAATATTCCAAACAACTGTCCTATTAAATCAGGCTACTTCTTCGCAATTAAAAATAATCACGAAGAAGTAGCCCAATTTAATAAGGAAGTCGTTTAGCACATTACGAAGAAAATATATATGACACAACTCTCAAAAAAAAAAAAAAATCTTAAAAATATCTCCAGCAATGAAATAAATGTCTCACGTGTATGGTAAATTTTCTATGACACTCCGAGTTCAACGCGTGCACTAATTTCGTAGTATCTGTGTATATTATACAAGTGCAAGTTCATTTGTTTTAAACATTATTATTACAGTTGCCTAACACTTATTTGTATTACTTTTTGTAATCATATATCTGGATATATTTGTATATATTCGAATGTATTCAGAATATTTGAGATATGTTGTTCTGCGTAGCATTCCAATTTCAAACATTCGTGAGATCTGACGCAGATCTTATTTAGAAATCAAAAACATTTGTCTATATTCTTAAGTGCATTAAAATTTGTTGTTAGAGATATTTTTAAGGTTCTTTTTAAGGATCATTCTTATACCTCATCCATGCTGATTGAAACCATTGTGTGTCAGATTCAACAGTAATGGATGAATCTGCAGTTGACTGTATGAAGTTAATGAACTGTTACGCTAATCAATTTTTATAAAACATTTTTTAAGGGACATCACAACAGAAATATGCTTTACAGATTGAATTCAAAAGAGAAAAAAAAGCATAAGGAAAAAGAAAGAAAATAAAAAAAAAGCTTTTTTTTATGCTCCACAGAAGCATTTTTTTTCAATTAGCATATTACTTTTAGACAATTCATAAAACTTAAATTAATTTTTTTTTAATTTCAGACACTTTTACTTAATATATATCTGATTATCCATTACATATCATATATTAACAGCAAATACCCAGATATAAAGGGTGGTCCAACAAAAGTCAATAAACGGTGTACCGAATTTGCTAGTATTATAATGTATAATGAAAAAGATTTCATTTTTTGAAGGTTTGTAAGTAATAATATATTTTAATAAGACAACAATAAAGGTTTAGTAATGGTTAAATGATTTTTGAGCCACCCTATATATACATATAACTAATTTAAAAATTACAAATTAAAGATAATTAATTATTATTATTATTATTGTACACTAGTTCTAAATTATATTAACGTTTAGAAAAAGTATTTATATTGTTTGTTTCTTTATTTTTCAAAAGCAGACAATGATGATTTGGCAAAATATATATCAAAGTAATTAAATTATTTAGTTTAACACTAAACCTAAACATGTTAAGTGTTGCAAGTAAACTGATCTATGTTTATCATAATTAATATATTTAATGTTATAGTAGGGTTGCAAGCATTCAGAGTAATAAATTGTGAACATTGTGAAAGAAAACACCAACTTGAAAAAGTGACCAACAAAAGAAAACCTACAAACAAACTCATTTGTCTTTTCTTTCCCCTGATGATGATGATGAAATACCTGGATAGTTCATGGTTGTTAAGGTATCAGCCTTAACAACCTGAGGATAATGCGGATCCGAAACTGAATCTAAATGAGCAACCTCGGGAATTTTTCTGAGTGGGCCGTTCTAGATACGGCCCTGTTCATCGGCACCCTGCTGCCTTATTTTAGGCCGAATTAACTCGTGTTGGATATTTTAAAAACAGGCCTTGTTAGTGCCTACAGGGTGGAAAGAGAGAGAAGAAAAAAACAAACTAGTAGGAATGAAAATAATTTGGATTACAATTATGGATGCCAACTTCTTATGAGGAAAAGGGGGCAAACTTTAAAAAAAAAAAAAAAAAATGCTTCCTTCACACATATACAATTTCCTCATTCATTTTCCAGAACTTTTTCCAAACAATTTTAAACTTTTGTTAAAAAATTATCTTGCTGTAATAAAGGTTGGTAATAATTCTCCTACAGAATGGCTACAAGATGATGTCCTGTCTCTAAGAGATAATATGTAGTCAGAATTTGAAATGTTTAGTTAGTCAGGCAAGTCTTTTTATAGATCAATTTTGATTAATTTTGCTGACTTTAATTTATTGAATGTCTATTAAGAATCACTTACAAACTCTTTCCATCCTACAAACACTGAGAATGCCTTTTTTCACATGCCTACCAAAGGTTCAGCCAGGTTTACAATATGAACATCCATATTGTGAGGGATAGCATCCAATATATCCAGATCAAATCATCTATAAATATTTCTAAGTAGCAGGCTGGTACCATCACCATTTAAACTATCTATTTGTTTTTTTTATAAATTTTTCAAAGAAGTTGTTAGTAAATGATATTCAAATTAAATAACAAAGAGGAAAACAGATCAAATAATCAAAACTTTACTAGATTATCTGATGCTATTTTTCAGTTTGGGATTTGGTTTGAATATTGATTGATAACGCAAGCCAAAACGTACAGAAAATTAGTTATAAAATTGGTCCAAACTCTTTAGTTACTAAGCATTTGATTAGTAAATGATATGTTGATATTATTGGTTATAATAAAAATATATGTAAGCAAGCAGTTATTTGGAAATTAACTGCATCCTTCGTATAATGGATTATCCTTCCTACTTGTTATAAAACTATATTAAATCCATAATTGCAGAAAAATATCTCATATAAAATGTAATTTTATTGTTTATTGGCTCTATAAAAATATCTCCCTAATTTCTCTAATTATATAAGAAGAAACAAGCACACTAAAATATGCTAAAAAGTATAGAAACAAATCTTACTTTTTGAACTATCTTTTTACTATATAGTGCATTATGAAGCGAATTTCTATTTTTGACGATAAGTAATTTTACTTGAATTAATATTTTTTCGCACGTTTCCTTGTCTAAATTTGTTTCTTCTAACAATTTCTTGAGATCTGAAAAATCATTGTCTAAATACACATCCCATTCATCTTCATCAGCAGATTCAAATACTGCCTCCGCACCTACATCAAATTTAAAATGATCAAATAAATATTTTTTATAGTAAGATATATAGACTTATTACAGAATTTTAATTCATACAAGCAGTTATATTTTGTTCCATTGTTAATATATTGAAATCTGGTTAATTTTTATTTGTAAATGATATAATGAAAAATATGATATAATAAATATACATATATACATATAACTGTTATAAAATTGAACTTATTATGAAATTTTCTGTATACTTTTTACTGAAACTAAATATTCATTAATTAATTAAACAGTAAATTAAATATTTTGAGCTTTATTTTCTTAAGTTTTCTGAATATTGTAAAGATACACCTTTAAAATAAAGTAAAAATAGCAAAAGTTGAACTAGAAAATGAATCCTCATGCATAATTTTATAACTGATATATCGTTACAAGGTTTTAAATGAGAGGCAAAACTTACTAAACAGTTATATAAAACTAAATACATATGATTTGTTTCCTCTTCTCTTTACGATAAAAATCAAACAGGTGAATATTTCCTTTTATTTTTTTTATCTCTTTCTACTCTGTGGGCACTTAAGAGGACATTTTTCATGTCTATCCAGGGTTTGGCCAAGCTGACAATATGATAAAAGACTGTGCTAAAATATGCAGGTCAAATCACTCAAAATTTTCTGAAACTGGCCAAGACTCAAACTTAAGTACTTCATAATGGCAGGTTGATATTTTTCCACTTCAACCACCCTGCCATTATTTATTAATGTTTCTCTTCGTGCAAAGTTACAATTTTGGAGTGTATTTGATTGCAATTCTGTATTTGTTTTGACTGATTACATTTCTTGTGTACTTTGTGTTATTATAAAATGTCCGCTTCAATTAAGAGACTACTCAAGTTTAAATTGTTGAAAATTTATGCTTCGTCACTTAAATGGATGATAATGCAATCTATTAAATTTGCATTTGGGGAATTATTTAAGATTGATCTTATTTTGTTTTTGTATAATTTGTTAATAACTAGTAGCAAAATTAACTTTCATCCCAAAGAAACTTTGATATTTTTTATTATGAGCTGTTTGTTGCACTTATCGAAAGTAAGTATTCGATAAAATACAGCAAAGTTTTATGTAAAGAATGTATAAAATATGCATTTCTGCAAAATAATATCTGTTTTTCCTGAATTTTATTAGAGTTGATCACAAAGATATTATTCTCTTCTCTTCATATGGTGATAAAAGAGGAGGGGCTAAGCTCTTTCTCTTAAAATAAAACTCAAGTATCAACATCCATCTCCGTAATAAGCATATAATGAGCTCAAACAATGAAACCTAATCTGCAAGCATCAACAGACTCTTCTTATTCATATAATAATTCATGACATGAGTCATCATCCCAAACACTGATAAAATCAAAATATAAACTTTAAGTTGCCCAAAAAGCAAAACTTATGTTGATGTAAAATACATCAAAATCTTATCTATCTCTATGCTAAGCTATAATATCAAATTGTGTTTGATTGTATTCATGAAATAAAATGGTTTGATTATAACTTATTGTATCTACTTGCAGAATATATACATTATTTCCGTCATAGGCTAACAGAAATAGTGACCTCAATCAAATTATGGTAGTGACAGATGTTTCCTCTTGCGGGCTTTATATTCCCATGTTCAAATATATCTATATATTTCCATAACAGAAATAATGGATATATTCTTTTCTAATCCAACAAATGAAAAGTAAACAAATTAAAACAGTAGTTAAACAAAAACACAAACGTCCTCTAGTTTCCAGTATACGTGCTGGAAAGTTGACGGTATTGGTGTATTTGTTTAATCCAATAAATTAATTCTCCGATAACATTATCAATCTTAATCTCTCTTAAGTTTTTCTATAAAATATAATGCAGAGGATAAAACCCATAAAAAGTTATATTTTGAAATAAGTATTTTATGAAAAACTAACATAATCATAATAAGAGCTTCAGATTATTTTGTAGCTTTGGTTTCATGTCTGCTTGCTTTATAATCTCAACTTTTACAATTGTATGAAATTCCGTATTTAAGAGGCCATCTCAATTCGATATTACACAGTTAAAACTATTTATTGACGATACTGTGTCTTCTCCCTAAAATCGCGCTGCTGTCAACGGCTGCACACCTTAGAGGTATGAAGGAGTACATGTCAGGAGTTGCACTTTGGCACAAAGTATTTGGTACCCAAATCATGCGCACATAAAATAAACCAGATTTGTAGGTAGTCGGGGGACCGAGAACCGGGTCAAAATAAAATACAAAATGCTGAGACTGTTTCTACAAATAGGCACGAGTGCGAGATTTGCGCATTCGTTGCTCGCGCTCTCCGAGACATAGTCTCGTCCCAAGAATTGCTTTATTGTTTTACTTGTTTTCGGTAATATAATTTTAATCTATGACACCAATCTTCTGAGAAATACAACAACTCACTTTATAATCTGGTATAATTTAAATGAAATTAAGTGATTACATTTAAAAATTAATATATTTATATATTAATTTTTCTTCATTATTAATGTGGTAAAATAATTAAATGAAAATAGTATTATAGTTATATACTATTGATTTAATTGTAGCTTAAACAGAATGATGTAAAAAATCTGAATTTTACACTACTTATATATATATTATACTAACTGAAAAATGCTCCATGGAGTATGAAAGATATTTAACATATATGATTGATAAAAAAAGGCAAAGAAACACAGATAGAGCAAAGGATAAGTAAAAGAACTGTTGTAGAAAATGTAAATGTTATTTCAGTTATTTTGATTATGCAATACCAAATTATCATAATATACTATAAACAGTAAAAATAAACATTATTAGTTTTCTTTATAATATAATTTACAAGAATTGCATTTATTTTTTTTTTNAAATGGGTGAAGACTTAAAACTTCGATTAATTTAAATCAGATGCATTTATTTACTATTCGAGTATCGTGTTGGTTATAAAACATTAATGCATTTCGGGGTCATTGTACTGTTAAAGAAACGAGACAATTTTGATAATTACAGAAATCTGTTTATAGATATAAAAAAATGTAATATTAATAATAAAATATTTAAAATTATTCATTTCGATAGTTATGAAAGGAGAAAGTAATAAGATGTCGAAATAATTTCTTAAAAATCTATTCTGAAGACGAATTTTGAATTCGGTATAAATTTTCTAAATATGGATTTGTTCATATTTAAACCATATTGGCAACGAAATTAAATATCAAAGTGAAAAAGGATTGTCATTAATTACCAAACAATGGTTTTGACGGCCTTAAGATTTTATTTCTGGAAGCTATCGGAATATAGCTGGCAACTATTTCTGACGTCACAAACAAACAACCCGATTGGCCAAACGATTTCTAAAACAAGGGAGTAATAGCGAAGTAAGTAAGAGCCAATGTTTTGCTGAAGTTCGTTTAGAGAACGGTTAGAAATAGACAATCATTGTCTTTGCAGCGCATTTTAAACCATGGTTCAGCCAGCCAATGTCTATAGGCCGTTCTGTTGATAAACGTCATTTAACGTAAACTCTGTCTGTGCAATCGGCTGTGCAAGTTTGGTCGTGGGTTTGTGCCTCATCAAGACAGGCTGGCCAAGTGGAGTTTTCTGGGTTTTCTCCACATCTGTAATGCCAAAATAGGGACCAGACACATTAACGTGTTAAAAAGATCTCCCAGAAGGCATTCTCCATAGGAATTTGCCCAAGTGTTGTGGTGCCATAACTTAAAGTCCTTGGTGACACTGTCATGCAGTACCACCTCTGGCACTTTCAATTTTTATCCGACTTTGCTGCTTAAATTTTGAGAATATGATTTGATCAGGTGATAGCGATAGGCCTTACTCTTTTTGTCACTGCACAGATACACGGAGTTGGATGGTAAAGTTTATTTACTCTGATGTAATGTAGGTATGTAACCAATATCTGGTTTAGGGGGAATTAGCTGGTTGCATTGTGTTGGATTTCTACAGCACTGTTGCCACTATTAAATTTCCTACCCACGCATATACCATGCCAGGATAAAGTGATAGCCAGCTGAGTGCCATAATGGATGAGAATATAAGGCTGTGAGCATAAGATTCGTCCCCAATCAGTGCCATGAGTGAATTGTGGATGGTTATGTCAAGATTTAAATACAGCATGTCTGGAAGCAAAGAATTACTTGAAGGTTTGTGTAGCATAACTAGCAGCGTACTACATGGTGAGTGGAGGTTGCAGGTTCAAATGCTGCTCTTGCCTGATTCTTTTCTTCTAGGCTGTTCTAAAAATTATTTATAAAATATTAAATTATTATAATTATTAATTTTAATAAGAAATGGCACCTAATATCTACTTCTAATACAAAATTACTGAATTTCTAATTATTAATTGTAGCATAAAAATAACCAGATTAATTATGGCAATCATGTGGTTTAAAATTCATTTTATAGCTGGCAAGATGTTTTCAGATTAATGGATAATTAACGTTATTGGGCCATCATTTTTCCTATTAGTTTTTTTTATGTTAAGGGTCAACAATACAAATGTTATGTCTGTACTAGGATTTAAATTTGTTATCCAACAAAGAAGGAAAAACAGCTTAAAAAATTCTATCATCAGATTAAGAAGTCTTATTTATTAATGTTTTTTAAAGCCAAGATAAAGTTAATGGTTGGTATCTGTCTCAATGATTGTCAAATATAAAGTAAAACAGAACGTATGCTATACAAACTCAATTGCGGAATTACAATATTAAAGTAATTTCTCAAGTTAGATAGATGATATATTTTAACTCCATGGAAAGCATTCTTTAATTTACCACAATACAAACTTCACATCAATTTATTGAAATGAATGCAATACATATAAATTCTATTCTTTGTACTTTATTCAAATTTGTGAAAGGTTGTTGACAAGAAATTAAACATGTTTTTAGAATATTTGAACTTAAAATACACAATATATTTTCCATCTTAAACGATTAATTTGCCAAGAAATTTGTAAATATTCTTATGTGCTAAATTAATTTCAGCATCTGCTATACATAAAAACTAACCGAGTTAAAGTCAAGAAACTTTCTAATACTTCTTTATCGCAAATAATAGATATCACAAGTACAAAGAAAAGTAAGTTTCGTCTATTCTCATAATGATCTGACGTAAGAAACAAAATGATAATGATATTGTTCTTTGTTTATCTTGATAATGTGAGTGATAATTGATAACTGTTCTCCTCAAATATTTTAGTATGATCTTTAGAATCACCACTTTTATTTATTTATAACAGACAATTTATTTATATGTATATATAAAAAGAAAATACATTGCTAATTATCTACATTAAAGACATGATATGAAGGTAGTTGCTATGGATAATTCACCTGAATATAAATTATTTTTGATACATCCACTATTATAATAAATTTCCATACAATGTAAAATTATAGGTAATTGTGCACAATTGTGTGTGTGCAAAGAGCTTCTGAGGAGCCATCATGTATAAAAATAAATGAAATCTAAACTTGTTACAAAGATTATGCAATCTGATAAAAACACAATAGCTGGGGAGACTCTCAAAACAATTAGTAAACAATGGGTAATAAAAATGAAAGGTAAAAGAGTACTAACCTTACATTTTTTATCATCCATTTTATAGTTAAGAATACAGAAAATAAATTATTCAGAATAAAGAAGATTTACATCATTTTTTGGGACATAAGAAGTAAAGCCACATAATGAGAGCTCTTGATATCAAAAAGAAGGAAATATAATTGCAATAAATCCACAATACAAGGAAACCCCATAATTGAGTTTGTTGGATCAAAAATTGCTTTGGAATACGAAGGACGTATCTCATGATACTAGCAGAACGAATTAAAGAAGACTTTTCTATTTTTTTAAAATCAGTTTTATGCTCTACATTCTTTTAGCCAATACTCCGATTTTGCAACTATTGTAATTTGTTTTTCTTTTTTAATTCTTTATATGTTTCAGTCAATAGGAGAGTGAAAACCCTCTAATTGTCTGCAGGTTGATGAGGCTCATTCTAGGTTTGTCCAGATCCATAATAGCAATAGTGATTGCTATACAAAATTTAGAGCACTCATGAAAATTTCTGATGGAGTAAGCAAAATTTGAACCTATATTCTTCAAAAAAAGTGCAAAGACTTATATTAAATTCTTCTAGGATTCAAAATGATAATACTTAGAGATAAATGAAAGCTAGACATAGCATTTAATAGTAAAGTATAATTCCACTATGATTTAAAGAAAAAAAATATTACTTTTAATAAAATAATAACTACAAACACTTGAAAATGGTTTAAAATTTATGCACTAGAGTTTTATTACTCATCTTCAGGAATACAAAGAACATTCTTTGCATTCCTAAAGATGTGTAGTTAAGCTTGAAAGCACTTAAATAATTTTTAAATTTTTTTTGTAGTTATTACTCCATTAGAAATATAAATAAAGTAACTAGTCCCATAACTTGGAAATGACTAAAGGTAGAAGGATCAGACCAATTCTGGCCAAACAAGTTGCAAGGGGTTCCCATAAACTATGAATTGTGTGTCCTGTGGAAGGTTTCCTACCAAAATCCAATGGTACCTAGGGTCAAAAATGGCACCATCAAAAATTACATGAAGTTCTAAATGATTACACTGACGTAATTTTTGATAATTCACACTTTTGTCGAGTAAAGTTAACATAAACATAAAAATCAGCAAAGGCAAACAATCAAGTATGTAAACAGGTTCAACTGTTGTTAGCGTGTGTGTTTACAGCTGTGCTGTTTAAACTGATCATAACACATATGCATGACTGCAAGTGACCATTATTGTAGATAATATCAATAGTAGTAAATACTATGTTTGTGAACATAGGAATTTCCATTATTAACATCTGAATCCACAGCAACAAGGACAATCAATCTTGCTTAATTTGTGAAAATGATAAAAAATATCCAACAAAGAATAATAAAAAATAACTTTATTAAATACTTGCAAAAACTAATGCAATTGATTCATCTAATGTAATAGGTGTTCAAAATACTGTTCATCCTTCTAAAGACACCTTGTAATGTGGCTTCAGATAACTGGTTGCATATACTGCAATTCCTAGAGAGTGATTTTAGCACATACGTGCCATAGAACAGAGCTATAAACACACATGCTAGCAATTGCACTGGTTTACATGTTTGTCTGCCTTGCACATTCATGTTTACTTTATGCAATAATGGTGCAAGTTATCAAAAATTATCCCAGAGTAAATACCATTTAGATTTTCATATACTCTCTGGTGACACCATTTTGGACCACACATGCAATTGGACTTTGGCAAGAAATCCTTCGTAAGACTCCATAATTTAGGAGTCTCTAACAACTACACTCACCTTACACTTTGTTTGACCATAATTAGACCAATCCTCCTATTTTTAGCTATTTCCAAGTTTTGGAACTGGTATACTTTATTTGTAACACCCTACATATCAGATTCTGTCTGTAAACACCAATTGTTCTATTGTGGGCTAGGCCCAACTTACGATGGACATGAAGAAGATCTACTTGGTGCAAAAGTAGAAAGAGTTAAAAAAGAAAAAAAATATAATTTATAATATTTTCACTGATGAGTTACAATAATATTTATATAATAAACATCCCAATCACTTGGTTTAATACAATATTTCAATATATTGATTTTGTATAGTAATGTTTAATTTTATATTTTTTATCTATAGAGTAAAATCTGTATTAAATGATAATTTGAATCAAGCAGAACAAAGATATATTTCATTGAAAGCACAGGGTGTCCCACTTAAAATCAGCATGACCAAGATGAAACATTAGTGATGTAAATTTTAAAAAGAAAAGTATGAGACCATTTCCATAACTACATACAAACTTAAAGCATTTAAAGAAATATTGAAGCCATTGACATCAGTATTTTATGCAAGATCTGAATATGACTATATGTACAGTACACAAAGGTGCACAGATGCACAAAGACACCACTTTCAACATCTCTAAATTTCTGTTTTAAATAATATTAAAATAAAGTTTTTAGTGAATGTTTTCATTTGTAATGATTCTAGTAAGTGGGGCTGATTTTACATGGAACATCCTGTATATATTCATTCAAAATTGAAATGAGTTTTTAAGCTTATTTTGTTTATTATTCTAAAATATACAATTTAATTTATAAATTAAACAATGTATATTAATGTGTGATATGAAATTTTTCAAACTTTATTGTATTTATTATTATTATTTTTTTTATTTAATCTAATTTGCACATACCTGATAAAGTGCTAAGAGTCGTATCAGACATAGTATCTTCGCTATCATTATGTACATCGGACTGTGTTTCATCGACTTCTTTCTCTTGTAACCAGGGTTCAATTTTTATGTTTTCGGGCAAAAGGTTCAAAGTATTTGTTTCTGTGTAAGGCGACATTTTCTGTCTTGTTGCAAATGCACTTCCGTAACTTGTACAATGTCTGTAAAAAATTGAAACAATAGTGTTTAATGCCAGTTTAAAAATTTTATAGTAAATTTTAGTATGAAGCTAATATTTTGCCATTTTAATTTTGGTAAATTTATCAAAATATAACAATTTATGCATTTATTTTTATATTTACTCATTGTAAAGGAATATTTGTTTAGGAAACAAACAATTATGATTAGAACAGGAAGCTAGACCTTTCATAGCACATGGTTTCCCCTATCAATCCCTCTCCTTACAACCTTTCTTCCCAATACGAAAGAATGATTAGAATAAGAATGATAATTCAAGTATAACTGATAACTTGAGTTCCTCACAATGTTCTTTTCCTATCAGTAAGTAACTTAACTAGTAACTTGATCTCTTTCTACTCTTTCTGATAGAAAAAGAGGGCTAGAAAAAGCTTCTATTACAAGTTTTCTCTCAATCCTCACTCTTTATCAACTCATCTCTCTACTGAGATTGCAATCTGAAAGAGGATTGGTAAGCAAATAAGTTTGATTAAAATAAATAAGATTTTGGTTAAACAGAAACTTAAGCCAAGTATTTCACTTCACTGTTTTCTCCATCAACCTAGGTTGATTTCTCTTTTAGTATAGTATCAAAGTTTAATTTAACCTTTACTATCATATTCAAACAAGCCTTAACATAAGTAAAACTTGTTAAAAATCGTTTGTAACATAAATAATATTTAACTCTTGAAAAAAATATGAAAAATAGTAAAATTTTGAATCAAATCAGAGAGCTGGGTTTTCTATTGGGCTATTATAGCCAATATTTAATCCAAATTTGAAACTATTTCTTGAAAACCTGTATTTTTTTTTCTTTCCAATGCATAAAATTTCCAAAATAGTGCATATATTTACACTATTACAAATCTATGTAGTAAGCTGAAACCTGCTAATAATAATTCACACCTTCCACACTATTTCCAGCATAACAGTTTAATAAAAATTTAATGAAACAAATGTTTTTGGCTATATTAAGTGGCTTGCTTCAGGTTTTACCATTTTAGATGTTTGATTTCAGGCTGTTAAATCCAAAGAGGCTGCTTAATGTAGCCGAAAACATTTGTTTCCTTAAATTTTTATTAAACTGTTTTGCTGAAAAGAGTGTAGAAAATGTGCCTTATTAATATTACAAATTAATTATTAATTCTTACATTAATGGTTTATAATAAAAATTAAATTATATTTTATTAAAACTTCTTCCAAAATCACATTAACAGTATATTTTTGGATGAAATTTTATATTATTATAATTTTAATTTATATTGAGTTATATCATATGAAAATTATATTCAAGAAGAGCAGATTTGGCAACGCCATGAGTAACTGCACTGTTATGCATTACAACAAAATAGACTTAAATTTTGAGCCTTTAATTAATATAGACTTATAAATAACTTTTGAAACTCTAATGTTCTCATTCACAACCAAAGATTGAGAGTTTAGAGTTAGAAGTTAACCAATAAGCATTCACATACTAAAACTAAAATGAATGATAATTGGTTAACTTCAAACTCTTGATCTTTGGTTGCGAGCCGGAGGGCCGAGCGGTCAAGGTGGCAGCCTACTGTTCTGGACACCACAGATCAAATCCGGATGGGTCGAAAAATCCCCGGGGATTTTTTCGGGATGGCCGTCTGAATACCTCAGGCCCCATCCCTCACCACCCAGCTGCCCCATCGTGGGCCTGGCTGAATCCATAATGGGCTTGGTAAAAGATGCCCTTTTAGTTTCCACAGGGCGGAAAGAGTTAAAAAAACAAAAAAGATCCTTGATTGCAAATATGGCTGAAAATAAATAGACTGGTGACATATGATCAGTCAGTTAAGCATCACTAACTCTTAGCATTACCAAGCTTACTCCTTGAAAGTAAACTTTGTTTGACCATGCTTTATACTGGTGCTAAAAACTTTTAATAGAATCAAATAATACCATTTAAGGTAAGTTTAATGGTATACCAAATTAATTTTACACAACAATAGTTTTTACCTTCTTATTTCCATTGCAACTTCTGGATCAAGAGATGTTATATTCTGAGTAATATATGATGGCACAGAAATAGATAAACTAAAAAAATAAAAAATAATAAAAAATTCTAATGATGTAAATAATTTCATTTTTAAAAAAATTGATAAACAAATGTTCATAAAATTATAAAGTCTCATATAATTTAATTCTTAAACAATTAACAGAAAAGAGGATTGGAAATTATCTGGCTGAAATGAGGATGCTGAGATGGATAAGTGGGATGACAAAGGTCAAAGTCAAGAATAAGATGATCTGTGATTTATACGAAACTGACAAAAATTACAAAAAACTCAAGAATATGATGATGATGATCCTCTCAGAATATATCCATCAACTTATTGTCATATTCTGTGTCGGAATATGGCTAAATTCAAAGGAAGGAAGTTAATTATATATCGTATTAAATGGAAAGCTTACAGGGAAACAGAGTACAAGTCTGGGACAGATTGAGGAAGAAATGGAATGATTCTATAAAGGCAAATCCCAGTTAACAGAGATCTGTCTTGATTGATCCCAGTTAAGTAAAAACAAGCTCTGAAGAAAAAGAAGTGTCTCTTGAACAACTAACCATCACTAAATATGAACAAAAAGTAAATTTGCACTAGAAATTAATTAATATTTTTAATCGTTAAACAAGCAATACTATTGGCTATGGTGCAATTTTCATTTTTATTGTGAGTTACTTTTACAAATCTTTAATAAATAGAATAAATTAACGAATCTTATATTAGATATATATAATAATAATAATTTTTTTTACATAGTTTTAATATTATAAAAGTTAATATCTTGTAGCAGACAACCAGATGGCCAAGGCAGTAAAGTTGTTGGCCTGCTGAAATGGTAAAGATGTCAGTCTGCTGCTCTGACGGATCCAGATTCCAGGCCAGATCCTCAGAAATTTTTATAGGTGGTTTGAATTGGATAGGTTGAGTCCTATTCCTCACCACCTGTGAGTCTGGCTGAACCCACAATGGGCATGGAAAAAGCCCTTTTAGTGCCCAAAGGCTAGAAAAAGTTAAAAAGATAAATCTTGCAGCAATTCATAAAATATTTCTTAGCATGTAACATCAATTTATAAAAATATTTTTTCATAAATAGATATAATGTATTTTCTCATACTGATTTGAAGATTTTTATGTATTTTTTTAATGAGATAATGTTATATCTTATATAAAAACTAAATATTTATCATCGTTTCCATATTTATAAAATTTAAAAACATTATTTTCATGATTCCGAATGATATTTGTTGTAGAAATTGATCAAAGTTGCCATTATATTGTTATATAGATAAATGCTTAAAAAGCCAAATGGTTGCCAGGTTATATTGAACTAAATAATGCTACTATTAATAATTAAATATTAAGCAATTTGACCTAGAGGTAGGAGTTAGGTGCAATCTCCTGAATAACTCCCATGTTTGAGGCTGCACAGTAAGTAGAAGTTGTGGGTTTAGAGTCCTGCCTTTGGCCAATTCTTTTCTTAAAATATTAATTTAATTATAATTATTATTAAATTTATCAAGAGATTGCACCTAACACCTACCTCTAGGTCAAAGTACTTAACATTTAATTATTAATAGTAGCATTAATATACCCCAATATAATCCGGCAGTTGTTTGGCTTTAAACAAATAATAAGGGTTTTGTTTTAGATGTTTATATTTGTATAAATGCTTAACTTTGGAAGCACCAAAAAGTTTAATGCTTTTGGTCAATTGTATAACCATATTCAGCCTAGAAGCACGTATTCAGCAAAATAATATTCTATGTAAATTTAAATATTTCAAAAATTATAAGACAAGCTATAAATGCATTGAACCAGTGGTGTAACTACCATTTATGCAAAGTAGCTAGGTAACCTCGACTTCTATCTCGACTATAGTTGCTTAATTATATAAGAGTATTATTCCCAGTTTGATTGGCCAGTTGAGAGCTGGAGCACTTGAAGAAGGAAGAGGATTGTATCAGATTTTATCATCCTCTCTATTAATAAATGTGAAATTTTCTTAGTAATGTTGCACATTGATAAAAGATAAAATGGCTTACCATACTTTAAAAGATTTCAAAAACAATGTTGTAAATATATAATACAGTAGAGCCTCGAAAACTTGGCACTCGATAACCCGGCACTCCGGATAACTCGGCCACACCCTGGCAGGGCAAAAAATCCTTAGTTAATTAATTTTCATGATAAAGACAGCTTTATGCCTCATAAAGTATTTTTCTGAGGTCTGTCTTATCAGGTAAATTACTGTACAGTGTATTCATTAATTTTCATTTTCGTGTAATAAAGGCTCTATGCCTTCATAAAAGACGTACTTTTCCTTTGTTTAAGGGTATTTGGGCAGTTTATTCTCTGTTGTATTCTCAAGTAAACAATACATACAAGTACAGTACAGTATTTTCTGAGGAAACATTCGTACTTATTTTTTTAACCCCATTCCCGATAACCCGGCATTTTCACAAACTCGGCCACCCTTCGGTCCACATTAGGCCGAGTTTTCGAGGCTCTAATGTATATAATTTTCATGGTTACAGAACTATTTTCTCAAACTGAAAAACATGTTTTTAAGACATTGCTTTTTGAAATCTTTTAAAGTGTGATAAAGCATTTTACATTTTAATAATGTTCTACATTATCATTCCATTGTATTGAATGTACGTTTAAATATGTTTTTAGGAAGATACACTACTAAATATAATATTTAATAGATATAGCAATTACATGTTATCATAAAGACATATTGTTTCCTAATGATTTTCAGCCGAAGTTTAAATTGAACAGTTTTATTTTTTATTAAACTCCGATTGGAAGTCTTTGAGTAATATATCATTATAGATTCCATGTAACTGGTATCGCTATTAAATATTATTATTATATGCTGAGTACAATCATACAATTGACCAAAACTGCTTCGTTTATTTACTTTTGACTCATTGAACTAGGTAGTTATCTTGCTCAATTACTTATGCAAGCTTTAGTNTTATTTTTTATTAAACTCCGATTGGAAGTCTTTGAGTAATATATCATTATAGATTCCATGTAACTGGTATCGCTATTAAATATTATTATTATATGCTGAGTACAATCATACAATTGACCAAAACTGCTTCGTTTATTTACTTTTGACTCATTGAACTAAATAGTTATCTTGCTCAATTACTTATGCAAGCTTTAGTCTCACTTCTTTCATTCCAAACTATATCTCTTAAATGCAATTAATTAATTTTTTTTAATAATAATAAGTTATTAATAATTCTTAAATTTAATAAACAAAATAATTTTATCATATTTTTTTGTTTTCCAATTTTATTTTCCAATATTTATCTTATTGATAGTTACGCTGACGCTTGTTTGAGTCTTCCTAAGCATCAATTGGCTACATTAAATCAACTTTTGAATAAAAAAAATTATCTGTTTAGAGAGAATAAACTGAAAAAAGTAGCTTAAGTGAAATTAAATCAGATAATAGTTTTGCAACAATACAATTTAATATTCTATTATAACCAAGGACATAAACCATTATCTTTAATGATATAGCAATCTAATTTGGAAGGGGAAAAAAAATGTTTTCTTGCTGATAACTTGTTTTGTAATAAATTAAATTCGCTTACAATGTTGAACAATGCCAAGTGGGATTTACGATTTTTATCTCGAACAAAAAGTTTAATTGATAATTTAAAAATATTAAATTTTGTTTTTATTAAAAAACGTTTTAAATATCAAAATATTTTATAAGCATTTCGCTAAGATTTTATCGACTTGTAAATACTTGAAAAGTTTTATTGTAATTAAAGTAAGAAGAAAAAAAGAAAATAAATTGTTTGTTTATCTTATCTTGATAATGATTAGTGAGAATAATAGCTTATTGAGAAAGTTTAGAATAAAACAAAATTTATAATAGATAATAATAAATTTTTTATTGATAAGATTTTATCAACGTTTTCTATAAACATAAAATAAATATTAATTTTGTCACTACTTATCAAAATAAACTTTATATTACGCATCATCTGTTTTATGTAAAAACTAAATTTTGGAGCCTTCCGTCAGTGCCGTAACTAGGCAGGTGCAACGGGTGAGTAGGTACAGGGTCTAGGTCCAAGGGGACCCTGAAATAGAGTATCAAAAAATGATCAGTATTATATTTTCACTTTCAAACTTAATTCTTGTCTTGGAGGCCAATTCCATAACATTTTTAGAGTTAAAAATTGATTGACCATTTCTATTGTATTATTTTGTTTCAAAATAAAAAAAATGAGAGCCCAAAATATAATCTTGCATAGGGCTCATAAAGAGCTAGTTACAGCACTGTCCTCTGGGTCTAGTCTCAGATGAAATGGCCCTGTTGATGGTCCTCTACCTGGGCCTGAATACCACAGAATGGCTCAAATCCCAAACCTATCTACCAGTTTAATGCTTTATTATATAGTCTATAAAATCTGACTTAAATACCATTCAAATAAACATATGCTGCCCTTTATATTGAAATACATATTTATATTGAAAGCAAAATATGTCTGTCCCCAACTTCAATAATCTTTGCCTCCTGAAAAGCACCATAGAAGGGAATTGACTGGCATATATATTGTCTAGATATCTTTTCATGCAGGGCTGTGGAGTCATGTAAAAATCTACCGACTCCAACTCTGACTCCGACTTTTCCTTACCATCCGACTCCAACTCCGTTTCATATACATAACAAGTTGGTAAGTAAAAAGGGAGTCGAAGTCGGCGGATTTTTTGACGACTCCGACTCCGACCAAAACACCAAAACTCCACGACTCTGACTCCGACTCCACGGCCCTGTTTTCATGGATCAAGTTTTTGGAGGAACTTGAGTCATTGATCAAGTGTGAAATCTTCATTATTCCAAGAGATAATCTTCAATATTACATCAATCTTTAGAATAAGATTAGAAAGATTAAGATTGAAGTTAAGGGCAAACATATTAAACACATTATAATATAAATGGCACAAATGCTGATTTGTATGATATTTGATAAAAATTTATCCACCTTTGTTTAATTTTAATAATGTATTAAACTGGTAGATAAACCTTGATTATTTCATATCATTCTTAATTAAAGGTTAAAATAATTTTAATAAAGAATTTCTGTAAATTTTAATACTATACTAACAAACAGATTAAGTTTAGAAATATAAGGTATAATAGCATTATATAATAATTAATTATTTACCTATCTCTTATATAAGATGGCAGATTAGTTGGCACAAATGAATATTTTCTTTCTTTAGTAGAAGGCCAAGATTTAACTCCACACATCCTTGTCCAAGATGCATAGCATAACGCAAAAGATGGATCCCAATATCCAGGTGAATACAAATGCTCATCCAAACAGAACCGTTTTGTATTATCCAAATCATCCACAACCTGGTAAAATATTTTATCATGTAAAATAGATCATTCGTGGTTTTCTTATAAAATACTATTATATCTTTATAGTAATTATTTAAACAATAGTATAATCAATGCATCTGTCATTGAAAAACTAACATTATTTACAGTGCAAGTAACCATTGGAAAATTAGAGTATTTACTATACGATACCCATAATATATACTGTTCCCCTAATGAATTTAGATCCCATATTGAAAGCTTCATTAGAACTCTCATCACAAATCTTTAACACATTTTCTGTTCTTTCTCACTATGAGTTTATGTTATTTATAAAAAGATTACATTACGGATGAGATTTCACTATAGAATCTTCAAATGTATGACTTTATTCTTGGGAAGCACAAAGTACACTAATGATAAACACTTCATAATCAATTTAATATGCATTTTCTATCATTTATATATTAGAACTGATTGAGAAAACTAATTTTAATTCTACTATGTTTAATCTGTTCATTGCTGATGAACTTTTTAATGGTTTATGAGAATGAAAATGAGATTCTTGAAGACTATGGAAATTCTAAAACAGATTTTGAACCATAAACAGAATTCTAAAATTTAAAAATTGAAAAAGACAAAAAGTTACCAAAAATATATGTTCTATTTAATCCATTTATTCGTTCTGTTGAAATGTTTATCAAATGAAAATGTTTCTGATTGGTAAATAATTATACTGAAAGCATTTAGGATAAATTGTATCAATAAAAGTATCATTATTAGTAGTAGTAGCAGTAGTAATGCATTGTATTATCTAATCTAAATAAAAGAAACTATAAATTTAAAAAAAACGAGCAATTATTTATTGTGACAATGTCACAATGCCGGACTGGAATTTTTAATCATATTTTTAATTTATTTAATTTAAAATATATGCTCTCCATCTCAAATTAGTAGTGGCTTGCCCCTGTATATTGTACTTTTCCTCTAGCAATCGAGTCGTGTTGGTCATCTCTCAGGTACCTTTCAGGGGAAATTTTTTGAATTAAACAACATGACTTTGGGTTTGAATCAGAAGTTCGTATATAGTTAATTGGAATCTCCTGTCCCTAATGTTTCAATATCTGATCTTGTCTTTCATCTATCTAACTCTGTTCTTGAGATTAAGGAAAGACAGACGACAGATAGATGACAGTGGGAATTTATAGGTCAAACAATTTTTCTAAACTGCAGCCCAAAAATATATTCTTTAATGGAGTTTCAAAATGTAAGTTCTAATGCATTTGGACTTACATCCAACATCAGGAATACTTAAAAGATTGTAGGATGTAGTTATCATCATAATAATGTTCTATGATCCTTCAAGCAAGTCCTGATGACAGAGCAAGAAATTATGTTTTTATGTTCTGTTTTGGTTTTTAAATTTTATTAATTTACTTTCTAATCACTTAAAACAGAAAAAAAGACTACAATCATTAATGCAAACATATACTCAAATAGAGAAGTGCTTAATCTATAGACTTCATTTGAGTCTACTTCTTATGATTTACATTGTTTAATAAATACGAATGAGAAAAATAAGAATTTAAATTAATCTTTTTTTGTAACACTTTTTGAATTACATTATTGTGCATTTATATTTTTAACTTATGCGCAATACATTTTTTTTAAGTTGGTTTTATTATGTAAAACAACTTGTTAACTAACAAAACAAAATATTTAAGAATTTAACTTATTTTGAAGATAAAATTGGCATCCATCTAACATACCACAAGCCGTGTATATTTGCGGTGATGACATTCATTTTTATATATCTGTAAGATACTCGTGAATATTTTTAGCAATTCAACAACTACATGGACAAATCTTTAAGTTATAAATTTGAAATAAATTTATTAAAATAAATTGTCCAACTGCAATAATATTTTAAACAAATACAAATTTACATTCTTAATTAAATTTAACGGAGATAATTTTAAATAAATTATATTAATAATAATAATAATAATAATAATGAAAGATGTTTTGTTCAACATACACGATTGTTAATGAAAATTATATTTTGCAACGTGCAAAAATTTCGAATTTTTGTTACAAATTTTAAATTTGTCACGTAAAAAGTGTTTGGAGTAAGCAAAAAGTTTAAAATTATTCATTTTATTCTAATAAAATGAAATAGAGCAATGCTTCTCAAATTAGTTGTAGTAACAGAATGATATTTTTCCTAATTTGTTAGTTACTAATACCATATTTTTACCATATATATTAATGTATTATTCTATTTGAGTTCCTATATGCTTGTAAGAGCAACGACTACCCTTTGCAAAATATGACATACAGGTTCTCATCAGGTCACTAAAATTAAGCAGTAACAAGCCCAGACAATGCTTTAATTAATGACAGAAATGACACGTGCTGTTATCTAACTCCATCACTTTTAATCTGGACTCAGAACTGATCAGAGTCACCAGACTCTGATTAGTTCTGAGTCCAAATTAAAAGTGGGAAGGTTTACAATAGGAAGAGTATTGACCATAAATTAAGCCAAATTATGAAAAGGTAACTACCCCAAATAAAGTAAAATTAATGTAATAACAAAATTTTTGTATACCTTAAAACCAGCATAAATGTTTAAATGCCTTAACTGGATGAAGATCTTTTTTAAAAAGTCAAAAACATTTGTTAATTAAACTTTAATGCTGTTTTTAAAGTCTATAGAAGTTTTGTGACCTTAGTATTACTTTATGCTGTTACTGTTGAAGATTATTTTTTAACCTTATATTATAATAACATACAAGAAAGCATTCTATGTTGCTTATAAAACAGTATCTCTGTATTTAGGTACTGTACGTATATAACACAGAAGTAGACAATTTCCATTATAACAACATTCATTTATGAAAGCATATTATTATTTAGTATTCTTTTTTAGCAGAAACTTTGTGGAGCAGCAGCAATTAAAAACTTACAAATCAGTATTGATCTAACTATCGCCACCCAAGTAGACATGAGATGGATTTCAATAAATTAATAAAAAAATTTTTAATTTTGTGTTACTGATAAGAAATATAAAATTTATTTAAAAAAAAGTAAATATCTGCTTTATTGAAATTTCTATTAAACAAATAAATATGTATTTTTAACTGTATCTTCAAGGATAAAATCATTAAACTGTAGTAAAGAAAAAGAATCATTAGCCTTTAAAATTTTAAAAATAGTATCTTTAAATGAAGTTTGAAGGATCTCCTGATAATCTAAGGATTATTTATTGTTTATGAGAAAAGTTTATAACACCTTTTCTCATTTAACGCCTGGAAATTACACATTCATCTCCTCCTCACTTTCTACTAAGGATCAAATAAATAAATTTTATTCAAACATATGAATGTTCTCAATAATTTCTAGACATTTTCCTTCCTACATAATTACAATAATCTGATAATTCCTATGCCCACCAGTGGCCGAGTGGTCTTCGTACCCTAAACACTGGGAGTTCGGTCGTGGGTTCACGCCGCGATCGGACAGGCTGGCTGCTTGGAGTTTTCCGGGTTTTCTCCTTGCCAATAACGACTAAATAGGAGGCCAGTTCCCCATAAAAGTCCTCCCGGAAGGCATTAGTTCCCTCGCGTAAAATCGCGCCCCAGAGAAGGCAACGGGAAACCACTCTGGGTAGTAACTTTCCCTAGTATACACCTTGGCGGGTTACTAACCTACGCCAGGTGTCGCCGACGTCAGGAATCTGATATGGCACCAAGAAGCAGAAGCAGATAATTCCTATACTTCAAGTCCAAATTACAATAACTTTTAAGCTATATTTATATAAGGAAAATATAGGCTACTCAAAAATATCTTTTTAAAGAAGACAAAAGAAGTATTATAAAAATTCATTTTATATTTGTTAATTGTATTAGTCAAATTATTACATCTCTCAAAAATAGCTTTTGATGCATAACAAACTGAAGAAAAATTTTTTTGTTTTAACACTTATCACAACTCTTTGTTAGCTTAAATACATCAAAATAAACTTAAAATTTAATTGCACCAGATGAGCAAACAAAAAGTTTACTTATGAAGAGTAAACTTAGTAGTACCATGCTTGTTACCACCCTACTACATATCATGAGAAATGCTTACAGTGAATCGTAAACATTTATTTAATATGAATTTGAAATTCCTCACTGGTGTCACCAAATTTACTTCTTGCAACTTGCAAATAAACTCTTTGTAATTTAATTATTATGTAGAAGTCAGCAGGACCATCGAGAATTTATATGGTCTGTGTTAAACTGGGCTCCTTTAACTTTTTTTTTTTTTTTGAAAAAAATAAAATTCATAGAATGTTTCTTTATTAATAAAAAGAAGTATTAAAGGTTTTATTTTCTGTTAGTGAAAATAATATTAATTTTATAAAGATAAAAATCATTTGACTCCTAAGTTTTGCTCCAAGTCTGGGAGAAAATCTACAATTCCTGCTTCTCAATGGCCTTGGAAGTCAATAACTAGGAATTTGAAAAACATTTTCAACTAATTATATGCTTTAGCTTCATCCCTTTTCAAATTTTTGAGTGAAGACATGGAATAGAATATATTACATTCCAAACATTTCAAGAAAGTAGTTTGAACACAATATTCCATTCTATTTTTTTTCCTCCATTCAAATATTTTAAAGAAGCTGAAGTTTTATACAGCCTCAAAAAATAATATTCAAGTATTTTAATAGTGATACTAGATACGATTCATTGAATAGTAAAAAAAGATTGTTATAAATGTATATATATATAGCAAATATACAACCACAAGTTAATGGAAAATAGATTTTTTTTTAGAATAGAGCAATGCCCTCTTAGCTTGAGGTCCAAAGTTGTAGCTTGCTTAGCTTATGTAGAGTGTATTTCACAAGGAAACAAGTTAAATACATGACCACTTTAACACAAATGAAGTGATAATAATACTTGTTTGACCTTCATTCAGGCTTTAGGTTACTTGAAGAATGATTATGTAGTTGTTCCACTGGATTTACTACAAATTTTTGAATATTGTATAATCAGCTATTTTTAT